CGACAACTTGAAGAGCTGAAACAAGTGATAGATGTTTTATGAAGCATTGGGGATGGAGGGGGAAGGGGAGATTAAGAGTTATATTGTCACGAATATGGTGCTTTAAAATGTTTTGAATGATAGATGAAATCAAAAACATTACTTAATCCATGAGAATTTACTGGTAATAAGTGCTAAATCAGCGAGTGTATCCAATACATACAAACATTGTTCACCTGCGCCAGTTTTTAATTTATTTGATGGAAAAGTGATAGAAATGTTTTTACTTTGTAATGCATTCAAAATATTTGAAATTGTTCCATTTGGATCATCACACTGAAATATTACCGTAATTAAATATATTACAGAAGAAGTATAAAAATACTGTAAGTAATGATGAATTGAGGAATGAAAAAAAAACCTCATGTGGGAATGTAAAGGTTGAATCGATCGATTTTTGGATGAGCCATGCAGCAAGCGTAGTGAAGATAAAAAATTGCTCACCAATATTTGTACTTTTTACAAAATATTCTCTGCAAATGAAAAATTAATTATTTCATTATTTTATCTGATAATTATAAATTTTCAAATTTCAAATAAGCTGGCAAAAACAAAACACAAAACGTCGACAATAATTTTTTCAGATTTGATTAATAATAAAAAAATAAATGAGAGAGTATATCTTTTCACTCTCTTTATATAATAATAATAATATATTATAAGTTAATTTTAAATTTTTTTCATTGTAAGCTTTTGTAAATGAAATGATAATAATTACTGTATATAATACAGTAATTATCTTTTCATTCATCAAAAGCCGTATTATTACTGTACTATATACAGTAATTATTATCATTTCATTTATCAAAACTCACAATGTGTTATTGAATGATTTTATTTCATTAAAAATTATATTATCTTTTCCTGAAACATTCAATTAGTGTATAATTAAGGAGTGAAGGAATTTTTTTACCTTGAAATAGTCCTATGACTCGCAGCTAAATTTGCATAATCCTCTTCATAATTTAACAATTTAAGCTTATCATTTAGCTTATCACTAATAACATATAGATCATATTGTTGAGAAGGACTTTGTTCTCTTCCTTCTTCTTCATTTCCCTTTTTATCACCACTATCTTCTTTATCTTCCATTTATGACAAAATAGAAAAACTAGAATTAATTGGAAATTTTCAAACAGAATTTATGAACATATATATAATAATAGCAAAAACAAGAATGTTTCATTTCATTAGAACTTATTGATTAGCGCTAATTAAAAAAATTTATTGATTAAATACTTTATCAGAATTTATTGATTTATTAATTATTGATTAAAATACAACAGTTGATGAAATATCGCGACATAAAAAGAAAATTGATAATATTAATAAGTATGCAAATAATTGATACGTAAATAAGAAGAGAGATGAAAAAATATCCTTAACCTATCATTAGGAAGGCTAAGTTAATATAACAATTGATGCCTCCATAGCAACCATTGGTAACACAAATATTTTTAATCGTATTTCAACATTGGTTGCGGACCAGTATGTCTCAACCTGGTGCAAATGTTTCAGTTTGTTGCATGAATTGGGAGCAAACAATTACATCATGTTAAAAGGTCATCTTCGTAGAAGTATCGTTTGTCCCGAAGGTTACGATATTGAAGTTTTTACGATGACTTTTATCTCATTTCAAAGTTGTTTTATAGTTTTTGTATTGGCATTTCAATGAAATGACTTGTCTGCACTTCATTAGTATCATAGCAACTTTTCCTATAGAAAAATCATTATCAATTAATTTGTTGAAAAATTAATTTATCATTAACAATTACATTACTATATTAGTAAGGAACAGGATAGAATTGGACTGAATTTTAACTTAAAAAGATAAAATGCAAAAAAACGAGCATCGTTTTTTGCCTTTCTTTGATATTATCTCTGGCAAAATTAACGTCTATATTCACAATATCTGTTTGGTGAACTAATATAAAAATCAAAATATCCAACTTAATGGTACCACTTATGGTACCACATCAGTCTCAAACTCTGTTTTTCAATTTAATCTTCACACAGAAATTATTATATATTAGTTCAGAGAATAACTGTCAGCTGTCGTATTTTAAATCCTTTCAGATTTGTATTTTGTCAGTTATTTTCTTCAGTTATAGATTTCATGAAAATGCTCGGTGATCTAAATATATTGATCTAAACTTTGATACTTATCATTTTACATTTATTGCTAAACATGTGTTATTATTAATAGTCCCTGTCATTTGATTACCAAAAATAGTTTGGAAAAAGTTTGAAATTCTGACCATAATATTTTTTATTTTTTATCTATTTATCTAAGCTAGGTTCAATCAGTGTAAACCTATAAAATCCATTCCAGTTTACTTTAAAAGATCATTATTTATTATTGCCTAATTCAGTTGTTTATTATCAAAGAGCAGAAGAAATACAGTAAAAAAGCTGAAGATTGACGAAAGAGAAGATAATGAGAATTCATAAAACAACTAAACTTATAAAGACAATTCAAGTTAGCTATGAAATATGTCGGTAGTCAAAAAGGGAGATGATGGTACGCCAATGGTTCAAATAATGTAAGTTCAAATAATCGGAAGTCGTTGCAGCAGAAAAGAGTGACATTTTTTTAACTAAGCCAAACGTACGTGTTGACCCAAATGTGATAATAACGTTAGGGAAGAAATTAATGGTATAGAGTGAAGAAACATCTGTTCTAGACATCCCAATTTAATTAACTGCTAATAATGCAATTAGCATTACAATATTTAAAGACTTATATGGTTGAAGCTGCATATGGTGGCAAACACTTTTGGAATGTAAAATTATGAATTCAACAAGGAAAGGGGAAAATTTTACGTTAAGGATGGGATGAAACGGGTATTTTGTGTTAGACTACGAAGATAATTCGCAATCAATAAGTCAGAACTATCTTCAATTAAAAACGTTAAAGCATTCTTGGTCCCAAATCATCTGACTACAATATATATTTTTGTAGAATTCAAACGAAAATTTTATTTCAATAAACAACTGGTAAAGCTGTATAGGGTTTTTCATACATCAATAGAAATAACAATATTACCCGCAAATTATATTAGAGAAATATTTCCATAAAAACGATAATTTCATCGATTTAATCATGCTATTTTCAAAGGGCTTTTTCTATCAATTTTCTTTAACTTCCTAATTGAGGTCTTGGAAAATTGTGATACATAACATAACAATCATAACTTGAAGCTTAATAATGAAATTCAAAAAGTCACCATTTTAATAAGTAACAATTAAGCTCTTTTATAATTTTGGAACAAATATGCATAATCAAAGGCAAAAAGGCCGCATAAATTACCATTTTGATAATTATATATCTATAAGAGGGTAATTTAGAAAAAATGAAAAATATCGTTAAAATTTAATACGGAATACCAATAGTCACTTCTCAGTGCAGAAATCTTTTATCCAGGAGAATTATTAAACTGTACCATTTGCGAGGACTAGCTATGACTTACAATCTCTAGTACTTTCATTCATGATATATTCAATATTATTCCGAGAACTAAGACTTCTCTCAAGTCTTTTTTAACCCAAGCGTTCATATCAGATACGTATTTTTATGAATGTCCTGTTCTCCGATGACGTATTAATTGCTTGATCTCTGCTTCATATATCAAATCTGAGATCTGTTTTTTGAGAGTAAGTGCCGAAAGAGGTGATGTCAAGCAAAGTCGGCGTAACGCACTTGATACACTTCGACCTAAAATTTTTTTAAAACAAATTTTCAGCATAAATTCAGAAATTTTTGACATTTCAGTATACATATTAAAATTATATATAAATAACATAAACTTGGTAAACGTGCAGCGCTAGCGAATAGCCCTTTTACCGTAGAATAAATCATCTTACAATGAAAATTTCCAATACACAATAAACAATAATACGCAACTATTTGATCAAACTTACCAAACCAGGCGCATTCATCGTCTGGCTCCTGCATATTTTGCAAGTCTTCGCTGCTCGTTTCCGATGCCTTCCTTTTCATTGCTTTTTTCTGAAGATCAGCTAGAGCACTTGCACAGTGATGTATTTCTGGATTAACTGGTGAAGGCGATCTCAATTTATTTGAGTCAAATCCGAAATGTTGCGATAATGGTGAATGAGATGCTATACCCTGCAATAAATAGCTGATATTGCGCTGAATAATTTAGTGACTATATGTTTATGTTTTTTGACAATAAAATCAATGCAGCTGAATGAATTATCAGCAGATAACTCCATTTATTCAAAAAATTATCCACATTTTTTCACATTATATATATCAAACAAAATATCTTTTTAGTTTTGGAGCAAAAAATCCTTCTTGCTGGATTTTGCAGTATATTGTTACTTTATGTTACTGCACAATGATAGTAGAAACAATAGGTAAAAGTGATCAAGTTTGTCCACAAAATTGAAAAAAATTTTAATTTTAAAACAAAAAACTATATTACAATATACCTCCAAATAATTGATGTTAGGAGGAACAAATTGAGCAATATGCATTTCAATTGTAGGCGTTGCAGTCGGTGTGATTTGAATATCAGGCATAATAGTGTTTGCATTACTGAGAGTGCTTTTGTTACAACTGTTGTTGTTATTGCTGTTTGCAGAAGGAATAGGAAGGGAAGTCGATGCAACTGCTGGAAGTTCTGTTACATTCAGTATCTGTCCACTGTAAAAGTACACCGTAACTGAGAAATGATGAATATTCAAAACTGTCCGATAAATTCTGTATAATTTCATTCTAAAAGTTGAAACAACAAAAAAAAAGAACGAAAAATTCTTGTATATATGCTTTCAAATCAACTACTGGTAAAAAGTAACATTAAAATGTCACATAGAATTATTTTTCAAAAAGTTCCAAAACAAAAATAACTAAACCGATTTTATTCTAATCTTATTTTACGATATCATTAGCCAGCAAAACTTTGTGGACCCAAACTTGGTGTTCTCGGCAGCGCATTTAATTAGCATAATATTTTGAATCCAAAAAGTAAAATTATACTCTATGCTGTTGTTACTGTCATCAGACATCTGTTTCTCGACAAGCGAATTGATCAATTTCTCCAGTGTATTTGATGTGTTTTCGACCAAAACTGTGCTGTAGAACAAATTTTTTGGTTTCTACAAAATTTTTATAAACCCAATAAATTGCTGACAAGCTCAAAATATGCCTTCTTTCTTTCTTTTCTGTTTTTAAAATATTTTTTTCCTTTTAAATTTTTCGATCAACTTGTTCTTTGAAAAGAATAATTTAATAGGTATCGAATTGAATTACCTATTCAACGCAGAAGACCGATTTCGATCTGGACCAAAATTATTTTTAACGAATTGCATTTTGCTCCAGAATCGCCAAGTTGGCTCCACGTCTTCATAGCCTGCATTGGCTTCTGCTTGGCGCCTTTTAAGTTTCCTTTTAAATGTATCCTTCAAATTTTTCCATTGTGTACGAACATCTTCTTCTAAAAAAGAACAGCTTAGAAATGAAACTATTAAAAATAAATTGCATGACAGAGAGACTTTTGCAGTAGCAAATAACTGCAATAATCTATGCATTTCAACAAATGCACCCAAATTAGAACTAAATTGGAATTACTGAAGATATCAATGCAATCATTCCTGAAAATTCACACAAACACATACATAAAATATTTTCGAAAGGTTCAAATCTATCAATAATAGAAGTCTTTAAGGCATGACTTGCAAATAAAGGAAAAAGCAGAGTGCGAAGGACCTGTGTATAGGCCGGCTGTTACTAAACCGGAAGCATTAAGTGCACCTGCGACTTCCGCAAACAACTCTTTCTTCCTTTCCGATGTCGCATAACGCTCCTATAACTCAATTCGTTTCATAAAATAGCACGAAAGAAGTGTTGCTTGGTAAATTGTGAATGTTAGAAAAAAATTTTTTTTTACGAAAAGTGCAATTATAATTACGGCTGGGAAATCTTTTCTTTTTTTTGAAGATTCAAATAAATTTCATAGATGTATGGATGTATGTATAATGGATAGTGTGGTTGAACTGAATTGAATTGAATTGAATTAAACTAATTCATTACATATTTCAATTTGCAACCAATAGCAGTGTTAAGGCATTTAATTTGAGAGTAAAAAAAACTGAAACTCAAATATATACTCAAATGCAGTAATCTTTCAAAAATACTAAAAGCAAAAATATTTTGGGAAAATTTCTGTTTAAATTTTATGGGATAATTCAATTCGAACATATTCAACGATAAAGTAAATCCTGTATTTATTTCATTATTCAATAGTCAGCTCCACACCTCAAATACAAATTAAGTGCTACTATTAGCTTTGTTAACTAGTAATATTTACAGGAATATCACAAATACACTAGCCAATTACTATAAATATATAAATATCCACTATTGATATAGGATGGTTTAAAATATAAAAATTTGTTTAAACTATTAGAGCAAAAAGGTTGCTACTATAAGAAAGAAAATAATCAAAACGAACGGATAGTTAAAAAGAAAACTGGTGCAAATGCATGCAAATTTTATTTTCGTCTATTTTATCGTTTCCCTTTTTTAATGGAGAGAATGGTAAGTAATTCAAACAAAATGATAACGAAGAAATTTGACAGAAAATTAAACCTTTTTATACTCCCAAACTTCACGACGCTTTCGCACTTCCTCAATTAAAATGAGGCGAGAATCATCATTCCACATTTTAACCATCCGATCTAGAAATAAACTCAACTTACAAGTAAAACATATGCAACATCCATATAACACGTTACATTTAAACGTGAACATATTCATTCAACAATCACTCAATACATGCTACCATGTGTAACATTTGAATCTTACAGTAAAAATTTGGTGCGCTACCAGCCGGCATCGAAGCAAATAGGAAGACGAACCAATGAGAATCTTATTATAAAAGATAAACATAAAAAGGCCAGCATAGATCAGTTCCTGTAGAAAGTAATCAAAAAAATGAGAGGGATGCATAAAAAGAGCCTAGTGATGAAAAGACGTATCAGACATGGTTAAAGAGTGATATATAAAGTAAAAAGATAGAAGTATCCTTTAAAAGTTAAATGAAGGTAAGATGTGATTAGATGAGATGAGGTGGATCCATCTACCATTCAATTCGTTCGTACATCTGCCAAACAAATGCTTTTCAAGAAAGAGCAAACCAAGCGAAAATATAGAGTTCGAGAAGAGTGAAAGGGGAAAAAGGGAGGGATAGAAGAGAAAGCACAGGACACGAATGCAGCTACTATCATTTGTCACAGCTGTTGCCTGCGTCAAGCGACAGCGACTAGCGGCTGTTGCAGCGACGAGTTTAATAAATCGATACAACGATAAATACCCCGCGACGATAACGATGATGATGATGGTGATGACACGACCTAATACGCTGAGGAGTGCAATCTGTACTGATGCCAGCCGTCGTACGGTACATTCATCATGTCGCTGCATGTCGTCTATCTTGTTTGCGAGTATAACACAGCATTTTCTTTGACGAGGTGAGATTTTACCGAATCTTTCTGATTAACCCATTTCATAAATCTGCTTCTCTCATTTTTTTTAAGCATATAATGAACAAATTTTTGGATTTGAATACGAGTGCAGGGTTTTTTATGATTTAAATTTGAATTTGAATTCTTTTTTCTTCTTAATGACAAAGAGCCATTCATAGAATAAATGTAACCAAGATTAGTTATATGGTAATCGAAATTATGACTTAAATGTAAATAATGAAATTAAAATAAAAACTAAAAACCAGCTATGAAGTGATAACGGAGAAATGTAGAAAGTAGAGGTGTTTTACTAATTTGGAAACTAAAAGCTTTAAAGATTTCGGGATTAAATCAAGAAATTATTCCTTGCAGCAAATCAGGTAGTGCTGAAACGCCCTGCTATCTAAATTTGCTCTTCGATGTGATACTTTCAAAAAGTCAACTTCTACAATCCCTTCACTAAATCTGACAAGATGTAAACGAAGGTTCTAATAAACTTTCTTTGGGAGCATTACTTGCAGTTTAACGCAAAATTTGAAAATCCGACATCTGAATAAACATAACATTTAAAAATTCGGTATCTCAATAATTCCGAATTCACCGAAATAAATTATGTGCAGATCCGATCACTGAATAGAAATTTATTAAAGTAACTCCAGTTTCATATATATATATATATGAAAAAATACAGTGACAAGTACAATTTTGCGATGTCTTCTAACGTGCATGGAAAATATTTGAGATCACAAAACATTTGAATTAAGGGGGCTGCGAATTTGGAAAGGCTTGCATATCAAGTTATACAATATATTTAAATAAGCTAAATAAGCACACATGTAAATAAGCACAATTCATGCATTTGATAATACCTATATTCAACACTAAAATTATAACACAACGAAATATTAGAAGCATAACGAAAAAAATGCCTTATACAGCAAACTGATGTTACCTTCAAAACTGCTGTATAGACTACAACTCTCAAATTTTTCAAATTTTGTAATTCAGAATGAAAAGATCATTTAGCAGAGCCTAAGGTTCTTCAGTGCTAATCATAGCAAAAAATTGATTTTGCACTCGCATATTGAATCTGCAAAAAAATAAGCTGTAAATATATTTTTTGTTTGTTTAAAAAAATCTTGGAGGAGAAAATTAAACATCTACAATCCCATGCCACAATACCCGTAGTCGAATTTACAATTAATGAGAGACCTTTTTCGAAAATACGACCTTCATATATTTCAGAAAATGTCAAAAAGTTATTGACAGTACCTAACAACGATTTCTCTGTAATATATGTTGCCCGCGCATCATTGTCCTTCCTGAGTTGCATGAATGTCCCCCATTCTGATTGAGGTGCGACAAATATAACGGCTCGACTCAACGACTCTGTTGTCTGAAGCTTTGGAATATTTTGCAATGAATTTCGAAATTCTCTCTCATGTTCTGAACGGAAAGAAATAATCATTTCCAGAAAAACAAGCCTAACTTTTCCACGACAACATCTGATAAAATCCACAAGATGCTTTGCTTCAGGTTCGCATTTAGAAGAAACATAAAACGGTCCTAACGCAGAAAATAAACGAGATATATGACCATCAAGCCACGCTCTGTGAGTAGTTTTCCATCGTGAAACAAGAAAATCACTTCCTTTTAACCAGCCACCAATTTCCAACGAGCTGTAAGCCTAGAAAAGAAACTAAAAGATTTAAACTCTGCAATTTCTTACTCAAGAAGAAAAAGATAACGAGAAACTAGAAGGTGAGATAAAATAACGCAGCTATATGCATGATGTGCAGTTTCAATCTTATTCTGAAACCCCACTGCAGTCAAGTTCAGCAATTTAATTGCCAGTGAATAATCATTCCTATAAACTGGTTAATTTACAAAAGCTAGTGTTTGTCTAAAAACTAACTTGCGTCATCATTGTTTTGGCTAGCTTAGTGTCTTTATCAAATGTCAAACTATAAAAATGATACCCATTCAATTGTGACAATTGGTATGCCCTTGACTAGAGCTCGCATAACATTAACTGTACGCACTCCCTCTTGATCGCTCACCACATAACGAGTACGCTCATCAACAGTGCTTGCAATTTTTAGCACACCCAATTTTTTAGTTATTGCAAAAACTGTCTCTCTCTCTCTGCAATAAAAATATATTAAAAATTATTTCGACTTGAGAAGACAAAAAAGGAGTGAAAAGTTCAAAAATTTTAAAAATTATAAACTTACATCTTACTGATTCCCGAAAGTATAATATTACCGCTTTTAATTCTTTTCCTTGCAATCTTTTTCTTTTTCACAAATTCATTAGAACTAGGAACATTTTGCAACTCATTCAAGACTGATGAACGAGTCCGTACTACGACTGGTCGCGTTTTCGAAATCTTTTCTAAATTTGCAATTTGAAGAAATAATTATTAATCAAAATCTAGTTGAAATCTTCAAACGTATAGGATAGGAACTAAAAAAATCAAAGAAAGGAACATTTTTCAAAAAGAATAAAATATAAACCACATTTCAATGTGTCCATTCTTAGTTGATATTTAAGAATAAAAATATAAACTATATTGGAACGAAATGAAAGCGCACCTCTTGTCGAAAGCTTTTGGTTAGCTGAAAGGATTTTAGAAAAGTTCTGGTCCATCATTTTTCTATATATGCATACCATTTTCTCAGTATTTAGTTGCGTAGCGTGTTCTGCCCTTACAGAACGATATCGTTTTTGCAAATACTATAATGTAAATTGTATGAACAATTAGACATACTGAAAAATTTTTCCGCCTCTTGTTCAAAGTTATGTTTGCAAAATAACATCTCTGAACATGGCAATAGCTTCATTATCTACTGCACCACATCATCATGAAAATGTTTTACGGAAAGTAATATTTTTCACAATAGCGACGGTATATAAACGGTATATACATTATAGAAATACCTTTAAACTTTTATACATAGAGAATTGTGATCATGTTTCGCAATAAGATGATTTCCCATCATGAGTTCTTGAAAATTTCTACAAGACATTTGTAAAAACCCAAAGCTTGATCAGCGTAAAACACTCACTTTGTGAAAATGAGTCGGTGTATATTCTGCTAACTGTTCAGAATTAACTGCTGGTCGACCCCGCCTTTTAACTGGCTCACTCTGTGTAATCTCCACCAAATTTACCTGGAATAAAGCATTAAATAATAATAAAGTCAATAAATGCTTGTTTTTAAGCAACAGAAAAAGAACACCGATAAAAAAACTCGATTTAAACTAACAGATTTAATCGACATTGAGCTCTCTGCAGTAGGAGGCGTAAACTGCTGCTCAGATTCTCTACGAAACATCGAAATTCGTGGTATCACATGCTTTCTTTGTTTTTTACTGACTCGACAATTACCTTGAAAGTAGAGAAGATTTAAGATAAATTCATAAATTACAGTTTCTGTATACGTTTTTAAAATTCATGTATAACAAAACAAGAACAGTTTTCTTTAAAAACACAGCCCAAATGGATCACTCGCTAAAATTTGCTATTAACAGTCAAAAGACTAATATTGCCATACATATATTTATCGAGAATCTCTATTTGGAAATGAAATCTACTCATAAAGAAGAGTTTTTAACTTTGAATTTTCTTTCCTAATTTTCAATGTTTACTCCTACTTAATTGGCCTACCTCCCTTTACTTAAATTTCGATTATGAAATAATGTAGTGTAAAACCGAACCACAAACCTTTATCCTACTGTTGCCTAGCTAGATGTTGTGTACTTCAGTGGATACACTATTCTCAGAATGTTTCAATGACGGAGACATTTTTACCATCAACTACATTAGATGTAAGGCCTCTAAACGGTGTCTCCATTAGAGAATAACAATTTAAAACGAAACTGTGTTAAATGAGATTTCCAGTTTTTTAAAGAATATTCATTGATTTATTGCTACTGCTCTACCCTATTCTAAAGCTTCATTTAGTTTTTTTATGCATTATGACAAAATGAACATTACTTACTCAGTTCATTCAATCTTTTTCGTACACGATCCACAATTGGTGAAAGTATTTCCACAACATCAATATTTTCATTGTTTTCAGGGGATGCTGCAACAAACACGGATTAAAATTTTGCATGGTTATTTTTAAGATAGGCAGTAGATCTCTGCGGGATGCAGAGACCTAGGGTTCCGGAATTTAGCAGCTCCGAAGCCTATCTGGGTATTTGCATATAATTCATCTCTAATCTATAACTTTTCAAGAAAAATTAGCTTTTTTTTAGCTTATTCCGCTTGGAAAAGCAGCACTTTAATTTTTTCACAACTTTTAATTTTATTCTATCTATGTGACTTGAGAAGAAAACGTCTACAAAAAATAGATCAAGTACAAATGTTTGGCGAGCATTACCAAATTTCCTGCTACTAAGTTCATTATGCATATTCATATTATCGCACATTATGCTCAAAGCATGCTGTGCAATAATATGAAGCCTAAAAAGAGATGACTTCATAATCTTTAGAATATGCAACAATAATGTATGGAAAGTACTAAGTTTGGAAGCAAGCTGGTCCGAGAGCGCTTCGATTGCGTGTACTATCTGTGATTGATTTAGCGAACTGTTACTTGAATTTGAGGTTCTGTCACGTCGGCCCTGAAAAATGTTTTAGTGGTATTTACTTATATATACTTATTACATTAAATCATCTTGAAAATCGATCACAGTAAATATAAAAACTCAAATCTTATTTGTAACTAAAATTAAAAATATGAGTTTCAATTAAGCTTTCATTTACAATTGATCCATTTTCAAAACAGTTTAGCTATGAACAAGCAAATCATTCAGCATTAGAACTTCCTCTATTAATTTATAACAATAACTCATATCAAGAATGCTAGCTACTACTTCTGATCAATCACCATATTAACTGTTCCTATTCGTCCCATAGCCATTAGTCGCATGGGAACAGCAAGATCCTTGACACCGTACAGTAAAAAGGGACCTTCATCAGCTCGGATTAGATCCATGAAACATCTGCAACAGATGAAAGTAGTGAAAATGAAACTCATTACTATTGAGTACAGAAAATAAAGAAAAATGCCATCAATGAGCTTATGAATTGTGCTATACAAATCTGGTATAAAAATGAGACTTTGCATAGGACTAAAAAAATTAAATGAGTGTAAAAATGAAAAGAATTTAAAGCAGCAATAACCTACTTAAATATCCAGTGAGGTGAAACTATTGAAATTCCCAAATGATGCGCTTTGTCTAGCGTTTTCTGTCGACCGTTCCAGAATATTAAATGAGTAATATTTCTTGAAAATCTTAAAAGGAATGCAGAAGTAATACAGAAACAGTTATATAAATTGCTGAAATCCTTTTATTAATAATAACTATTTTAATCATAGCAAGGCAGATTTTCTAACTTTTAAATGACATAAAAAGTTGTTTTTTAAATAATTTCTCAAAGGTTATAGTATAACAAAGTTTAGACGGAAAATTTCATAAAGTGTGCACTTTACAGAATTTAATTTCTTGTCCGTCTATGGCTAATCTTGTACCCTGATTTTTAAGATAATTTTTGGAGAAAAAAATCTCTTAAATAGGTTTTAAAACAATATTTCAAGCTGCTATCATTGCGGATATTTTAATCCTAACAATAAAACTATCACACCGTAAATCGACATTTGCCCCTAAGTCACGTAACATTTGACGAAGAACTGACGTTTTCTTCAGTCTTACATCCACAAATGCTCTAACACCTGCAATATTGAATTAATTAATTAAGATTGTCAAGTTATCGTAAGTAGTAAAAGTTGTGAGAAAAAACTAAAGGTTATTAACCAATCTGATAAATATGACAAATTTATAAATTGAAAAATGAAAAAACCTAAGTAAATGATAAAAGTATACACCTTCCAAAATCATAGAAATTTTCATATTTTGCATATGATCATTTAGAAGAGGGCTTGATAATTCACAGGCTTTGAGTTGAGCTTCCATCCATAAATTATGCTCCGCAGAATCCGTAATTTCGGGAGATTGAAAGCTTTAATGGGTTTTTATTAATTCGTTGACATTTGGATCTTCAGTTAATATACTTCCTTGTCACACATATTAAGCAAGACGAAGTGATACTACACACACTCCACTCAACGAATGAATATTTTGGTAATAACAATATTTCGATTTGGATAAATAAAACGAGCAAACCGTGGTGAATTTGAAATGCTTTCAAAAAAGTTTGGCGTCTTAACATGAAACCAAGAGCTGTTTTTCGTCATTTTTCGAGAAATTACTCAAGCAATATCTGAAATTTTTAAAAATTTCATTTCAAATGGATATCCTTTAAACTTTAGATATATCATTATGAATCATTTTTTCTGGAACTTCTTGAAAGTTTTCTGAAAATGTTCTTCTTTCAAATATTATGGAATAAAATAATTTTACGGGATATTCTTCCATAGCATACATTTAAACACCGCTAGCAAAAAGTCTCCGAAACTCCGAAAAACAAGAACGAATTCACACTTCCACCCTCCCGCATTTTCATTTCAGTACATTGTCGCGATACATGTACTTATGGCGCGAATGAAATTTGTTGGTCTCAAGCTAGGAGCTTGTTGTAATTAGGGTTTAGAAGAAATTTCAGCTAGTAGGATCTGTTCAATTGTCTCAAAAAATTTTTCTTTCGTTTTTAAAATTGAATCTATAAGTCATATTTCTTGCCAAATTCAAATCAGATTCTATCTGCCTATTAATTTGTTGTATCATTTCGCGCTCACCATATAATATTTTCTTATAAATTGACTTTTGAATAATGGCCAGTTAAACGTTGCAGTGATAGATATGAGCCAGCATCTAATTACTGTTGCTTTATTAAGTTACGGCAAAAACTTACGATATAAAATTGGAATATCGAAAGTGCAAAGATTATGTGCTATATCCATCAGGGATTCTGCATAATCATATTGACACAATTCATTGACAGTTATTTCACGAATGCGCATGAATCATTTCTCTCAAAACTTGCTATATATTGATTCCTGGCAATTGATTATGACGAGATGGTTTTCATCCATATACAAATATTAGCAATGAATTAGGATGTTCTTCAATAGAGCACCTTCCTTTCTGTTGTACCAAGTGATATTTTAGTTTATCATCAATTTTAACTCCCAACATTCCATGATCTATTCTTTTCATTCAAAATCTATTCCATGAGCTGTATAGCAACGGGAGCTTTTCTTATCACCCGGGATAAATATGCGTCAAATTTTGGACCGTCGGACTAATATCAGATGTGCTAACTGCTTGTGTTAAACAGATATGCGTTGAAATATCTACTGTAATCGGGTAGCATGTGTTTGTTGTTGACGATCATCTATCTCAGGACTTGATATCTCAAGCCATCTAACTATAGCCAGTCGGCAGCATTAATTTTGCGTGATTTGTAGAAGTTGATTAACAATTTAATTTCGAATATTATCTCCAATTCAAGAATTCACCGATAGCAAGAAATAAGAGTTGGGATTCTAAGTAACCTTAATAGAAAAAAAAATAAACGTGAAAGACTAGAACAGTCTTCTAGTCTTTCACCAATCATTGCTGAGATTGAACACCGATGAAAGTAATTAATACATCACTATTCTATTAAGGTTACTACTAGGAAGTTGTTGAAGTAGTGCTTTATCTTTCTGTCAAGCCTTCAGTACTTCGTCCACTGGCCATATTATGATTGATAATGTCACTTCTGCATTTTATGGATTACACGATTTACCTTGATTTCAAAACAATAAAGGGACAGCATAAACAATAATGTGACGTATTGGTCAAGTTTTGTATCGCATTCAAGTCTACCACATTCTGTAACAGGTTTTCCGATAATTAGATAGTTGAGAGGGAGTGATTAGTAAAAAGGTTTTTTCAACATTTTATTTTTTTTCTTTTTGCTAAATTTAATACCTTTAAAAAATGGTTGCTTATGTATTTTATTTCGAATGCTACAAAACGAAAAAATGTTGATACGTAGGATAAATTTATTTCAGGAAATATGATATTATATGTTGTTTTCTTGTTCAAGATTGCCGCCTCTGTTAAAGTTGTGATAAGTTTCATTGATTTTCATTTAATTATAGAGTCGACAATCATCGATAACAAATTTGGCTATTGAGATTGATACTGTAGTTGTTCATAAGTTCTCTTGATATATTTTGCCGCGCATGTTTTGCACTGTCCTAGCTTTTTTCGAGAGAAGGAGTTGGGACAGAAACAAGTTTGCATGTCACCAACTCCATTTTCTCAAGTTTTCATAAGAGCTCTAAATCAGATAACAATCTACTGTAATTGTTTGAGTGGGTGGAATTTAATAAAATGAGCTTTTACTTAATGAACAGAAAATCATGGAATAAACTTGAAAATAAGTCTGTTATCTTTATGCGAACTTATATGAAGAGTAGACTGATACAGCAGTATCTTTTAAATTCGTAAGTTTTATACATTTGAGAGATACCAAAAAATAATAGCTTTTAAAAACTAAAAAAAAATCAAAATATAGTTTTTGTAGCATTATCCTCCTTAGTGCACACTTTAATTTCAAATTTTTGGTTTTAGCTTTTTTTTTAGATTGCACACACCTGTCCCAGTGGTAAATCAATATGTCCGGACACAGCAACTTGTTGCCTAATTGGTACTGATGTATATGGTTGTTGTCCGATGATGGATGCAGTGTGCTGCGATGACCGTACTCATTGCTGTCCTCCTGATACAAAATGCGACATGGTACATAGACAGTGTTTACGGGTAAATTTCTTTTGTTTTTCAGGTTTTTCAGGATGAGAATTTTTCAAATAATTATAGTACATAATTTCTATTATGGTGTGTGTATTGAAGAAGCAGTAAAAATACTCGAAATGCAGGTTGCTCTGCTGAACAATGAAAAGAATTACTCTGCTAGATCAGTTGAACACTGCGCTATGCTGGGGTTGAATCCTAGAATTATTAATGTTGATCATATTAGCATCCCTATCTAACACGAACATACAAAATTCGAGAAACCGGAAGGCGTATTACGCGGTCTTGCTATGCCAGAATCTAGTATAGCTAGGATATTAGTATCGGTGCAACATCTCATTAAGATTCGTGAAATCCACAAATGGTTGCTGGTCTTTTTTATTCGTTAAAAACTACGAAACTCACAATAGTTGCCATTTCTATCCTATTTTGTTCTTGCAAAGAAACCTCAGTGAAATTTTGTTTTTGAGTCTTTCAAGTCTTTCTACTTCATCTACTTCATTTTGCACTCTTTCAGTTTCAGTATCCGTTTATCAGATAACCACAAATTCATATCATTCAGTTTAAAATCCGATTAATTACTATCTTTCAAACAATGAAAGTTTGTTTGTTTGTTTGTTTGTTTACAGTTCCAATTATGAAGAGTTTTTGTTCTAGCTATAGAACAAGATTGCTTATACTGCGTCTCACTAGTTTAATGCTTCTCTTTTACTTAGTTTTTCTCCATAATCCTCATAATAAGATTTTATCGAAATAAACTTATGCATGACATACCTTCCTTATATCACTGAAGCTTTTTTTAACAATCTGCAATTCAGATATTTTTTTCTCAGAATGAAGTCTCAATGTCGCGGACGAATAAACGAGCCAAGCACATGGCTAAGAAGACAAATATCACCAAAAATAGGCAATTTATGAAAATTTGCAGTGGTGCAAATAGCTCTTGCACCACTTCCCATACCTGGTTTGTTCATGCGCTATCAAACTTCTGACTTTTTTTTACCTTTAGGCATGAATACTGAAAGCGAAAAACGAAAAGAGTAGATGCTTGTAACATTGTTTTCAGCTTCAAAATCTTTTTAATTTTCAACGATGCCAAGTTGATTTCCGACAACATTTTTAGGGAAATTTTTTCGTTTTTACTGTGAAGAATAAACGGTTGTACTTAAAAGTAAAATTGCAGTTGCCAAAGACGTTCGGTGAATCCTGATGCAGTCCATAGGAGTACTGTTTGTTGTTAAGATGTTAACCAGTGCTGCTCGACAAGTACCGGTAATTATTTTAATGTTTTTTTATATTAGAATTTCTTTCAAGTCATTTTCTAAATCTTCACAAATTATTTCTACCTTTTTTTATATTAAGAAAATTAGTAAGGAATTCAGGAAAGAATGCAGGAGATTCTTACAATATTTTTTAATTTCAAGTTGTGTGAAAGATGGAAGTTATGTTGAAGAAAAGAGCACGTTCTTCATATTGAACTTTTGAACATGAACTTCTTGTTAAGTACAAATATATGTCAACCTACTCCAACTTTTAATTCTTGAAATATTTTGAACTAAAGTTTTTTAAATTTAAGTCACGAAATGCTTTATATTTCAATACTTTTGTGCCATACTTTAAAAGAAGAAGGCTTATCTGTCATGAATTTGATAAATAGCGATTACATGTAAAATACTTATGTTTCTATCATATTTTAAAAGCAGCAGATTTTTACACTTGCCTTTTGATGTGTTTCTTTTGTTGTTTTAAATCGATTTGTTGTAATTTTAGAATTTTAAATTATCTTGATACTAGACAAGATGTTGGTCATATGTGCTTACTCAGTTGTTAATATTCTGTGCAAAGATCGCTGTTTGCATTACTTCCTTCTTTATATAACGTTTTAATTTGTGATTGCATTGCTGTGAATGAAACCATGTGATACTTGAACTCACGCTGAACATTAAAACACCATGATGAGGGAGAATGGGAAGAAACCACAATGTATTCAATAAAAAAATGATTGAAATAGTAGGAAAATGAGGAATTTCTTCACATCAAATTGAATGGACTCGATGAATTTCATTGTATTCATACATTCTTATAGACTAATAATTCTTGAGGTAAGCATAGCTCTTTTTTGAGATCGTTTAACATCACAACGATAACCATTTAATCGTAACAAGTTCATCGTAACTTTTTCTTATTTTATCTCTATTACATTTCACGTCTTATATTTGCACAGACTGTTAGAGTTGAATTAAATTTAAATTTTATGATTTGTGGAGATCTCAGAATCTATCAAATACTTACATCTGATATATCCTAGAATGTCTTTGAATTTCTTTGAATTAAGGGGACTTTATGAAAATTATGAAAGAAAATGGCTTTATGAAAATTATGGAAAAAAAAAACATTATTTCAAAAAAACGATTTAAATTGTCTCATCATAATTTTTTCTCATTTTATAGTTTTCTTTTTTTCTCTCAATCTCAATGATACTCTTTTTTTTTCATTTTACAGAAATTATCATTAAAGTTCCTGAGTTAAAGTATAAGCGATTACCTAAGATGTGATGCGGGCATAATATGTTCATACCTGTTATCGCCCGAAGATACCTGTTATTACGGAAATATTTAATGGTAAAGTTCATGATTTTCAGATATGGTTTCAGTTAATGCATGATTGGTCTGTGCAAAATGGTAACATATACCTAACCTTTTTTTTCAAAATTCTCAGTGAAGTTAGTAATTTTGGACGTATAATAATAGGGAATATATTGTCCTGTGAGTTATTCTATGGATTATTGATGCAATGAATTAAAATTTTTCCAGTCAACAATAATTATTCCTTTTACTTTTTAAACTTGATTTGATTCATCGTTTTATTCTGCAAAATGTGACAAGTTTTATTAGAGCCTTTTTGACTCTTATTTTATGTTCCTGTTTCTTCCTAATATTTGTTGCATTTTCAGTTAAATACTAAATCAGCTATTATTTTTTAAAACAATTCATTTTCGTATTCCTGTCTTTTACAGCACACCTCTGTCAATCAAAAATGCAATTAAACATTTCATTCTTTTCATTTGCATACAACACAAGTGAAGTAAATGAAATTTAATAAAACAGGAAACAGGATTGAAAATGAGTCTAATCATCACAATAAAATCATTACGAATTTAACAAACAAACATCTGTTTTGATACAGTTGAAGATTGAGGAGAAACAGACGTGGAATATCTTTTACAAACAGTAATGATAATTATGATTTTTTTAATTGCCCTTCTTTTGAAAATAAATAAATAAATTAATTAATTTCCCATTAACTACTTGTAATTTATCAGCTATTTTTTTTACTGGCCAGCCAAAATTCATAGACTCATTGGAATCAATATGATTTTTTTGTTGTAGAAACTTGAAATATGGTAGTCAGCTTTATATTGCTAGTGAAAATGGAATAGATTATCTTTGCTTGGCAAACAACGTGAAACAAATATTTATCATAATTATTTCTTAAATTGTACCGATATGACATCGGTTGGGCAACTAAATGTTGCAAGTGAGATGATTCCAGTGCTGCATTTATATGGTTAAGCTTTAATTTTAAGCATTTCACGATTTTTCCTCAATATTCTGGATGTTTAATTGCTCTCTCAATACATGACATTTTTTTGAAGAATGCAACCACCCGGATCGTTGCAATGTAATATTCATAGCATAGCATCTGTGTGGTAAATTGTGAAAAAGAATTATTTTGATAGAACAGATATATAATTGCAGTTTCTATAGTATTGCATTGCAAATCTCAACGGTATATGGAATATCCCTTCATGAGTGCTATCTTATTTCGGTTCGGAATATCGATTAATAAATCCGTTTATTACGTTTTGTTTTAACGACTACTGCGTTACTGTAACGTAAATAATAGAATATTAGATTGTCATCCTCATTCAGATAATTTCTTGGATTTTTATTCTATCGTGGGAAAAAGTGAATTTTCTGATGCAAAATATGAAATTGATCTCTGTGCTTGTGAATTCTTCCAATAGATAATTTCGAATACTGTACTGTAATAACTTTACATTTAAGTGAACATAACACGATATATTTTATCCCATGAATTTATGCACCATTTTCGGATTAAGCTTATAATCATTTTTCAGATATACAAGTGGATTAAAGATCATTGGCAGTTTCCGCTTTTACCAGCTTTATAAGCACTAATATTCACTCTATAAAGATCATTTACAGGTAAAAATATGAAAATAAGCAGTAGTTTATCATTGAAGAATTCGCTATTAAAATTTTTGAGCGAAATCATTTATTTCATTTTATATTTTCTAACTTTCAAAATGTTACATCTGAAGAGTTTATAGCAATAAAGAATGTGAAATGATTTGTTCAAGTTCAAAAAATAGATTATTCGGTCAATTAAGAGTACTAATACCATATTTGGTACACTATATGTGCTTAATATCCACAACGATAAGCAGGGATTTCTTGAACATGGAAGTTCATTGAACAAGACTAAAAGGACATATGTGTTAACCAAATACAAATCAGTCCTTTATTTCAGTTGACGAATTTCCTGAATTTGTTCCATGAAAACTCTTACACAACGGAGATGGCGTCTCCTGCTATCTCCGCGACATAGTTAAATCGAGCGGTTTTTTCTTTCAATTCAATAAATATTTCTTCTTCGGACTCATATCGGCTACTGTAATTATCTTTACCAAGTATTTTACCATTTCTTTTGCTTATTATTTCATCTATTTTTTAGCAACTGATCTTTTTTCTTACAAAATTTCCTTTTTGGAATTGTTTTTCATAAAGTTGTACAGAATGATTTCATACTTTGACTAATTCAAACTCAAAAATCAATATCCTCTCTCTCTCTCTCGTATTATTGCTTATCTCAGATTGTTATTTATAATTTAACCATAATATGTCATTTCTTTAATTGTAAACTTTATATAGCTCTGTCCTTTATTGTTGTTAATTTGTTATTGCTATTGCTATTGTTATTGTCAAGTGGGTGTAAGATGGATGTGTCGTGATATAGAAAGGAGAGAAATCTTTTTAAAACTACGTATTATCAGTTTTATATTTTCTGCTATAAATTTTCAAAGATCAAATAATGTTTTATCAAGTATAAATAACAAGTAAACATCACATTCATAGATATAGCAAAAATATGCTGGAATTTTTTAAAATCATAATGTAGTGAATAAATTCAGCGCCATGATTCTTTCCTAAATACATTTTTAACCCTGAAATTTAAACTAATAAGATTGCGGTGAGAGTGGATAATTTGGGCATTTCGAATTGATTGATTGCAAAGAGCTTTTCCTATCCGTCGAAATGACAAGTGTGTCAAGAAGTAATTGACAATCCGACGAACATAATGGATTATGTTCGAGACTTAAATGAAATTTATCTTTCTGTTTAAATCAATTTGTTTTAGGTCAACTCGAGTTAATTTATTAGTATTTTAGTGAAATAGTGGTGCTAATGAGATGAACAATAGCACAACTATGTTTTATCAAAAGAAGCGCAAAAATATAAATTCATCATTGCACAATTTTACCGATTATTAAGCCTTTCCAATGGATGAATTGAAATCAATAAAGTAAAACAAAACAATTGATCGGAAAATAAATGTAATAAAAGTACTTTTGGCGTGAATAGTGAACAAATGACTGATGTCGTGCGTTATTTGAAAATCGTTTAACTGTTGATGGCTGTTTGGAAGGTGTCGATGTTTTGTTTCTTCCAAATTTCGAGAAAAGCCCATCCACAAAACTTGGATGTTCATGTCGTGATGTTGCTTGAGTTGATAGTGATATTGTTGTTGTTTCGCGATATCTCTCATCTTCTTCATCAACTGGTTGATGATAATAAATTACAGCAGGAGGCTGCAAAACTCATAAATTAAACTAAGAGAAAACAGTTAGGAATTTTCGCCAATGTAAAATTCTTATTCCTCATGATGGAATTTTACGATAAGAGAAAAGGAATTAAAATTATTGTAAAATATCAAACCATTGATATTCAAAAATATCAAAAATTTGCAATAATTTATCACAGGTATGGCATACAGTATTTGTGATTACAGTTTTTTTTTCTTTGATAAAATTTAAGCTATAAAATTTTATAAGAAAATTTGACACCTGTTTGTAGCGCTGAATAGTTGTAGATTTTAAAATCTTCGCATACCACGGACCGGGATCTATTTCATTTGAGTGATAATGACGAGTGTTGTGCTTTTTCAGCGGTTGTAGTGGTAATTCAGGTAAATACTGCTGAATATTAGGATACTTTGAATTTTCGTTTCGTATAACTGCTAAGGAAGGTACATTTTGCTGAAAATATGCATATGATCTTATTTTATAGAATATTTCAACAAATTATCAGTGAGAATTTAATTATTAAAACGCTTTAATAAACGACATGCAAGCATACGTTTGATGGATTTGTATTAGCATTTGGCAGAAAGGTGCTATTTAGTGAAGTTTCCAGGTCAATAGCTAATAGCTGTATGGATAAAGTGCCACATCCGTTGCAATTTTTTCGAACTTTTTGAGCATACTCTCTTATATCAGTTGTCATTTCAAATATCTCATGAATAAGTTTAGCCTGCTTCTGTATTCGTGCTAATTCATTTCGTTTTAAATTTAATTCCATTTTACACCGCAATAGTTCATCCTCTGCCTAAAATTATAATTGTACTTACAGTTGTTGATTGATAACTATAATTAAATATTATGCAGATCATTAGCCACTTCTATTATGGATCCCAATTCTATTACGAATCTTTTCAAGTATTGATTGGTACACAACTGCCCCAATTCATTATCAAGATCACGGTAAACCGTACACCTGCATAACGCTACTGCTTCAATTAATTATTACTTCTACCAGTTGTCAATTAAATACTATTGATTGTTGATTGGTTTCCTATAATTTCCATATCTAACAAACCAGTGAATCGCAATAACCTTTTGCAAACAGAACTTCTCGTTAATTTGGGGATGTCTCGATTCCACATTTACCGCACAATGTATTCCTTGTCGGATCCTTTCACTAACGATCATCTTAATAATTGGACAAATAAGAGAGAAAAACAATAAAGATCATATAAAAATTTTTGAAATTCAGGAAAATTCGATGAAAATATAAAAGAGCATGAAATGATATCTACTTTATACTAATTATATTAATCAATTACACTTAAACCCATCCATACATTCTCGCAACCATCTTACCGATACATTTTCTGATAAATATCGGATCGCCCTGAGAAGTTTTTGTCGTCCAGAATTATCGATACCAATACACTTAAAGACTGTATATATAAGCAGGCAAGATGATAAAAATTTAAATGAATAACTCGATCATTAGTTTATTAAATTTAACTTGCAAATTGAAAAAGAGTAATCAAAATGATCTCAAAAGCATTTTCAAATGGTACATATTTCTAATATCAAAAATAAGAATATCAGTTTGATATGTTAACTACTGAACATACCTTCAGATCAGCTTCTCTTAATAACCTTAAAGATGATGCTTGAAGAATATTAGCTTTCTCAAAAAGTGGTAAATATTGAGGCATATTTAAAATGAATAAAACTTCTCCCACCGTTCTGGCACATTTCAGTCTTTCTTTGGTTGACATTTGCCAAACTAAAAATACAGCAAGTTTTTTTTAAATAATACAAAAATTTCAAAAGTAATTTCAACCAACTAAAATTACATTCAATTCCTTCTATCATCTAAAAAAATAAATGAAAGGAAAAAAAGTAAGACAAAAGGGAGATATGTATTGCATGAAATTTCCTTCTACTATAGAGATTAGATGAACTACAGATACACTTATTCCCTCCAATTGCGCCTTTCTTTTACTCGCCGATTATAGAATTAATTCCTTCTTTTATTGGAAAGAAAGAAATATGTGGGAAGATTATTTTCAGATATTATCGAGAAGCTTCAAGATGTTATGCTATCCCTTACCCAAACTTTCCATCACTTTTGGGCAATGATAGTTTTAGAAAAACATTGATCTCTCGAACTTTTGATCTAATTTGATTAGCTTTCTTTTTTAGTCATTTCAAAGCGGCGATTTTAATTGAAATAATTAATCGAAAATTAAAGTTAATAACAGACTTAGATTTCAAGTTTTCATTCACAATATTCAAAATAATTCATCTTTTTGCACTAATACAATGCTAATTATTGTAAAATTATTGAACTATTTGGCAGATCATTAAGCCTAGGATATACCTGTTAAGATATCATTCATACTTCCTTCATGTGGTGCTATCACTCTACTCGTCTTACTCCAACAAAGATCAGGTTAACCGAAGTTCCAGTCAGTCCCTCTCGCTAATTGCAGCCATCATTGCATTTCCTAAGATTGCAAGAAAGTTTTTTCTCTCTCCTCTCACCTTATTGTTTAACTTCTATCATTCATCAGTTGTTCCTTAATTATCGATCGACTGTTGACGTTACTTTTCATAAACATTGAAATTGTCGAGTTGATTCAATGACCAACAATGATTAGATAATGTTTCAAAGGATTCAGTAACTCATTTATTATTGACCATCTAAAAATTTTTATGAATTTATTAATTTTTATTTATATTTTCATCCACTCAATATTAAATTGTTCAATGAATTAATACATTTGTGTGTAATAATAAACTAATTAATTTCTTCTCACTTTTCATTTATTCCATCCACTAAATAAATATTTCCTTATTAGCATGAAAATTCTTAATTATTCATTAAAACGAAAAGTTTTATTTGCATAGCAATAATTGGGAAAAAATAAAAATTTTTGAAATAGGAATTATATGCTCCCTTCTACCAATATTGAATGGCAAAGTTCAACCATAATAGGAATCGATTTGAGCAGTAACCTTATTTAGGGCAACTTATTGCAACTTGACAGCGTCGTCGTCGATGTAGCGTGCTGTATTTAATCATTTACGATAAAAACAGTGAACCCCCGCTGGGAAGTTTTATGCTATACCAAATGCCAAATGCTGCTATACCAAATGGCTAATTTTTCTCCTTTTTTTTAAAAATGTTTTATCGAATTCATATTTTTTTCTCGCGATTAATTAAAGACCGAAAGCTTTAGGAGATGTATCTTCCTTATAAATAATGCTATTTATAATTACATTTTAAAATCTTAGTTTCAGCAACTGTACATTTTAAATGAATAAAACATTACAATTGCTATTGGTGGCTACGATTTCCGTTCCCGTTATGTATTCTCTTACATGTTATAAAGTAAGTCATTTTGAAGAACATCAGCAAATTAATCATAAATTAATAACACTTAGCAAAAATATAATGCATCTGTTCGTTCGACTGTTTTTCGTCACAAAGCAGTGACATTTTATCTTTAAAGCGCAATAGAAACGCTTCAATGAGGTAGAAATCTCTTGACTATGATTATCGCAACAACAAGTTCAAATTGAAATCATAAATTGCCTAATCCATTATTTATATTACTAGTTGAACTTCCTAAATTCAGGGATTTCGGCTTTTTCGAGGTCAATCATTTGGCACAGAAACGGAAGAATGCGAGAATGAAAGAGATTACTGCTATAACATGACCGCAGAAGCTGCACTGGTTTTCAAGACCATAAAGGCTGGTTGCTCAACCTATAGATGCATGGTAAATGTTTTTGTTTAATGGGAATACATATATTACATCCAAAATCAAAAACCAGTAAGTATTTCGTTATACACAAAAAAGTTCGAGCAGATATAATGTGCAAAATTTCTCAAAGTCTCCCATCTCTCGAGACTTCAAGAAAACAATACCACAATTTAATATTTTCAGTTATCAGCGAACACATGCAGAAGTGTGACTTTCCAAGGTATACCTGTTAACTTCTGCTGTTGTAATGAATATGATCTTTGTAATTATAATCACGAATAAACTTTAAATAGAGTTATATGAATGGACATCATGACAAAGATTCATTATCATTGCTGCATCAATTATGTAGCGAAATTAGCTATTTGACGGGATGAAGTAAAAAAGCATAACTAACTTCATAAATAAGGACCGAGATGATGCCGCCGTATAAAGTTTCATATATGACACATCTTCAAATATGAATGATTACATCATAATGAACTACGACGCACAATACGCTTTCAAAAAATCCATCGCAGGCTTGCTCAGCGTGCTGTTTGCTTGGAAGTGACATCATCACATGAATAATGACATCATCGCTAGACTCGAGCTATCACATTACACTTCAATTTTATGTATGCATGCTTTTGTGATCATCCCAATATTTCTCATTGAAAATTACTATTTATCTTCTTTAGTTACTTAGGAACAACACGTTTCATCGCCCAAATCTTCCGGATGCAATATGTATATGTGCAGGGGCACCTACCTGGGTTTGTATGGTTTTGTCTCTTCGCTATTTCTTCCCTTTCTCTTCACCCCCGCAACACCGCGCTACTCACAACAATTTCGTTGCGTCATAATTTAATACTAGATGTTATGCTGCAACAGATCGGCGTCTTTAGAGCTGTCTTAAAAATTTGATAAATTGCCAAGAGAGAAGGCACATGAGAGGTCGAGCATGTTGGTTTTTTCTGTATGGGGGCAAGGGTAGGTTTGTATGAGAATGAAACTATGAGTTTGTCCTTCAATTTTCTTAGACTTATTTTAATTGTTAAGTTGCACTACCTTTATATGTCAACGTTAAGAATGAGGTTTTTTCCGACTTTGTCCTCTGCGATTTCTCAAAGGGTAGCGAGAGATGGGTGGTAAGATGAACGGAAGATCAAACCTCTCATGTTTATTTCTCATCGCTTATTTTTGTATATTTGAGGCACTATAATGAAGTATTTGGCTGCTTATTTATTGTCTACAATGGGTGGAAATAAATCACCAACAGCAAAAGATATTGAGAACGTGCTTGGTAAGCAGTACATCCTTGCTTTTGATTTCTTTTCTACAAATCTTTCGGAATGATTCCGATCGCTTTAAGTGCAACAAATTTTGTATGCAGGAAGAATGAATTTCGCTTTGAGTTTAAATTCTTACTCTCTGTTGTTTTTCTGCCCTTACAAATATTGGTTTTCCCAGTCTAAACGTTTTAGTATATTCTTGATGGCGTTAAACTTGGATTATTTTAAAATCTCCAACTTTTTTTCTTAATATATGAATGTAATACATATAATTTATATATTATAAATTATATGTTCAATGCTCACCATGTACATCATATACATTTAGGAAAAAATTATTTAGCGGACACATATATATATATATTTGCATATGTGTATTCGCTTTGTATACAAAGATTGTCAGATCTACCTAGTATATATGGCACAGTAATGAATATTGTGCAAATTGTCTACTAATTGCAAATTAGATAGCATGTTCTGCTTGTTTTACAGGATCAGTTGGACTTGATGTTGATATGGAAGATGCGAATAAAGTGGTGTCAGCCTTGTCCGGAAAATCCATTGATGAGGCATCCTTTTCATTGTGTTGAAAATTAGGCATTTTGAAAACTCATCTTTTGATAGTCTGCTTTATCTATTTTTACCGTAATAAGTTTTAATTCGAATGATATGAAGCATGTAGATGTCCTTATTCGCAACAGATGGCCATCTACGTAATACTTTCTCACCTTATAAAGTTCCATCCTGTAATGTTTTGATTAATCGTTGGAGTAGAATAATTTCACTTTTGGTCTGTTATGTCTTTTTTTCGTTCTGTAGAATATCCCTGTAGTTCTCCGGAAAGCGAAGTATCTAGAAAAAATGTTTTCATAATCCAATATGTTTTCGTAAGTTTCGGCATTTCGAATTAGACCAATTTGTTCTAATAACGTGGGTATTTAAATAAGTGCTTTGTAACCTGAAAATTACATAACTACTCAAAGTGACATCATCTATTTCAATGGAAGGCTATTTTGCTTTAAAATTTGCAGGTAATTACAGCTGGTTTGGCAAAAATTTCATCAGTACCCTCAGAAGGTGCAGCATCCGTAGTAGCTCCAGTCGTTTCAGCAGATCCCATTGGTGTGGCAGAATCTAAAAAAGGTGAAGCATTTGATTCTTTCTTAGATTATATAAATTATTGTTTTATTTCATCAGGAAGAATAAAGAAATGTGTTTTCAGAAGAGAAGGAGGAACCAAAAGAAGAATCTGACGAAGACATGGGATTCGGATTGTTCGATTAGACATTTCACTTTTATTATTGTTATGTTATTCTTGTAATGTTTGAAGGTCCAAATTATAAAATTTGTACATCATGCACATTTGCACTCAAATTACCCAAATGACTCATTTAATAAATGGACGAGTAACAGGGACGTGGTTAATTGGTGTCATGGCTGTATCCATTGAGAAGGTTAGAAGAAAGGAGAATGCCTCGAAAATTCACATAGGTAAGAATTGGTGAGTCAAGTTGGGATGATTGTGCGTTGCGTTTATTACCCACTTTCCGGTCTTTCATTGGCACTATAATTTACCACAAATTTATGCGGAACACGATGTAAACATTTTTATGAAAGTAGGAGCGTGTGCCAAGTGGAAGCGTATTTTCTGCAACGATGATAGCGGGAATGTCTAGAGGATCAATTGAGCTGAACGCATAACGCTGTGACCGTTTAATGCTTTGCCTGGTAGAATCTTCTGTTTATCTCTATTTCCCAGTATGGCAGATTCCACACGATCGACAAGTGCACCTTGCCCGTTGATCTATGAACGGGTTTGCCTCTGGATCCCTGGATATCTCCTTTAATCAATGTGTGCAAGGTCGGCAGTGCTTCAAGAAGGCGCCCATCTACCGTATACCTTTGCTTATGACAAAGCCGATGGAGTAATCATCGTGCAGCGCGGCAGTATCGCTCGCATTAGTGCAGCGGACGTGGATCGCTTGCGAATGCGAGCGGTTGGTAGCGGAGGCGTTCGCAAGCACTGTAGGAGGGGCAGGCAGAGACAAAGAGGAATTGAAGAGTTAACGGTGCTGCTTCGTTGCTGTCGCTAGTGATGCGGCTGCTCAGCGGATCCTTCTCTTCTACAGGTACACTGTCGCGTTGAGTGTACTTATAAAGAGTAGCGTAGCACGCACGTTGCGTCACATAGCGCATGCTTTCTTCTCTTAGTGAATATTTTGCTGATATAACATTGTTGGCTACCCAAACAACATCTTTATCATTATATCACTTGTTCGCTGCTCTTGGAACAGTGCCAACTCGAGCTGACCACTCCTTACTGTGTGCTGCTAAGTGTGTAGATGTGTTCTACTCTTTCGGCTAGTACTAGGGCTGCAGCGCATTAGTTTCGGTTGATGTACCATTATGTGATGGTACAGTGACATTGTGGTCAAAAGCTCAACTCTGTCATATTCACAGTATGACGGTCACTTATATGCTGGAATTTATTTTAGCAATCTTTTATGCTGTGTCAATGACATAACGTGAATAGCACGCATGTAATGATGTATTAAAAGACGTTCTTTATGATACATGACATTATTTGCTAAACTGTAGCAGTGATTATTTCATCTTTCCCACGGTAGTACACTTCAGGTCATTAGGCCGTGAAAACATCACGTTGCGTGAACACTTAAATTGCATAAATCATTTGACAATTTAAACTCCAAGTTTCCATTGTTATATTCACTTGCTTCAATTATTGAATGCTGCAAAGGTCATTTGTCTTCTCTTCCTCCACGTTATTAGTTGTTGTTCATGCTTACTTCACCTCTGGTTAATAAATATCGATCTGATGGGAATGATGGTAAATTGTCTGCTGTGTATTGTTATGACGTGCCTCGTATGGATATTCATTTCATTCTCTTTCTCTTTTTCTCTTATTTTCAAGCTCAAATGCACAATTCCGGTCAGTTTCCATGTTAGTTCCCTTACAATTAAAGGTGCTTGTACATCTTCACGCTTGTACACCCTGAATGACATATAACTTAGTGTGATTCGACTAAGAAAATAAGCGGAAGTAGGAGCTAATCCCCTAGTATATACATTCAAGGGAACTTTTGTATCCGTGCCCTTTAATCCCTGTTCTATGCTGTTGTAATATAGATATGAATGAGGCACATCGTAACTATGCCTAGTTAGATGATAATTGCTCTTGTTTTCTGAAAGGAAGATGTTCCTTTATTGCTAATAGAAGTCGTACCTGAAAGTATAGAGCAATTGGATTTCTTCCGATATGAGTGCATCAGTTAGTTGGAAAGCTATTAATGATACCACGCTTCGATTAAATTTTTTGCAAGCGCCATTGTTGATTAGCAGTAAATTGGTAAACTGAGGGGAATGAGAGATCCAAATAAGGATGCTTCCAAGTTTCCTTGTTAAAAAATTTGAAAGTAATATGAATGAATGAACTGAACAAGTAGGTGCGATGATCCGAGAAATAGAACATGGTGAATGTTACACAATGTACTAAGCGCTATTTGTAATCTTCTACAGTTCATTATTGCAGAAGGTATTAGTTCTTGTAAATTTTCGATTAGTATTTATTTTATACTGAGTTACGTCAATATACCAAGTAGATGACATTGTTACCTCGTGTTTTCGTTTTTCATTATTGGGATAAATTTTGGGGTTCATGTTAGGAGAAATTGGTTAATCAATGTCATTCATATGAACTTCCTGTTTCATGCGAGGATATGATTGTGAGAAGTGTGGTTGATGGTGAAAACTTTGTCTGTGTGTTTGAGTAAGTCCTCTCTTAACCAGTAACGAGACTGTAGTAGTAAATGTTTTTCAACATTCTCGTTATGCATTTGTGCTACTAGCAAGGAAATGTGTTTTAAGGCATTTCCAGCTTTACGGCTAGAAAGCGCACGAGTATACTAACAAGGATATAAGTTTAAGTGAGGAAAGAGAATGTGATGGACATCATTATGGACATCAAACGATAAAATTTGTTTAAAGTAGATGGTTTTCAAGAAAAAATTGTTAGAACATGGAGTACAGTGAGTATTGATTGTAATGCAATTATCCTTGTTTTGAGTCACTTTTTCATATGCGTATAACGAGATGTTAGTCATGTGAAAAAGGCAGCAGTTTACCTAATGTTCCAATTTTTCAGGTTTCGGATAATCTAATGAACGCGGCCAAAATTCGGCGGTGAAAAGCTTTTCGCGCAAAATGTGAGTTTGCTTAAAAGTAAAGATAATAGTTTATCCCAGTTTCACCGTTTATTTTTGTTGTTAGTGTTTTCAGTATTTCCATCTCTGGTTTCTTTCCAGACGTAACGTCTTATGTTTTGTCAAAATCAGGGATGTGATATATATAATCAGTTTCGTATCTTCTATCTTGCGAATTGCTTTCAGTTACACGAAGTCCATCTTCTATATTCTAGATAGTGAATTTCAAATAGTTTTATCGCAACATTTTTTTCTATCAACTTTTTACAAACTTTATTATAATTCCTCAACGGAAAAATTATAGTTTTTCGAAAATTTGTTTACAGCGTCTTATGAATGCCGCATGAACGAACAGTGGTCGTGTGCCGGTATTTGTGTAGAACCGCAATCTGAACAGCGGTCGCTTGGTACCAACCAACAAGCAACAGCAGAAACACTTAATCTTTCTGGAACTGATAGGACAACTCCGGCAGCGTCCATTTCAACGGCAACAACCCCAACAAATTTTCCTAATTGTTCATCGCCCTCCTCATCGTCACAACCTGATTGTGCCACTGGCGCTACAGGCCTTTCCAATTCATCAGCAGTTGACGGTCGTATATTGACTGCTTACCCTACAGTATCATTAAACAAAGGTGAGCTTTGATGTGTTTTGGGATGCTCCAAATGCGATATATTAAATAGCTCATAAGTGTATTATTCACTAATTCATTGGTAAGACGAAGCGAGCTGTAGTATGAAATATTTTTGTTATGGAAAAAAAGTTGTAAAGCTTCACAAGAAATTAAAATCGATTACATTTACTGGAACATATTGATATGTTGAAGATGATCTTATGAGCTTATCAGAAGATGAAGGTTTCAGTTACAATTAGTACATTTATCGCAATTACTCGTTAAGGGTATTATTGTTTCAGTGGAAGAACAGAAGAGCAATAGCTGCAGTTATGAACCTTCATCGAGTGTGCCAACGGACGATATCCTTTTGTCGTCCAGTTCAGGAAGGCTGACAGACGAAACTTATCCGTCTACCAGTACAGCTGAAACTAATATTTTTGACGAAAAAACAACATTACACGATTGTCAGTTGTCTCGAATTATCCGTCGTCGGTGCAGATTTTTGCTACCGTCTAATATTTCTCATAAATTATTGCGGATAGCATTGAAACAACCAACTACATTGAAACATTTAAGTATGATTTTAATATTGTAAACTATTTCGAATTGGCTCTCAATTGCACATTTTAGAACATAGATTAAAATACAGAAAAGTAGCCAAGATCCGTTAGGAAATTAAGGATTCAGTTCATTTGATTTGATCTTTTTCGATCTTTAAAGCTTAGTGGTCATGCTTGTCGCAAAAAATTTTTTGTAGTTTCAACATCATTTTAAGAGATCGAGGTGGATGGTAGTAGTATCTCCATATTCTTTTTTCATTTTTAGTTTATTTTCTTTTTTTAATTCGGAAATATTCTGTTTTTTTTTTCGAATTTCGAAGAAAAAACATTATGTTAAGCATAATATGTAATTCAACCTCATATTTTCAGGCATAACTTCAGTGAAAGTCGGTGAATCAGATCTGTTACCAGTGACTGTGAGTGATGCAACGCTAAGCTTACTTTCAATTCCATATTCCAGCACAGGTTCTGAAATGAATTCATTGGCTGGTGTGCCAGTCGGTTCTAATGCTGCTGATCGAGCACATGTTTATGATACTTACGAAAGGTGTGCTATTCGGTTAAAGCTTGGTAGAATTTTTAATTTTTCGAGAAAATCAGCAAAAAAATTATTTTGATGCATGTGTTGCATACACAGAAGATTTCGAAATCTCTTTCTAATAGAAGTTTTTCATGTTACACTTCTGGGAAGATATGCGCAACCGTTATATGTACTGCTTTATAGTGAAAATAGCCGACATGAATTGGCACCATCAACTTCATCTGGTCATGCACCAGGTAAACGAAAAGCTGGCGTGATTAATAATGATATATATCAGACAGCGATCGGGATGCACGGTTACACGGGATCTGCTACTGGAAAACCCAGTGCAACTATTGCAGTGGCTTCTGTAAAGCAGCAACAACCTCAGACTGCATCTAATACTAATAGCCCATTACTGGTCAATTTATTAAGGTAATTATAGGAGAAAGTTCGTTCACATTGCTAATCATAATGCAGCCTAATAATATTCTTTCCTACATTCATCGTCATAATTTTACTCTGATTATTCAGTAAACGTTACGTCACCATTTCCCTTATAATGAATGGCATGTTATAATCGTTCAGTAAATTTTGACTTTCTCTGCCAAGTACAAATAGCAAGTATCAATGTTTGTCTTTGATTTTTTATTGCGTGTAATTGAGGGTCGGTGTGATTGACAAATATGGCAGTAACTTTTAAATTTATTGTTTTTCTGTGAAAAAGTCTCACTACTATATAAAGCAAGATACTACGGGTATGACATCGTAATACTCTCTGTTGCTTATTAATATTTTTAAATCTTCAGAAGTTCATCACCAGTTGCTAGCGCTAACATGCATAATTTGCAACATACACATATATCGCGTCCTTCTGTTACTCCGGTAATGCAGCACATGTCAGCGCCTTCTCTACAAACTCAGGGAACTACTGGTATAATACCTTTTTTCCTATAAAATTATCTTTACTTCAACATGTAGGCAAATTTTGGATACTTTAAATCACCAATTCACATTTCAGGCATTAAGTGGAAATGGAAAGAAGAACATTAAAATTTTCTTTAATTATTCTTGACATATACAGGTTATTCGTCATATCCATACATGGGGCAAAACGCAATGAATACAGCAGTGCAGCCTGGTCGAATACGTCCTTCAACAACCCCAATGGAAGCTTCTCATTTAACTACCTCCACGCATGCACGTTCTGAACAGCAGCAAATGCGACCAACGCCTCAAGAGGCATGGTTTAATTTTTGTCTTTAATTTTCCTGAAAATTTTTCCTGAAAACTGTTTTCTTTGATAATGATAGTGAGTGAAATGCAGCGCATATAATCCTCGTATAAAAGTCCATGGCACCAGTGTGTGCAAGACTTGCCCTGAATACTTGTTTTGGTTTATGCCTGTAGCATTATTATTATCAGCTTTCAAATCGAACACATCTTAATTTCAGAGAAATATAAAAGGCACTTAGGAAAATTATAGGAAAATCACGTTAGAGGAACTGCTTCATATTCTAGGTCAATATGGAAAGGCATCAGCAAATAGTTGCGCCACAACAGCAAAGCGCACCGGCTCAGCAATTACCTCAGACATATTATCCTCAATACAACCAGAGACGTCCAATGCTTGCTGTAAGTTTCAAATGGTGTTATTTAACTTCGGTAATAATAACGTGTCTAATGATTCAGTTTTACATGAACGATTATGAATGATTATTTTAATGAATGATATTTCTGACTAAATGTGTCTTCTTTCTTCTTACTTAAGTATTTTTCAAGCAAGAGAAATGTTTTCATTATATTATCTTCAAGGGTTTCGCAGTCCGCGGACAAATACCGCAACAGCAACCTGCTGTATATGCACATCAGCAGGGACAAATGATGCCTCCTCATTACATCCATGTGCAGCAGCAACCAAGACTTTCTGGACAGCCAATGCCAGTTCATTTCCACCAAACAGTTTCTTTAGAGCAGGTAGAAAATTATTATTTTAAGAGAGAGCAAAAATGTGTTTTCTCTTTGTTCCCAGTTTTTTGTCAGACATTTCGCAATTCATTTTCTGATTCTGCACAATTGTATCGCATTTCGCATTAATTATTACTATTTTAGTCATTTTAAAAATGAGTATATATGTAAATAATATTTCCTTAGCTTATTTTCAATTCGTATTTTCAATATTTCCGAAAAAAGAGAAAATAACATTCATCTGTTCTGCTAGGTCGTTTTTTATCTATTTTTATATATGATATAGAAAGTCCTGGATAAACTATAAATGATGACGCTTTTAGCTATATCTTTAATGCTTCTTATGATACTTATCTCATTTAAGCATTTCACATTTCGAATATTGAAATTTTCGCAGAAACGTTAAGTAATTGTCTTTAAGGATGTTGGCGCTCCAGGAAGTCAAATGTCTGTTACCGCTCCTCCTCCCAAAAAAAGGAAGCGACCAACTAAAAAGCAATTGAAAGAAGCTGAAATGGCGCAGCAAGCCGCGGCTGCTGCCGCTGCGCAACAGCAGTTCATGATGGAGCAGCAGATGAATAGCCGAGTGCCTTCTGCAAATGCTCATACGGTGGATAGGCCTAATGTCATGTCACAGGTTGTACTAACGTTTAATTTTGTCTTCATCTGTTAGCATTTTAATCGCATTATTTTGTATTTCTTGAAATTACTATAATCATAACTGAAGTGTTGATGTTTTAACGGAACGACTATTTTTTAAATTGTGAACGTCTCGTAAATGGAGTCTACATATGGAGATTTATAGCGTGATGTAAAATAATATCAGAAGGTGCTTTGTAGAATGACAAGTGTAATAGCTTGATTAAGTTTTACTAAAATAATCTGTAAGTTTTCGTGCATTTACAAAGGGACTTAACTGGATGTATGGTGATAAATCTTGGCTTTCAGGTAATGCATAGTGGTCAGCCGAATATCGGAATAACTTATGCGCAACATCCTCAGGGATATCCTCCACAAACACTTCACTCTCCTCCCGCTGTTTCTGCACAGACTGGGCCAATGATGCAGGTTGTTCATTAAAAAAAAAGTTTTTTTGTAAATTTAAAATTGGAATTGTATCTAAAAGATCTAGAGGATATTTGGGCCATGAATATCGCGCTATAGTTATTTGTGATTAATTTTTCAGTCTCTTGTTTGATGATCGCCCTTTCAAATTTTTCAATAAAGATGCACTTGAGAAGTAATTTGTTTTTTTTTTTTTTTTTTTTCATGAATACTTTCATGAAAACTTTCAGAATCCAGCTTCGAACCCTTCTTTTTATCAACAGCAAAACGTTTGGGTCCCACAGCATCAGCAACAAGTGCGTTTTAGGCCTTTTAGTTTCTGCTGCTTCAAAATTATTGGTTCTTTATTACTTGTTATATGAATAAAATGAGGATATATTAACTTTTAAAAACAATTTCGATCACATTCTTTTGGATTCCAGATTATGCCACAACAACGGCCACAGATGATATATAGCGGTCAGATACAGCATCACTGGCAAAATAATCAGCCGCATCACCCACGAATGATGTATCCTCAAGCAGATAACGGTTTGTTTGTTAGAAAATAAAAGTTTATTTTGTTGGGGACATAATGTATGGCAAATATATGAAATGTCCGGATTTTGTTCGGCCATATTCTCGATATTCGAATACAGTATAGAAACGTTGTTGTGGTAAATATGGGAAATAAGCGGCATTACACCACAAGAAGACAAACAGTTTTTTTAATAGGAATAGATCACGCAAAATTAAAATCAATGTATTCAAGAACAAAACGGATCTAAATGAAATGATGATTACTCCTGTTTTAAAATAATGGTTCCTTTACAGTATCCGAAATGAGTGCTGGTTCATCTGGCAGTGTCCATACATCTCCTATGACTAGCCGGAATGCCTCCATTGATTATTCCCCAGCATCACAATCCAGCAGCACAATGTCGCCGCTTTATCAGCAACAACAAGTAAGCTTAATGTTTTTTTGAACTCAATAATTTATTTGTTTAGCAAGTTTATTCGGTAAGCTTTAATGAAGTCAGATGTTCAATCAAGATTAATTATGGCTTATGCAGCCAAATATGGTCTATCAGCAGCCATCGAATCAGCAAACACCTCCATCTGGTTTAACTTATCCGCAGCCTTCACCATCTCAGCAGCAAGTAGGTGGTATTCCTGCACGATCTCAACAACAGCAAGCAATGCCAATGCAAATGCAAGAACCGCAACAACAGCAACCACCTCCATTCTCTGCGGAACATTGTCTAGACATACAACCGAAGAGTTGTTTACCAGTATTACAAGGTGGAGGCGATTTCGAAATGGATGATGAATTGGGTGCTAATATTGATGACTGTAAGTTATTAATAATTATCAACTTTTTTAACTTTTTGCTTTGAAAATATTTCAATTTTCAGAAATTCAGTTCCATTAAATTCAGTTCCTGGAGATATGGATTTCATGAAAAGGATATCGAAAATCTATTGACATTGCAGCTACTTATGGGACATTTCATTTTTAGGTGGTGACTACAATGATTTGGATTCCATTGAACCAATGACTGAGTCGAGCGAGTTTGGGGCCACGTTGATGGCTTCCCATCAACAGCAAATGCAACAGCGGCCAGCAAATACTCAGCAACATATACAACATCAGCAGCACCAACAACAGCAGTACTATGGTCGTATATTACCTCCTCAAAATCGTTACGACATTCAATCGCCGATGCAGCAACAAAATGTTGATTATATGCGACAAATGTGTAATGAAACACAAATGCGGCAATGTGGCTTTCCGGGTACGCTTAATCTCTCTCAGCAACAGCAACAGTCACTTTCTCAGGGTTATTCATCTCCACAGCAGCAACAGCAGCCACAACAAGGGACAACCAATTTATTTATGAGTCCACCACCACAACCAAATTGTTCTCCAAGCCCTTATACTCCTCGATCATCACCACAAAAAGATGGCAACACCTTTACTACCCGACAGCAGCAGCAATCGAGACATATTGCGACACACCAGCAGTATGCAGCATCATCGTTATCGCAACAGCAACAGCAATCTATTCGAACACCACTTAGTGCTCCACCACAATTACAGTTGCATCCATCCTGTGGACGAATTGATGATTTACGATCATCGCGATCAGGTCTATTTATTTATTGTTTATTAATTTTGTGTTTATAGCCATTATTAGTATGACTAAGTGTCATTCTGCAGTGCTCCATTTAGCTATGAGATGAACTGAGGCTGACTGAAATGGAGAGTGATTGGAGCCACTAAATAGTCATCAGTCACCATTTTTTATCCACCCTTAAGTACAAACGTTCATAACTGTAAGCTTTATAAATAGGAGTACATCAGTTATTCTTGTTGTTTGATTAAAATCGAATATGCGCATTTCTAAATATTTATGCAGATTTCTTCATCATAAATTTGAAAATGATTTACTTCCTCAGTGATTTAAATATAAATCGCAAAGTCAGCTAAATAACATTTAAATGATTTCAAGAATCTTTTCAGATAGTGAAGCAACGTCGCGAGTGCCAGCTATTGATTCAAACGCCACATCTATTGAATATGATAAAGATCCTATCAATTCTACAATAGGTACCGAAATCTCGTTTTTATGTTATTTTTAAAAGTTGGGGTAGAATCAGAAATCCAAAGAGATATATTAAGAAGGACTTGCATCTTCCTATCGGAACTGGTCGGCATTAATCATTCACTTGATCACAATGCAGTTTTTAAATGTTTCAAAAAGAGCCCATTTCATTTTATTCGCTTAATTTACCTTTTACATCTTTAATTGGAAAAATTTTGGTTTTCACCTCTTCCGGTCTTTTTTAACAAATCTTCGGTATCGTTCTGACCGTTTAATTTTTTGTACATCTTCTCTGTTAGGCTTGAAATTGTTTCATTCAGATGCAGTAGTTATGCGAGCACTTTCGAATCAAGATAGCCTTTCCTCCACAACCATTTCGAATTATTTTCGTGGGTCACGAAATCGTTCATCAGGAAATACTCAGTCTTCGGCAGCTGAACAGACTGGGACTAATGATAGTGCGTATTTCATTTTTCATTTATAATTTGCTAGTTGTTAATTTGATACTAAATTTAACTGTTCTTAAATGAATGAGCTTTTGGATATGTTATAGTAAAGTCATGAAGTCGAATAATTTATCCTCAATTAAAAGCTCTAAATGCCTCCATCCATGCAGGAAAAATGATGGGTAACAACATCACTACTAATGCGAGATCGGTGAATGTAACCAAACAACCAGGACAGTTCCAAAGCTCCCAACAAAGTTAGTTTTATTTCAGCAGATTGAGCGAAATTATTTATGTAGGCCAGGGCTTGCTGTTTATTTCTTTGCTCATCTTTGTTTAGTCTTTTATTTGTAATCGCGTTTGTGGCTGACATTTTTCATTATATAGACAGTTTTTGAATTTAAACCATTTTGAAGATATCTTTCAGTTTTGATTAAGAACGGTAACAAACTAGCTCTGAGCAAAGCATATATCGCGAGAATATTAGACCGAATGAGTGTTGGCTCGTCAGGGCAGAGTAGTTATAATGTATATGTGTGAAGAGTGCGGAAATGCAAGAAGCACATTTTCTCGTGATGTCAGAGAACTTAGTATTTTACCTTAAAAGATTTGAAATAGTCTTTTCAGCTCAACAACTTTCAAATATTGACAACAATGTGATGGACGGTTCAGGACTGGGGGCTACTGGGTCTCATAACGGTCAGGCGACGGGGAATTCTGCTTTGCCTTCAAGTAAAACTCCAGTCTCTGCTCAGCAGTTAGCTTCTGCAAGCCGCGAAAATCTTCATGGTTTAGCATGTGGTATGCCCTGAATCTTTCGTTAATGTCGAGTTTCGGATTGTTTTGCTCGATCTGGTGGGAATCTCTTTAAAGTCTTCGAAGAAAAAACATATTTGTCATCATTTTTTACATTTGACATTTGGAGCGCTTTGAGTTGGTTTTAAGGCAATGGTGTCCTTCACATATAATATTTTTTTTAAGAAGCCGAGAATATAAGTTTTTGAAACCGACTTTTGGACTGTTTAAATTTTTGTTTCAGGTGGGGGTGGCGAAATGCATGTTCTTACTTTGTCAGGCAGACAACAAAAAGACCAGAGACTTAATGATCGAATTGGGGACCAAAGATCAAATAATACGGTTGAACAACATCATTTGACCAATGGACACGAGTCACTGAACATGCTAAAAGTGGGCAGTTTGGTTTTTTCAACTTATTTATAAGTCTATTTTTGACATGTGACTTTCAAAAAATGCTTCAAGTTTTAACATTTCAGCTTTTTAGTGTTTTTTGTACGTTATCTGCAAATGATGAAAAGTTTGGAGGAAGCCTATTTTTTGTTCCTTTTGCTTGGATTAAGGAATATGAGTGCGACGTATTCAGTGCATTACTGCATAAAGGGTTTTCGATTACAGTTGTTGTGCGAAGGAATATTGTAGAGTACGATTTGAGGTCGAAAAGTTGCCCAGTACAACAGTATTAAATGGTTAGGAACCTTAATATCTTTCTCAAATTTAGGAACGCGGATTTGCTCAGCCATGTAACGGAATGCTTCCATTGTCGCAGTCAAATGATGACGAACGGAGGTTAACAGGTGGATTGGCTTCAGTAACCACGATAACTGATGCGCAGCAACCGCAACGGTCTTCTCCAAAAGCTGCGGGGACAGCAAGACGTAATCGTCGTAAGGCAGATTTATCTCTGGAAGCACTGTCTTATGATGACGAAGATGAAATTACCGTTCCAACATTTGGAACAGCTCAATGTAATTATTTCTAATTTTTTTTACTAGAAATTTCTGTCCATTTCTTTCTGTCATATTGGTTGTAACTGATGTTTATATGTAGGATTATAACAGAAAAAATTTCTTTAGCTAATTTTTTCGAAAGTCGATTTCTTATTCATTTGCAATTAGATACAAGTGATATAAAGCGTGATCTCCTTTCTAATATGTTTTATCCATAAAAATTTATGAGGAGAAAAGTTTGAAATTTATGGTTTTCAACAATAGCGATGAATTTTAGCAGCGTATCAAGCTCCGTATATGAGACGTGTAAGTGTTCCCGGTAGTATTGTTGTTGGATGTAGTGGAAGCGCTCCAGCGCAACCTCCTTTCGCAAATATCAGTGTACAAAGTGCTCAAAATAATTTTTCTGCCACAGTGGCTCGACAGCAGCAAATGTTGAAGCAGCAGGTAAGAAGCTTTATTAGATTGAATATTTCTAGTCTTTGTCGATGTATGCTTTTTAGATTCTTTTGAGGAAAAAGTTCAGCAAAAATGTATTCTTTGTTTCAGACAAATGGTTCATTCAAAATTGTGCATGTCTCCTTGCTGTGACACTTCTCTTTTTTCATCGAATATATTTTTCAGCCGAAAACATTGTAACATTTTTGTTTTCAAAACGAATGGTCCAGCTAATTATCATTTATTAAAATCATTTGTGATCACTGTGCGGGACAACTTTGTTATGCGATATTTTCGTTCAGTGCTGTTCGGTTCGCGCTCAACTTTTAAATAGGTCTGATTTCTTGAATTTATCTTTTTTTTCTAATTTTATTCGCTGTTGTTTCTATTTACGTCTTTTAAGCCGGTGTAGTTACAGGATTTGAAGATTATACAATTAATTTGCCACAGCAAGATAAGATAGTTCACAAAACTTTGCACTTGCAATTCTTTCTAAACTGTAGCTTGGTTTTCGTTACTGGCAGCTTTTTTTTCTCATAGTTGGAAGATAGAAATTTAAAACGTAAATCTTAGTAAATACGATGGATATTAAGTTTTATTTGGAATTAATGGTTCTTCTGGCTCTCCTTCAGTTTGAAAAATGTCCATTTTTCTCATAACGCAGTGCCATTTTTCACTAAAATCCGAACGTTTATGCCTTAATGAGGTCCACAGTATTTTATCCTTGTCATTATTGCATTATAATATAAATTGTGAGACTCGTTTTTTGGAGTACCAGCTTCTCATCTTTCATATGTGAAAGTCAATTAGCTCATGTTTGATGTATCTTGCGAAGTAAAGATTTAGGGTAGAACTATATAGGAATTTTAAAACTTCACAAAAACTAATTTGAATATATGCAGAAAAGAGTGTCAGCTCATAGCCTGAGAAAGCTAATTTATATGAAGCATTTTGTCTTCGTGCGTAGTTTTGTCCCTGCGATCTCGTCGTTTTGGGTAGTCATAAAATAAAATAAAACTTCTTTTGTCGTTACATTTCTCTTGTTTTTTTCCAAATTGTATATTAAAAGCATGTAGTTTTTCAACGTTTGATAATTTGTGGTATGTTTTGTACGTTTAAGTTTTCATTATAGTTCGTTTTATTTCTTCAGTTAAGTGGATTAATTTTTGATTTGAAATTCAAATCAACTTTGTGACAATGTGTCTCAATGTTTTGTGGTTCATTATGTGTGCGTCGTTTCTGCTGGGAATCCTCCACAACAGAACAGTTTCCCCTCTCACAATTTTCGAAGTCTTTGCAATTTTTACTCGAAAAGCCCATTTTGTTTGCTAATGTTCGGTATATTAATAACGTGTGTCGTGTGCACTGTTTCTTCTTGTTTCTTCAAATATTTGTATGCACGCATGAGGAAAACGTGAAATGTCTTTCGATGATAATGTTATTTGTTTTCCCTGAAGTGTTTTTTGTTTAATTCAACATAATTTGATAAATCACGCAAACGCCTTTTGGTTAGCAGTGTTCTTAGAGTAGGCAGGCAATAGGTGCTGGCGAACTAATTTCTAGCAGTCATCCGAAGTGAAGTATAATTATACATTGTACATTTATAATCCCAGAGAGTCTTATAAATAAGTTTATGAGTAACGCAATCTGAAGGCAACGCAGTATTGATTGCTCCCGGACTGACTATATTTACTGGTTTCAATTCATTGGAAAAATAACTACTCGGAATAAATTATTACTAAAAGATAACGATTTGTTTTGCTGCGCTGTTCCCCACAAAGTTATGAGCTAGAACTACAAAGTACATATCTCTCTTGAAATTTAAACTTAGAAGTTCGGGACGGTCATGCAGAGGTAGATCGACTTTGAGTCAAATTAATTAATGAGATTTTGAAGGCTTCGCACCGAGTTGCCACATATTTTCCGTCTCGTTCCATACAGTTTTTTGCTGTGGTATTCCGTATTAGTTGCGTAAATTATTTCGACTTTTGGAAACTATTTCTACTTTTTCATTTGAATATATGTACACAAGATGTTTTAATGTGTATGTATGATGTGAAAATAAAATCTATACTAGTACATTTCTCCATTATTCATAGATATATCTGACATGCGAGGAGTTGCATAATCAACTGAAAACCGCGAGGTTTTGCTAGTGTTCTGACCTGCATGTCCATGTTCCACAACGTAATGAAAGTCCTGCAATCTCACAAGTGTAATGATTTTGGTTTGAAATTAGTGATGTAAACTTTGGAGAGAGACAATTACTGTTTAAGGAGGGAGGGAGCAGGAGCCCTTCTACAGGAAGAAAAAGGATGAGGAACTTTCATTATATGAATCAGTAGATTCCCCAAATAAATACCAATTTAAAAATTAGTTTGAGTTAATTCGGAGGAAGCTCTTGATTGCAATCCAATACATGTTGAAATGTAGCTGCAAAAAAGGATTTTGAATCATCGGTTATTAGTTAAAGCAGAAAAAATCTTTTACAACAAGAGCAAAATATGTAGGAATTAAATAATGTAATTAAGCAAACAGAAGCTGAAATGGATGGATGTACATATCATGCGTATCTCAGACCATTATCAGAATAAGAGTCATTAAGACTCTTGAAGACAATAAAGTTCCATTTTTTATTCACTGAAAACTCTGTATGAAAATTCACATGCTGTAGAAAAAATATCCTGTTAAGCGAAGGTTAAGGTAGAATCCTGCAAATAAGTCTCAAAAAATGATAGTGAAAGATTGACGTTCACAACGCTTAGGTTCCCTGGCCTGATAAGAAGTATATAACAGATCACAATTAGCAATGTCATTACAATTCTCAAGCAATCAAATGAATTTTATATTATCATATTATCACTGTAGCGCTTACTCGACTAGAAAAAAAAATTTCAGACTAGACAGTTTTCTATGTCCGAAAAAAACAACTTACAAGTATAAAAGTTGTTTAATATTACCATCTCACTAACATTTCGGGCAAAACTGCTCTTAAAAATTATATAACTATACTACGATTACAGCAACAACTGGTACGACACAACATTATATGATAAGATTCATTTGGATTTTTAGAACAGAAATTGCTAGCAAAACAATCTCTGTTCGCAAGAAATCAAATTATATACATTATCACTAAGTAGCAGTACAGTTGCCAGACGGTACACAGCAGACTTGCTGTACAACAGATAGAGTTGCCTGTTCACGATGACTTAAATATTCCACTGTAACTGATATGTCAAACTGCATGTTAACATAGAGTGAAGTTAACCGCGAAAATGGCGCCTGACAATATTCCCTTCAAAAGAAAATATTGAAATGACTTCTAAACATAACTGGTGCAACAAATGCAAACCAAAATAAAATATTTTACTTTAATTTACAAAACTGGATGAAATCTATATTTTTCCAACCTCAAATGAAAAACATTTTTTTTAAAAAGAGTTTACATCAAGGCCTTGAAAATACTTGATAAAAAACCCTTATTAGCAATTCGATAATGAATTTCTTAGAGAAAAAAAACTTACGCGACACCACCTTTCAATGTCACTGTATTATTGAACAATAAAGTCTGGTCTCGACTGGTTCTGGGTCCAACATACACGTCAGTGGTGTTACCACCAACACCAATGACATCCGTTGACCAAGGTTGAAACTTTGACAAGATCGTCGCCGATGAATTTAGCACTTTTACAGAATAGTAATTTGCATTAGATATATTGAATTCGTTCTATAACGAATTTCTCAGAGACATAAAAATTTTAAGAGCACAATGGATATGCTTATATGCAGATCTGTAAAGTCAAATCCTTTTGAGGTGATGAAATCCTTTTAAAAAAAAAGAATAATTTACAAAAATAATTCGAACTGCTCTAACTGTGCAGAAAAACTGATAGCTGGATGGTTTGGACTACTGCGTTACAAAAGGCTTTCTTGATGCTAACACAACTCAGTCACATTGTTAGTTAAAATCATGAAAACTGGTAAACAGGTAAAGCAGTTTATGACGTAAACGGATGATTTTTAATGAGAGCAAACAGAAATGAAAGCTCTAAGCTGTTAATGAAAACAAGTTCAAACGTTACCATAAAATGAATACCAATATGACTTTCGTCATGATGAAAAACTGTTATGATTTCAATTGGTGGTTTTATGCTACTTAGATAAATCGCGCGTGGCACCAATAGAAAAATTACAACACCTGCCAGTGAAAGACAGCCAAGAACGACGCAGAAAACATAAAGCCAGCTGAACATAGTATATGAAAAGACTACACCCAACTTAAATTGGAGAAATAAAATTGGAAATTGAACTATTTTAGTATTAATACCTTCAATTGATTTTCTTATTCCTTCCAATTAAAATTAGAACTGACAACTATCAATAAATAAATGACAACATACGTTCTTTTCGGTTTTAAACGATCGTCGTTAACTGGAATTAGAGCTACCAATGTTTCCTCTAATTCTGAAAGAATTTTCATCACTTTGTTCTAAATGAAACATCAATTTGTCTAGCAAAAAATAACTTCACCAAACATTTCCTTTCAATATAAAAAGAGCAATAAATAAAGCAGCAAGCTGAAACCTTTACCTTTCGGGATCCGACCAGAGCCCTTACAACTCGGGCAAGGCACTGAACCTCCCATCAGTTCAGTGTAGCCCATCGAGTTGGTTCTTGATGGAAAGCCACATTCGTTTGTAAGATTTATTGTGGAACCAAACGATGAAGAAGCATCACCAGTAGAAGTACCACCAGTAACACGACGACGCACTTTATCTACTAAATTTTTGGTACCTTCGACAACCGAATACATGACTTGCGCTTCACCGTGCAAACTAGCAGCACTTCAACAAATACAGGTGAAAAAAATTTTCCGTAAAGCAAAATACATATTTACTATTTGCTCCAACAATATAAACCTTTCGTGGAGCCGAAAATTTCCTGAAAAAAACCAGATTACGTCGAAAAACGAAGCAGCATGCAATATGCAGCACTCTGCAGGGTTTACACCTCATTGTGATAGCGAAACAAAGATAAATTACACGAAGCAAAGCGTGTATCCAATCAAATTTTCATAAAAAAATATCAAGCAATTCAAAACAACATCCTATTCGTGATAGAAGCAAATCAAAAAAAGGGATGATACAAGAAAGAAACATAAAATCTTGGAGAGAACTCAAATTTTCTGTGTTCAAGAGGATATTTGCAACAAAATGCTCTCAAAAATTTGTCATCCATGTATTTCTGAAAATACTGAAAATACTGAATATACGCTTTCCGACATAAGACCCATAGAATTTCTTCCACACAATTTAAATTAACATAACTTTCTTTCAAAAATATAAAAATATTGAGTAGATAAATATTGCGAAGCAGCAGGCAAACAATCTGTAATACGAATGTTTATCAGATAATTGCTTTAGATAGTCTTATAAGCACAAAATCCATATATTCAATGTCAGTGGTTTTAGGAAGCCACGGAAAGTGTTCTTCGTTGAAAAAATTTAGTTAAAGATCCACTTTAAGCAGAAAATTATGAATAGATGCACTATTATTCATATCATCAATATAGGTAATAATTTTCTAGTGATAGAAGTACAAAATTCTTTGCTGATCTTAAAAGAATGACTACTCCTATTCTATATGCATGTTCAACCTAGAAATAAAATATATATACAGTGAAAAGCATTTTAAGGAATTTAAAGATGATATAGAATTAGAACAAGAACTAGTAATAAACACAAAGGGAAAAAACATTTTTTTATGTTCACTACTAACTTTAAAAGTGTTGTTAATAAAATTATATTAATATCACAATAGTATTAAATATTGACACTTACGTATTTAACAAAAGTATGAAAGTTCAAATGAAAATTAGACACGTTCTGACGAGCCCAATAAAATATGCACATTATTCACGATTTCATATGTGACCATGTAGAGCATACATGAGGAAGTTAGCATCCTAAACATGCGCTACATATTCGTCACTAGAAGAAGCGTCAAAATTTCCTCGATACCGTAACAAACATCCGAATTTTGTTTCCAAAAGTTCGGATAATATTCGCGGTGATGATTCATCGTAGATCGCATCACAGAGAGGCAATAACTGCAAAATTATTATTTGAATCTGAGTAATGGATAATGTAACTTGTAATATAATGATATATTCTTTTTGCTGAATGCCACGAAAAATGAGACAATTTTGCGTCTTTTTCGGTTGCCGTAATTTAGATAAAGTAATTTTTGATAATTGGAATACGTTGCTCCTATCATTATGGCCAAATAGAAAAAGCGCTTCCAAGAAAATTTTTCAAGATGCGAATGCACAAGAAGTCACGGCTCTAAAAACAATTTTCGCAAACGGAAATAGGAAGTTTTTCATGTTCTTGGTGTTTCAAAAATATTTGGTTGGACCTGAAACAGTGCATTGAAGAAATATAATCCAAAAAAGGGAGAAAAAGTATCACTGACCTGAGAAATGACGAATATTGATGTATACTGTTGCAAAGATGATTGCGGCGCACTTTTCAAATGATTCAGATATTCACTCCAAAGTTTTACCATGAATGAGTCCGTGAGATAGCGTAAATGTGAAGATCTACAGAAACATTATCATTTCCTTACAAAACCCATACTACATATTCCAGCAACAGTGCACATGCCAAATATAAAAAAGGAGAGATTTCGACAGTTATCAGAACAACGTTACAAAATCAGGCAAATCTCGACAAACAAAATTGTAATTTTAACAAAATGACCTTAGCATTGCGAGGTCGCGAGCCAACACATAGGCAACTCGGGAAAAATGACAAGCATTTTGGGTAATATTAATGGAAGAACGCTGCGTGTTAGACAATGCCCAATCAACTGCGAGTCCCATATCAGACATTTCCTCTATAAAACGATTTACATTCAATTCACTTTCCATATTGTATGCTTTCCAACGCTCTTCCTAAAAATGTTCATGAGAGGAGCCTAAAAAACTGTGTAGTGCATTAGTGCATTAGTTTACAATACATTGTCAATTTCAAACTAACAATTTTGGGAGAAAAAATTTAATTCATTGGTAGGGAATTGGAACATTTTGTTTATTTAAATCAAAAAACTAAAAAATAACACTAAAAAATTGACAACTTTAAAATTGAAAAATCAATCATTGCTTGAAAATCAATCATCATTGCAAACATTGCTGATATTCTCATAAATCCTCTTAAAGGATCACCAATGATGTTCTATTATTCGACGGAGAACGGTCAATCGCACTTCAGTAAGCTGTGCAGTAGATGTACGAGATACCGAATGTGAATGCAAAAATGTTCTCAAGGTTATCGTGGAACCTACCGAAATTCGAAGACGAATTGACTCGATTATGTTGGTAAAATTTGTTTCAATTGCAATCTTAAGTGATGGTGCAAGCAGACGATGAACTTCAAAAGACAAATCAATACCGAGTGCAATTAAACTATCGCAGTGTGCCATCAATATTCGCCAGGTATGAGCAACCACTGCTAGCGTTGGTGCCACCTAGAAAAGACCAAATAACGGTTGTTTTTAGTATTTTCTTCCTCTTTCTTGAACTTCACTGACATGATTTTTAAATGCATACAAATTGGAAGCGTGATATTTTTTTCTTTTAAAGAATTTTCTTCTTTAAAAAAAACCCCATTCAGTGGTGAAAGTCTCTACAGATGGACTAATATGTTTATATTTAAATAGTAACTATATACCTCGATTACATGCCTTCGTATTAAAGAGAGCATAACGCTCAATTCTCCAGAACACCAATGCAATATAAGAGAAAAGTGTTCAGGCTGCATCAAAAATTCTTTAACAACATCTGATATAACATCCAGAAACTGTTGTGATAACTGCCGTACATACGACAATGGTTCTTCGCTCATTGTCAATTCTCGTGTAGTTGCTCGCAGCTGAAAAAGAAGTTAAAAGTAAATTTATGAAGAAATGTTACTTGTGGTGAAACTTGTGTTAGTTGAATCAAAATTTGATTCATTAAATAATTTGATTGATTTCAACAAACTTTATAGTTCCAATCTTTATTAAGAACGGCAGTGAATCCTCTTCTTATATCAAACTAAAGCTTCTAGTCCTATTTCTATCCTATGATTTTCCAATCATGTTCATGAGTTCAGGGAAAGACAGAGATTATTTACTGGATAGCGAAATGCAGAAATGTAAGGAATTGCGACAATGAATAACACCATGTCCTACAATAATGGAACAACTATCCAATATCAGAATATTTATCTTGTCGAAAAATATTACCAGAGTATACTAATGATGGTAACTATGAAATCAGAGGAAATAAGGAAGAAGAAGCTATAGAACAAACTGTAAACAACATTTCGTAGATTTTCTCATCTTTAAATACTCCAGTTTTCAATTGTAGAAAATGCACTTACATTTTAACCTCAAAATTCTTTTTTATTTCCCGTTAGCTCATAACTGAAAAAAAGGAAAACATAAGCAAGTAACTAACCACTGCGCTTCTTTTTTTCAAGTAAAGATCAACTGCTTGTGACGCTCGGCCAAGGATCGTCAGAAGATTGATTGCTTTCTTAATGGCTCTAGGACCACCATGTAAAGCACCTGGACGACGAACCTAAATTAGTTAAACATAAAGTTCGATGAAAAAAGTAAACTTTCGATAACAATTTTTTAAAAGCAATTCAAGGATTCTATTGTCACTGATGAAAAACTTTCCTCCTAATAAAATCAACATCTTGCCTCTTCGCTTAGTAATTGCACAATTTGAGTTTCACGAAGTGTCAACTGCGCATCAATTGCCGCTTCTCGTGTGTTACAACTTTTCCACTCCATTAACAACTCCACCTAAGGCACAAATTTAGTCTTTGTAAAAATTTAGCACATAAACAGGTTTAACTTATTTCAATCTTTTAATTTCGAATAGTCTATATTTCTCCGAATTAGAGGTTTTAATTCCACTTATTTCACAAGCCTCTAAGACTTCAAACAATTTGTAATATGAAAAAAGTACCGCGTGCTCCATGTCCCGATGAGCGATGCAATCGTCCAATTCTGCCGGTAATTCATTGAGCCATGCACTTTCATCAGGTGATTTTGTAGCAGCCGATTCCGCAACTGGCATAAGTTGGCTAGCTACTTCCACCTTAGCTGACAAATCTTGCCGACGTTTTCCACGAATTGTTGCTTGACGTACCAATGATCCCTCATGAATCAGTTCTCTTTTGGCGTTTTCGATGCAATCCAACCATTCTTTTTTAATCCTTGCATTTTCAGCAAGGAAAACCCTGTTTGGAAAAGTTTCTTCATGATTAAATTAATTTCTTCTCTAAAGATTATGCTTGTTGCCTTTGAGGATGGAAAAGTACTGAAAGACAAGAAGCATTCTCACATTCAACTGAGTCTACTACCTGTTTCACCTGTTCCAATATGCGTATTTCCTCTTAACATCTGCCATGTATTTGAGTGGTGCTTATTGACAGAATAGTCGATACCTTTGTCCTGGGAAAATTAACAGCTTAAACATGCTGGTCGCAGTTTTGCCATTTTCTCTATCCTTGATATTAACAGCTGCTATATTATTCAACGGATGTGAAGATTCCAATTGAAAACGATACTTCCCTAAAATTAAGAATTTTTTATGAATGAAAATATAAATTTGTAATCTCTCAATAAGATTTTATAAACTAAAATACATATGCAAAATTAATGTTCACTTTATAACCTGAAGATGGCTGCCCAATAAGGAGTACATCTGATAACAAAATAAGCATAACATTGTGTTGTGGTCTCATGCTATCGCTGTCCAGCTGAACTACTTCACCATGCATGATTACTCGATCAGAATTCGGTAAATTATTTAACAGGGCCTGTAAACTTTTTTGACATTAAGTAGTAGTAAGTGATACAGGAAGTTTGATAAGTACTGCCTACTATCACTGTATATAGCTGAAGACCTACAGCAACACCATCCATTTTCTGCATCAATACATTCATTGGATTGACGCTGAACGAAGTGTGAAGACTAGCAGTTCCAACAGAAGAACGATCTTCTCCTGTCATCTGCATCAGTGTTTCAATAAGCATTCGTTGGTCTGATAACAGTGATGAAAGTTCATATATTTCCCGTTCCAGATCTAAAAAATAGCGACTTTCAGAGGAAATAGAGAATACAGAACAAAAGAGAGGAAGCTAATTTGAATAAAAATACACTGAATTTTTTGGATTTACATTTCTATTTGGTTAATCTGAATTGCATTCGCATGCAAGATTAGGAATTTTAACTGGAATTTGCACAAAACGATTTTTTTAAATGACAAAACATGATGATTACATGATTTTACAAGCAATTGGCTAATAGATGAAAAACATTATCTGTAGCTTGTACTAAGTGCTTGAACATTTATCATCAAAATCTTCAACTGAAATGTATTCGAGAAAAAGCACATATAAATTCTTTCAAATGACCATACATACTTGTGAGGGTATGTCAATGGAATGATAGACGGCGAAGTTGTATATGCCACAAGAAAGGCAAAGAATCCATTATTTTGAAGTTATTTTGAAGTATATTTAAATTATGAAGAAACGTAACGTGAAACTTCCTTAGCGGTATCAATGAACTTTTTGTAGTTCAAAAAGACACTTTTCTTCATTGATTCAGATGATTGTGCATTGACTGCATTTAACCTTGCACGCAATGCTTGCAACTGCCGTGTTTCATCGCCACTTTTCATATCCTTCAACTGATCCCGTACATCTATAACGATTAAAACTGAAATTCTTTCTTTTCATTTCTGCAAATGAATTAAGCTTGCTAGGAATTTTGTGAATCATTTTATAATCCATATAAATTATGTTAGACAGAAACTTCGTTATATAGAAATGAAGTGTATTACACCTCAAAAAGATAACGTAACCTACATATGCGACATCAGAAGAAACTTAAAACTTTGCAGCACATTTTAAATTAAACTTTAAAAAGTTTGAAGTGTCAAATAAATGTTTGAAAGATTTAAAGTAAAAATACCAACAGGATATTGCGTCGAAATTCTCTTCACCGAACTGGTCATCGTTCAGCGCACTTTCCATAACATTTGAAGATGTCATTGAAAACTAAAAAGAATATTTTTAAAATATTCTGGCAAAAGTGAATTATATGATCCATTCTCGAAACTTCAAATAACGAAGAAATGGAAGTGAATTGAGCATAACCACTGGTGAATATGAATTATACGTGATTGATTACAACAAAGATTATAGTGACAAGCGTGAATGATATACCCCAAGGAACACTTACTCAACCCGATCCCATCATTCACATCCTGTACATCTCTCCCTCCCCCATGCCCGCTAATTGCCACAACGAGGAGTCACGTGAACATCATTTTGTGCTACAACACAAACAACAATGGGCGGTTCTTTGAAATAAACCTATTTGAGACATAACAGTTTTCGGGTGTATGCTATCCGTCGAACGGTTTTTTTCAATATAATTAAAGGGTTAGCATCAAGAAGACACTGAGAGACTAACCACTTGATTGATTAATTTGTCATTGTCCTGAAATATTGCTTATTGATTTCGATAATTAGTGTCTTTCCTCTTCTTGCATTACAATAAGGAGGCGGCTGGATGAATGGTTTTTTTTAAATTAACATTTGCAGCAATGGGTATAAAGGATCTATCGAAAGTGATCGGTGATCACTCGCCGGCTGGTATACGACTTAAAGAATTCAAGGGATATTTTGGTCGCAAAGTAGCGGTAGATGCATCGATGTGTCTCTACCAGTTCCTCATTGCGGTTCGGCAGGATGGATCACAACTTCAGACAGAAAGCGGTGAAACAACCAGGTGAATGATGTTTTTATAAGTCCACAGTTGTTAAAAGCTGACTTATACATCCAAGATATCTTGTCCATCCTTACAAGTATCAATATCTAGGCCTTTGTACCGCATGACGTACGTTGTATGAAATGATTCATACTAATAGAATTAAAAAACAAAGCGATAGTTTTTTTTTTTGTGAAATAATCAATCAGCTTAGTCGTATTCCTTCCAAACTCTTTATTAAATACCTTAAAATTCGGAAAACAAAAACTTTTCCTTTGTAAAATAAAGTTAAAGTGAATGAAGGAACTTTATAGCATGAGTTCATTATATCGCTTTATTGGTTTAGTTATTGTTTCTTTGAGGTAGAAAACAGCAAACCAGTGTTCTATTAAGTTGGCAACAATTTTTTATGAACTGGAACAAAGCACTATCTGTGAGAAAACTAAAGATGATTCAGTCTTTCTTCAGTCATCTTCTTGGAATGTTTTATCGAACTATTCGAATGATCGATAATGGAATAAAACCAGTGTATATATTTGACGGTAAGCCACCGAAAATGAAAACGAGTGAATTAGAGAAACGTACTGAGCGAAGAACCGAAGCAGAAAAGCAACGAAATGATGCATTGGAATTGGGTGATGAGGCATCCGTCAACAAATTTGAAAGACGTCTTGTAAAGGTTATCAATTCCTTATTTTGAACTATTCCTTCATAAAGAAGAGCAGCTACTTGAATTAATGAATTTTAATTCACCTTCTGGTACTCTTTATTGTTCGTTTCAAACAATTTTTCATTATTTTCACAGTTTCGCTTAGGCAGTTGGCAAAAAATTCACTTCTAAAAGACTGAAATTATAAGGAATTAGCGTTCAACAATGATGAAAATTATTTTCTTATATCTTAGTCTTACAGAAAAATTATGCTACAGAGATGTTATTTCTACGTTAATACTGTTGGAAGGTGTCTATTTCGTATCAATATAAACTAGATGCAGAAATTTTTGAATTTGCGATAAATATTATTTATTGCTTTATAATTTCAAATTTAATCATAAGTAAGGTGATTTTTTGGAAAACGGAAAAAGTTACGAAAGAAAATCTAGAAACATGAAAACTCGTCAAAACTATTTTATTATATATTGTTGTTAGTTCAATTTTTCTGGAATTTCAAGGTTACAAAAGAACAAAATGAAGAAGCTAAGCGGCTGGTAACGTTGATGGGAATTCCAATATTAGATGCTCCATGTGAAGCGGAAGCTCAATGTGCTGCTCTTACGAAAACTGGTAAAGTGTTTGCTACGGTTTCAGAAGATGTTGATGCATTGACTTTTGGTTCACCTGTTCTTTTGCGTCAAATGTTAGCAAGGTTAGTCAAAAACAATTCGAAGAATGATTTAGAATATATTGAAATGTGATCACGTGTGGTGATTAATTTTAGAGGCCCAAAACGCAGCTTCATTCAAGATAGGAATGTTAACTTCACAATTGCGAATTATCAAATTCTTATTATCTGATTTGGTGTTTTGCACAATTCACAATATGCAAGAATGAGGTTTTATTGAAGTATACACATTGATTTCCATTACTAATCATCGAAAACAATCCGCTCATACAATAGTGACTATTCTGTATTTCTTATAAGTATTTACCAAATTATCTTGTCTTCAAAATTTTATTGGGGTAATTTTATTGAGTTTATTGAGGCATGCAATCCAGAGGTATTTGTGTTTTTCCGTCTTAAAACTCAATGAATCTGCTTTTATATATAAGGTTTTAATGACTAATAATTCATAAATAGTTGCATGAAGTGGGTTGAGCTGATTTTTCCTAAATAATCGTGAGGTTTATTTCAGTGAAGCAAAAAAGCTGCCGGTGAAGGAAATGAATTTGAGTCAAGTTTTGAAAGATTTCGAAATGAATATGGAACAATTTGTAGATCTGTGCATTCTGTTGGGTTGCGATTATGTACCAACTATTCGAGGCATTGGTCCGAAAAAGGCATTTGAGCTTATTAAGAAACATGAATGCATCGAAAATGTTCTCGAGACAATTGATCAAACGGTTTGCAGCTTTCTGTTTATATATTTCTTGAAATTACCTTCATACTATTTTTCTCTTTAGTGGTACATTGGCACGAGAAATACTTTCAGAAATATCCGATACCCAAAAATTGGCAATACAAGGAAGCACGACGACTGTTTTTGGAACCGGATGTCATGAATTGTGAAAATCTTGAAGTAAATAAAATGTTGTAAAGAGATTGTTATTTTTTCTTTTGCATTAATCTGAATAAAAATAGTTGAATTTCAGCTGGTTTGGAAGGAACCAGATGTTGAAGGAATTGTACAATTTCTATGTGGTGAAAAAAGTTTTAAGTAAGTTATGTGAATTTAATTAATTTTCATTTCAATTTCTTTAGAAAATTTAGAGGAAATCGTCTTGTTCATTTCGGATTCGACAGTCATCTGTTATCAATTGTAAATTTCAGTGAGGACAGAGTGAGGAGTAGCTTAACTAGGATGCAGAAAGGACGTCAAGCTGCACAGCAAGCTCGTATCGATTCATTTTTTTCGGTAAGTAAAGTAGTTACATCTGAAACAACGAAAAGAAAAAATGAAGAGGAGAAAAATAATTTGAAAAAGCGAGGACCAAGTTTGGGCAAAAAAACGAAAAAGTAAATGGTACTGGTTATAGACAGGCGGCCATTTTCATTCATTTTTTTCGGCGGATTTATGGAACATTCCTTAACTTTTTCTTAGTTTCAAACTAAGTTTAACCCGGAGTTCATAGCCGTGAAATCATGTACTGCTTGCAGTTTTTGTCTCCGTCATCCTCAGTTTTGATACCTATCTAATACATTCAGATTTCAAGAACTGAAAAATCATATGAAATTTATAAAATTATCTTCTAGAATCTTTTTTAGCGGTTTTTATAAGTCATATTCTCTAGAAGTAGAATTTCAGTTTTTTTATACAGATCTTATTTTTATATAACTTCATTTTTTTTACTGGTTAAATTATACAGTTATTATTTTCTTTATGTGTACGACATTGCAAAACATTCTAGACATATTCTCTGGACTTGTTTATAAACTGCAGATGTATTGTTTATTTTCAACAGAAATATATTAATATGATGATTTTTGCTTATTTTCAATGTTTTAGTTTCTAAATTTTGGATAAGTTTTTTGATGAATATTATGTTTTACTTTACTCGTTGTGTACACGCCTTGCAACATTATGAGGTTACGGAAAATGCATATTGCACTTGTCGTATATACTATTATTCAATTTAGATAAATGATTTAATTTTTGGGAAACATTTTAAAGTATGGAAGTTTTGAATTTTTCAATTTAGTAAAGGAAGAAGCAGTAGTTGTGGGGATAAACTTATAAGATTTAAACTTATGTTTATTTTAGATGTGCAGATATTTTTGTCTTTACGATTAACATGCTTTGAAACAATGTAGCACCAAAAATGACATTGGGGTGAGGTTTTTTCGCCTATTGTAAATAAAAGTATAAGTGAATTCTTGACTGTACTTGACTGTAAATAAAAGTGTAAGTGAATTCATAAACAGACAATAAAGTAAGCAGTCACGTGAACAACAATAACTGAAAGCTTTCTCATTGAAAAAAGTATCTTCACGTTTATTCTAAACATGAAGACACTTTTTTCATCGGTTAAAATCATTTCTGTAATTCATATTATGCGTTTGATGTTCGATCAGAGGAATCAAAATGAAATTATGTACACCATCGCTCCAGACTCAAAAAGAACGGAAGTAAGATTTTATGTAGTTTCAGATTTTCCAGAAAACCCTTCAAAATTAATATTCTGTCAAAAGTCGTCCTGTTGAATAAGTTTAAAGATATCTTTAGCAAGTGTAGTTCAAAAAGAGTTCGGAATCCGAAGATTGTAATTGATGCTATTTGGTTAAATGCATTAGGTAGCGCTAAGCATAAAAAAAAGGTAAATAGCCAAAGTTTATCATAATTGTTAGATTGGTCAAGAAACTGAATAAATGAGTGGGATTTGTTGAAACTGTAAAATGCAGAAATGAGATTGTTGCGAAGTGAAAGAGTATCTTAAACGTGGATGTCAACGTTCTCTTGCACTTCTTAACAGACGAACTTTGAATTAAGATCGCATGTTAGCTTGCAGAAACTGCAATAAGCTGCGCATGGTTAATTAATTCCCTGCAATGTGAACAGCTTATATCATGAACGGTTGTAGGCATAAAGGAGAAAAAGAAAAATATTCTGGGATAGCTCGGTGATATTACACGAAATTCGTATAAATGAAGTAAAGAAAAATCGTATAGAATGAGTTTGTTACATCTCAGAGAATGGCAACTCAGTTAATCTTTATTTGATGGCATTTTTTCTAACTTCATTTGGTGTGGCTGCATAAATGTTTGAATGATGGAAGGTGAAAGGTTAATTGTTACTAGCACGCAATGGGTTAGTTGCCGCTAACCTACTGAGAATTCGTTAATTTTCTTTACTCATGTCGTTTCTAAACAAACAAGTAGTCTCACTGATGGGGTCCTGCGTCTCTCACACTATTCCAATGTCTCTCCCTGTCGTTTATGTGTACTTTTTGTCGTATCCTTTCATTATGATTTCAGTTAGTTGATTGAATTCGATAAAATAATATCGCGGTAGTTGCGGCCAAATTATGATATATTGCGGTAAACTTATGCTATATAGCGCTAAGCTTTTTCTAAGGTTAGATTACTCAGAAGTCCCTCAGAATTAAGAAGCAAATTATTGCTTCTTTTCTAGATTAACAACTCCTTTATGGAATTGCTTAATTGTTCATTTTAATCAACGCTGTTTGGAAGGCAAATCTTTTGGTCACTTTATACCGAATACATTACAAATCCTCCGAAGAGTTAACAGTACCAATTTCGATCTCAGCTGATATGAACGGGAATATTATTACAGTTCAGTGTTTATTAAATTCTTATAATTTCCATTGGAAACGAAGCTACCGTCAACCATTCCTTTATGTTATGATGTTATCTGTTAGAAGAAATGATATTTGAGAATTGTCTATGTATTTTGTCTATATTAGCATAACGGAATCGTTTTCGATTGATGTTTTTGCGAATGTTTACGAATGTTTTTTTTGCGAATTGTCTTTCATTCCAGGTGTACGATGAGGTGATGTGTGCAGACTGCAGTGGCTTTTATCGTCTTTCAAATTAATTAGTAAAAGAGGTTTTTTTTTTTCAAGACCACTATAAAATCTGTAGTATTTATTATATCTAACAATTAGAGCTTTAAATTTCTCAGATGTAGTTGGTTATATTGTAAGTTTTCGATATCTCAGCACTAGAAATAAGAATAATCAGCATTGTATTTGTTTTTGGAAGTTGATGTTTTCGATGATACTTCTGTCTTTATCTGCTATTTTTGCAGTTTATTGAAGAAATATATACTTAAAAAGCACAATTTTTTTCAATTTTCATTTCAGGTGCTTTTTGTGGGAACAGAAACTACACATGGTAATCCATTTTATATTTGTCTCGCAGTTTCTCTTATTTCTTTTAATCTTTTGTGTCAATTGTGAAGATTTTTATCACTTGCTTGGAATATCACGGGATGCTGATAATAGAGCAATCAGAAGAGCATTCAAGAAGCTAGCTTTGGTCAAACATCCGGATAAAAATCCTGTGAGTTTTTTTTTATTTTGCACTTTTCCGAGATGAAATGTTATAAGAAAAAAAATTCATAACAGAGAAATCGATGTGATCATAGGATATACAGCAAAATGTGCAATAATGGGAAATTGTGTATTGGTGCAACTTCACAGCATCAAAGCCATTGAGTTGTACTCTTAGCTCATTCGAAAACTTTATTCTGATATCAATAAATCTTAATAAGGTTGCATGAGAGTCACAAAATTTGGATTCAAAAAGTTTGCTTGGGGTTACTTGTTTTTTGAGTTACCGGTGATTTCATCAATATTGTTTTTAGAATGATAACAGTGCACATAAAGAGTTTATGAAACTTTACCGTGCTTACGAAGTATTAATGGATGAAGAACTGCGGAAAAAATATGATCGGTACGGTGAAGAGGGTTTAACCGATAATTATAAAGAAAATCATCAATATCAGTCATGGCAGTTCTACAAAGATAACTTTGGCATGTACCTTTGAGCAGTATACATTTTCATAAAGAATTTGTCATTATGCTGTTGTTTTAAGGCAGCAATAATCAGTTGGTAAGTAATTCCCACCCAGTGCAATGGATCATATGATAAAAACTCCTAAAAATCTGATGAGAGTACATGATTTTTTTTTTTAATGCAATGGTTTTATTCATTGCTCGGAATATACAGGTATATACGATGAGGACAAGGAAATAATAACATTATCACGATCAGATTTTGAAAGGACAGTCTCTGAAACGGATGAAATATGGTTCATCAATTTCTATTCTACATTTTGTTCACATTGTCATCAGTTAGCGCCCACCGTAAGTTTTTTTTGTTCGTTTCTTTGTAAAATTTGAACTATTGTAATGACTTTATAGTGGCGAAAATTCGCTCAAGAAATGGAAGGTGTTCTTCGGATAGGTGCTGTAAATTGTGCCGAAGATCCTATGCTCTGTCATTCACAAGGTGTTATGGGTTACCCGAGTTTGGTGATTTATCCACATGTGAGTTTCGTACAATATTTTTTGTTTTCGCTTTTATTTATATGTTATTATTCCACTATATTCTTAAATTGAGGTAATAGTATAAGATATAAATATATGTCATAACTAACAACGACAGTGTGGGAATGCTTGCAATTTGAATTATATCTTGTTATTTTAATCTCTTTTTGCAATAAAATTTAATTTACAAAAGATATTTCTTCCTGATCAGGTTAAGGATGTACACGACAAAGTTAGTATAGATAAGAATTTCCTTTTCATTGATTTCGTATAATTTAATTAAATCGATTTTTGATTTTTATCAAAAATTATATTATTACAAAAATTTTGATTGTTATTAAAAATTATAGTACAAGAATCGTAATGAGTTGTCTGTTTTTTTTATAGCGACATTTTTTCCACGGACAGCGACAACTGGATGACATAGTAGCATTTGCCATGGAATACGTTACTAGTGTGGTACTGCAGTTGACAGATTCCGACATTAACCTGTTTAAGACTAAAGAGAATGAGAAAAATGCACGTGGATGGTTACTGGATTTTTGTGAACATCAGAGTAGTGACTGCTTGTCTGAATTAAACAGGTTTGTCTGATTAAACATCCTTTATTTGTATGAAATTTTTTGTGGTTGATATGAGAGCACATTTTTTGAAATCTGAAAAAGTTTTTAATTAATAATTCATCAAGTCTGGACTAATTTTTCCTTCAAGCTTCAATGGTCAATCTCACTCCAGATCTAGCGTATTTTAGTTAATACTTTACCATACTCGCTTTGTCAGTAAATCCTTTTTTTCATGTGGTTAAAATACTACTTATTTTGTTTTTCATTAGGCTTCTTTTTACGGTTAATGTTTAATTAAGATGTGGTTGTTTATTTTTTCATTTCTTTATTTGTGAAATTTTGATTGTCATTTTCTGTTATTTATCATATAAAAGCAACTAATTTCAACATCATTAAAGAGAGCATATCTTCTTGAACATTTTGCGGCTGATATCTTTTATTAAATACCAAAACAATTACTTTGAAAGATGCTAATTAAGAACTGTTTTGTGAGTAAACGAGGAAATTTCAAACCTTTTTGAGATGGTTTTATAGATTTCACAAAAAACAAATCAAAATAAATATTTTCAGAAAAAAACTTGCAGCCAATTTGCATGGCCTTGTAAATGTTGGGAAAATTGATTGCGACGAATCATTGAAACTTTGCACATTATTTGGCCGTAAAAGTGGTATAATTTATTTTCAGCGTGATGATGGAAGGGAACCCGATAAGGCATGGGTATGTTGCATATATTTTGTGAATCAGCAAATTCTCCAGTTCCGTTTTTAAATGCACTTAAATCAAGCTGATTTTTCTTTACGTGTACGTAGCTTGGTTTCATACTGACAAGACTTTTCAATATCGTTAAAACCTCTTTTTTCCAGGAGATTAATAGTCTCGATTTCAAGGAAATAGCAGCTATCGTTTTAACATATGTTCCTGACATACCATATATCGATAAATTGTTGGAGAAAATTTTTGAAGGTCTCTCAACAAACTTTCTTTGAACTCCACTTATCTATTTGTTTTCTTTTTTCTGTTACATGTTTTGTTTTACAGTTCAAATTCGGGATCATTCATTTCTGATTAGATTTGGTTCCGGTGAAATAGTTAACAATGCAGAACTAAAAAAACTGCCGACGAAATTAACAAGTGATGAAATCGAAGTAATTTTTCCAAATACGAAAAAATGAATGTCTTAAATGTCTGATTATTGGAGTATAATTTCGTAACCAAGCGCGTCATTGTAAAAAGACTTCTATAATCATTGCATTTAAGCTGATGATGGAATTAGACGAAATTTTTTTTTTGGAAAATCTTCTTTAGAAGCTCTTTGGAGTTATTATTTTCTATTCTGTTGATTTGACTGCAAAAGTGAATCAGTTTTATGTGGTGAAAATTGTTGACGAAATAATCATTTAAATATAGTGTTAAATCATGTTGTTTGGTTTACACGGATATGTTACGAGGTTTTTCTATACAGATATATTTTGCTGATTGCTCTAAGACCAAGGATATATGTGAAAACTTGAAGCTGACTAAACTTCCGAAATGGGTTCTGTTCAAAAAACAAGGAAGCTATGAAATATATCACGGTTTGTTTTATACAAATAGCGTTTTCCATTTTTCTTTGATTAATTTGATAAATGTAAATATGAAATGTTAGATGAGTTAATTCAGGATTAGAAAGTTCTCATTATGAATCTTTGAAATTTTTAAGAACTTTTTTTAATGCAGGCAAGATGGAAACAGTGCATGATATTGCCCTATTTGCTAGAGAAAGCCATTCTTCACCACTTGTTACCCTTACGCCCGAAACCTATGCATCTGCTATTGATTCGGGCGATGAATGGCTAATCGACTACTACGCTCCAGTAAGCTATTTATTTTCCGTAGGTTTATCAAATCATAACCTTTTCTATTTGTGCATTTTATTTGCAGTGGTGTCCACCTTGTTTGCGTTTGCTGAAAGAGTTAAGAAGGTTGCACAATTATGTGGAAAGCATAAAAATTGGGACTATTGATTGCGTTCAACATAGTGAAATTTGCAAAAAAGCGAATGCTAACGCGTAAGTTTGTATGATGGAGCAAAAATTGTGAATGTTCTTATTTTGTTTCTCTCTGAATTTCGCACAGTGAACGAGATTTTGTAGACCTTTTCAAATTTGCCATTTTCATAAATTAATGGAGAAAGAAGTATTGATTGGTACTGCGTATTTACGAAAGATATTATTTCGTGCTCTACTACTCCTGAAAAATCATATTTTTACAGTTACCCAAATATAGTGTGGCATAGTGGTGGTAGATCTAATGCGCGTTCAGGCTATTTGGATGTCACCACAATAGCAGAATTCATTGAAGTTAGTTTAGGAAATATGCTCTCGCTTCAAATTCGGGAAAAGTTTAAATAATTCATTTTTAATCATGAAAAAAATATTTGAAAATATATTATCAGGATGCGCGTAATCCAATAGTGGTCGACTTATCGCCATCAAATTTTGATCTATTGGTTTTGGATGGGAAACCGGACACTGTTTGGCTGGTCGATTTTTATGCACCATGGTGTGGCCCTTGTAATCAGGTGTGCATTATGTCTATGAAAATTAGAAATATTAAGTTTTTAATCGCTACAAATTTACGTGAACTATTATGTCAATATATTTTTTGGTGTTTTCTTGAATAACATAAGCTCAACTTCAAAACGATAACAGTTAGCACCTGAGTACAAGAAGCTTGCTCGAAATATGCGCATAAAGAAATTCGTTCATTTTGGAATGGTCGATTGTGATCATCATCGACAGCTGTGTATGAATTTAGGTGTTCAGAGTTATCCAACCATCCGACTCTATTCTTCTGATTCTCATGTCGTGTGAGTATCAAGTTCTCATTAATTTTCTTAACTGTTGAAAAAATTGGTGCGCAGATAGCTTAAAATACGATTATGTATTATTCCATTATATATATTACTGTCGTTATAACGAATTTAGTTACAGCTCTTTGTTTACTTACAATTTGTTGAAATGAATTACCATGTATAGGCTTTCATATGTTTTCTTCTAAGAATTGCTCATGAAGATAAGCTTGTAGAGATTATCCTTCAAACTGGTGGCGTGATCACCGGTCCATGGAAGTATGGCTTAGAAATTATTTGCCATCGAAAGTTATCACTATCGGAAATGATTTCTTTTCCAAGGTGTTGGATGATGATAAACCGTGGCTGGTCGACTTTTTTGTCACTTGGTGCTCTCATTGCATTGAATTTGCGCCTGTTTTTGAGCGCATTGCTGAGGTATGTTGGAAAAAAGGTTAAACAAGTGCAGAGGATTATTGAACAAAATCTTTGCCTTTTTTCTCTTCGTTTTAACATTCTTCTTTCGATGTGTGTCTTGTTTCTGGTTAGTATATGAAATAATTGACAATGTAGATTACTGTGGGAATCAATTATTTTTTACTTTAAATATTTTACGATATGAGTTATTGAAGAAATATTTATATAATCATCACATGTAGATCATTTCTTGTGCTAATCGTTTACTTAGTGATATTCGAAATAGCGATATCTATTTGTAATTTTTATAATTTTTGCTTATAATTTAATTGTTGTTTTTCGATTCATTTTCAGGTTTTGGAGGATCGTGTGAAGCTTGCAAAAATTGATTGTGGACTTTGGCCAAATATTTGTCGGAGTGTTGGTGTGGCTGTCTACCCTACTGTTCGATTTTATAGTGGCTCACGAGGCGGACATATCCAAATAACAAGTGGAGTTCCTATTGAGTCGCAAGATGGAGACAGCATTGTGCATGAAGTTGAAAAAGAGTTGACCAAAATAGACCGGCTTCATAAGACTGAATTATAGCGAATAATTCTCTCAGATTGAATACCTATTTCACTCTCATGCCCTAAATTCTAGCAGATCAATAAAGCATGCAGAAATTCCCATTTAATTAATTCTGAAATCGTATTTTCAAGTTATAAGACTATTCGTATGGCTAAGAAAGAGATTAGTGAAAACTAATGCGTTGAATACATATATATTTTTTATGTGTCTCTATTTACAATTCTTCTTGGCAATTGCACAAATTTCATAAGACGTTACTTTTTGATTCTGAGCACTTTGAGCCTTGTTCTGAATTTTTATCTCATTTTTTGGATGTCTTGCAACATGATACGAGCATTTTAATACAACTTCGTGTCTTTCTATCCTATTATGCATAATTCCATATTCTGTCAAAAAGGTCCATATCCTGTTTTATTTATTCATCTATCCATTTTGTAGAATTCACCTTTAAAATCAAGTTGTTATTCTTTTCAAGTATTTACGAAGATTAAAAGAATTTTCAACTTCAATTTCCGTTGACCTCTGGATCTTATTTGAATTTTGAGACTCTTGTTTTCAAGAATTTTATTACATTAAATCATTCTTATTGCCATTTGATCTGTTATGTCGAAATATTTTTATATATATTTTTCGATTTTCATACCTTCACATGCTTTTCTTTCACTTAATTCGCATTCCCGTTACACTTTTTGTGATCGAGGTTTGTTCAAATTTGACATTTATGAATAAAGACTGTTGACTTATTTTTTTAATAATTGAAAAGGGCCTAAGTATGAAAACACTGAGTGGAAGCAAGTATCCTACGTATGATAATGATTAGAAAAATTAAAATCATGTAGAAGGCAGCATCAGTTAGCGAATCTCCAGTCGTCATGAAATTTTGAGCTATTTTTTTCGTATGCATTTTGATTGATTTTTGCTGATCTGGATCCGATTCTTTAGCTCTCTGGTTATGATTTGTCATGCATGAAAGTTATTTGGGAGGATTATATACATTCTTTATTCTAACTACTACACTTTTCAAAACGCTCAAATGAAACAACTGACTTCTGAAGATGAACAGAAATCAAATACATTTCCGAAACACGCCTTCGCATCTTTGTTTTCTAATTTTTTCTGAAATTTACTGAACTCTACAATACATCGTAGCGTAATGTTTTATTCCATTAATTCTCTCTCTCCCTCTCTCTCTCTCTCTCTCTCTCTCTCTCATATTCATCGCTTTCTAGAATTAATGCATAATTAAGTTCAAAAATATATTTCCCAAAAAAATATCTTTCGCAGAAAAAAATTAGTGAAAAATTACGGTTTGCAACCTTCTCCATATGTCTACAAATGAGTTCCTTGTACTCCATTGTTTCTGTCTGTGAACCTTCGAACGGTCTAACGCCAATTTTGGGATATAAATAAATGCTGTGTTGTTGTTTTGCATTTTGCTAGACAAAATTGCAAGACAGTCATCTTTGAATTCAACTTGAAGGAATGCACGCTGCAATGAACAACTGTATCGTTCGAGCTGAAAATAATTAAAAAATTTTGATCGATCTATGCCATACATTTCGGATATCTATAGTGAATGTTGTTGATGATGCTACCAGCAGTGTTGATGTCAAGAAAAACATCCTATCACATCAATATTTTTTTATAAATTATCAAAAATGATAATAATCAAAAAAGGTTTAAATTTAAATTAACACAAAAGAGATACTACTTTGGATGGCAGTGGAGTAATTTAACTAACACGAACCAGGGAGAAACGCATCGAAGAAATCAATTTTTGCAGATCGGTACAAGTCGATAATCATTTCTGATAAATGTTTAAAATACAACAATTCAAAAAATATAACCATTTTTATATTTTTAGAAATTAGACGAGTGAACTTGTAAGGTAATTAAAGTCGGACAAAACAAAAAGAATAAACACTACGGTAATATTCTAAACGAAAGATATTGTGTCACTGAATATCTAACAATTTGAACAAATTTTGTATAAAATAACACACATGCTGAAGTAAAGCATTTAGACCAATGAGTTGATTTCGATCATCCTGAAATGATAGTTTTCAAACGAGAAATTTCATTAGTATGAAAGATACATAAAGCACAAAATTATTTACTTGTATATATATGTATATGGACGAATAATTTAAGAAATGTAAAAGGAAAGCTCGTGGTAAAGGTATATAATTCTTTCACATTTTGATGGATTCATTTTTTTTAATGATGTAAAAAAGCAAAAGATATTAGGAGGAAGTTGTAGAGAGTGCAGCAAACGAGGAAGACAATTTGCTGCAAATATGATCTGCTGTTATTTCTTGCATCACATTATTTTCATTTATCACTAAAAGAATGAATTTGTTTGAATTATTCAACAACTTCCATAGAAAGCGATTGCAGACAGCGCGAATAATTAATTCATATCATTCTCTCAAACGTTTCATTATTTTCAAGTAATCCAAACAAACTTTTGGCTTGCTACTGCAATTTATGTCTTGGCTCAAATTTTGAATTTAATAATCAAATAAGTTTCCATGCAGTAAAATCAACCAATTGAATAATTTTTTGAAAAATAAAGATTGCAAATGCACAAACTCATACATTTGAATTTTACTTCATCGGGCGAATTGAGATAAAGTGAATAATATAGCATTAGTTACAAAATAAATTCTTAAAAGTTTACAATGCAAAATATTACGTTCAATTGGAATATCTTAAATAATTTACTAGTATAGTTAATGTTCCAGTAAACTTGCATAGCAAAATGGAGCCTGGGAAAGAGAAAGAAATGCAAGGAAATTGTATGAAAATGCAATTTATTAAAATATTTTCAATCTCCAATCCATTCTACATTATTTCATTTACCAAGCTGTTATGATAAGTTTACATAATGGAATATCTGCCATATTCCCTTTTCAATCTTCTCAATGACATTTTCAGTAGCATATTAATTCTACTATTTGAATTCCTCAAAAAATCTGAAATTCGTCCACTAATCGGGTCATTGCGGATGAATATGACGATTAAATGCTTATACCGCCAAAAGGAAATTCTACAGTCGATCATGAGCGCAATATCGCAATCGTTGTTGCATCACTGCCATAGAAACCACTTAACCCAATGAAATGTGCATATCCGTGTGCACTGAAGAAAATCGTGGTGTTGCAGAAGCAAATCTCGAAAGTTTACTTTAAACAAGCAAGATATTTTGAAATCTACTACTGTAGTTCTATCGAAATTCGATGCAGTTCGGGAGTTGTTGTTTTCATGAGATAACATGCATTATAATGAAGCAATAATGGAATCCGTATAAAAGATTACCTTTTGATTGGTTTTTTTCTTGTTTTAGGGCGATATCTATTTTGGCAAAACTCTTTACTGAACGAAACATTTGTCGATAAAGCATCATTGAGATCCACAAAGAAGTAGAAAAGAAATAAAAAAGCGCTACATATCTTCAATTAAAAAAGAAAAACGAGATAGAACTTATCACGACGACAATACTTGCAGAGCAAGATCGAATTCCTTCCATAGATACACTTTCTCATAGCCCCATCATCGTTATTTTGTCAACATAAGGTAACGAAAAATAAATCTACGAAACACATTATAAATCCAAGAAATCTGGAAATGAGAAAATCACAAATGAGATTAGAAATTGCAGTTCACCAACTTTCCCTGATAAACGGGAATTTCTTGACCTTAGAAATCATGCCAATAAGTACCATAAGGTTTAGACAGTCGTCGCGTTGTGAAGTAAAAACTACTTCATCATCGAAATTCTGCTAACGAAGAATATGCTTATTAGAACTTTAAAAAAAAATAGCATTTACAACATGGAAATAAATATATCAGTATGGTGAATTCATTCCTAATTTCGTGTTAAAACTAAGCTTCCTTCTTCGTTGGTCACGATGATGAAGTTTGATAAAACGAAGCTTGCACAGTTCGCTAATAACAACAATGACAATTATCCAGATGAATGAAACTGCTGTAATGCAAATGTTGCAGTCAGAAATATAAATCAACAGTGAGCCATATGAAAGATTCGTGTATGCGATCTGAAAAAATATAAATTAAAATCTGCTTGTCTTCCACTCCGCACTGAACCATCTCTATTAAAGGTTTTACTCTGTATTTTAAAGTATGATATTGTGTAATGTAACAAGGCTAAGTCAAAATCAGCAAAATTATATGATAGTATCGTTATCATATTATCAGAACAAATAATGAATTGTTCAAATCAACTATCATTAAGGAATAAAAATGTCAATTCCACACCTGAACAAGAAGGACGCAACATGTTGTGGCTACCCAATAATAATTACTCAGTGGACATTTCGCCCAGCAATTATGACGAAAATAGACAAAACCCATTGATAAAGTACATAAATAAAGAAGCAACTAAAAATGGAGCCATATTATGTATAATAACGACGTAAAGAGCTATAAAGAGTTCGATTATTTTTCTATAACATCGCATACCATACAATCCTTGAATTTACGGCCATTTCAAATGCTGGAAAGAAAAAGACAGTTCAACGTACATAAAAAGAAGCAACGTGCTGGGCAACAATAATGGCATGATTATCAGGACAAAACGAACAATTGAAGTTTCCCTGTTGATCGTACCTTTTTCCAGTCATCATAACCTGAGATACATTATTTAGAGAGACATAAATCTTTATCTCAAAGATTTATTTTATCTCATTTGTGAACTGTGTACAAAGCAATTCGTTTGGTTTTGATAAAAATCCCATTCTTCCTATGAACTCTGTTAAACATTCTTATCTATAATGAAAAGATATCTAAGCTATTTTGTATAATAACTTACGGTGCTATAATAAATAAAGCAGACGACGACAAGAGACGGAAGAAAATTTATTGAGAAATGAATAACCGCACGACGAATGATACGTTTCGGAATTAAGGAAATATTTTTTGGCGCTATTTCATTGCGATTTTCACCAACGTCATGGGATGAGATCATCAGTGATAGGGATAATAGTGGTATATATATAACTATGAATAAGAAGACCTAAAGCATGTTATCTACTTTTTGATTGTTAGTATGGTTCATTTTAAATAAATGAGTAAATGCACATTCAGATTTTTTCCACATACATAATGAAAGAAGTAATTGAAGATGAATGTGATTTATCATTAAAACCTTAAAGTGTTCTCTACGATACAAATAAACCTGAAAAATGGATAAGACATTTGGAAGTAACAACAATGCAAAAATTTGTTGCAGCGTAAGTGCTATTGATGAGAACATGAAAAATACGAAAGAGGAACGAAACATCTCCAACTGATGTCGACAAAATGAGATCAACGAAATAAGGTCGATAGTCTGGAATAAGCATGTAAAAGTTTCAAAGAAGATGCTAGTAAAAAAAATACCGCTAAAGTTTTATTTAAACCACTAGGGAAGTAAACTGAAATCTTCGAAAAGCCAGTAGTTATGCCTTTCCGACCAGCTTGCTAGCTGGCTAGGTTATCAATAAGTGCAGTATTTCTGCACAAAATGAAATAAAATAGTTTTAAAAAAACATAAAAACTGAGCTCAGAAAACATGGAAGAACTGAGGAATAAGTTATCTACTATTAACATTATTTGTTTATAATCACTGTCCACTTGATGCATTAAAATACTTTTAATCTGACAAAAATTTCGGACATGGTCGACGGATTACTTTACCGCAATTTGAATGAATCGGCAAGAAATTCTTTATAATAATTTGAGTACCTGACTTGGAAATACGACAATATCGCAACATAATCCCATGAGTAAAGTAGCAACAGTTGTTGCTTTTTTCAACCCATTGTCATTCTGACGAATTTTTCTGCTACACAAAGCAGGATGCTGGGGCTCGATAGTGATTGAACAATTTCCCTATAGTAAAAAAATTTTTGAAAAGTTGTTAAAAATTTGTAAAATGTAAAGAAAAGTTCCTGGCCTCAAAAAAATTGAAATTAAACATACCTGACTAAAGATGTTGCTATTGAAATAATTTAACGATGATCCAACAACAAGCACCACTTCACCATAATCCTGAATTATAAAGACCTAATTGCAATGTCACTTGAGTATAATTTAAAAATGAGGAGATAGAAAATAGTAATTCATTTCCTTTAAAAATAAAACTGAAGTATTTTACAAATAATTTTACAAAAGAATTCGAATAATTAGAGAAACCATGGAAATATAATCTGCTAGGCGAAGGCAGCTTCACGAGCATGGCTAAAAAACTACGGGAAAGATACGAATAGCCTCGTGTAGCCAATCTCTTTAGTAATTACAAAAATCAGAAAATGAAATCGAGACACCTGCATTATTTCAATCATTTTTTGACAAGAAAAATGATCGCAGTCTGTGAAAAGGTTAACCAAAAGTGGAACATTATCAACATTCTCTAAATGAGGACGTATATTTTCGATTCCTGAAATGAAAATATAAGAATTCGGCACCTGAATCTTTCTAAAATATAACAAATTTCAAATGTTCTATTCCAAGTCTGACCTGATGGTAATTTCGCTTTGTTCGGAAAAAACTCCGGACCTGTTTTTTCGCTGTATGAATATATAGAATGATGACTTTGAGTCTTTTTTAACGAAGCTTCCTGAAAAGAAAGTTATTTTCATAATGAAACAAAAATGGTGGTGTGCAACATAAAATTCAAGAAAATGCAATTATAATAAACAAACCGATCTCGATGATAACTGCTTAAGTATAAATGATGGTGGACACGGATTGTATTTGCTTTGATTTGAGATTTGCATAAAATTTCTGAAAAGAAATATTTACACACCTCATTGTTTCATATTACTCATTGACAACAAATGAATATTTCAAAAAAAAAATATATATATACTTTGAAATACATAAAAATATAATTATAAGCAAGAATAAAAGAAATATATACTTTGATAAGATGTTTTGAGCTTATCGCATTTTAAAAGATAATGAGCGATTGCTAGCTTTACACAATTACAAAATATCGAAATTCAATAAACTTTTTTTAAAAAATAATTATAAGCAAGAATTTAAGTGAGTTTCAATTCAAGAAAAAAATTAAAACTCGAAATGAAAATTATACCCCATTACTATTCAAGTACTGGCGATAAGCTCTCAAATCTTTTCACTAAATTAATAAAAAAAATGATTAGATATCACCTGAAGAGACTTTCTAATGAAACGATAGAAGAATGACTTTGATAAATTGGAAAATGTTCAGACCAAGTAGCTGAACGATGCAATGCTAACTCTCTTGAACGTCGACAAGAATATTTGTTTACATCGAGAACTTCAGGTTTCTCATCTACAATTTCTGAATTTTCCAAAAAAAGGTATGTTTAAACTTTAGGCAACAAGTTTTCTGGGAAATTTTGCGACGAAGTATTAATAAACTACAATGAAACTAATTATAAATGATTGCAGCAGTTATTTGAACAAGATTCAATTTTCAATAGGAAGCTTGAGAGTCGCAGTGAAAAGTAGGAAGCAGACTATGTATGCAATGTACATAATCTACTTGCTGATTTCGATTAGCGAAGTCTAAGTGCAAAATTTATTTTAAAAAAGAAATGAACTCTGCGCCCAATTTGGACGGCAACAGGAATTAGCTAAAAATTGAAGAAGTTTGAAGTTTATAATTCCAATAATATTCTTTTGTGACGGCAAGTATCTTACCTTCACTAGCTAATGATATATAACAATTCCATCCAGCTTCTAAGCCCAATTTTTCAGCAAAAACTCGACTTCGCAACTCATTTTCTTTCGAAAAGTAAATGAATCGTATACAAGCATGATCTAATTGTTCCACTAATTGAACGACATCACTTCGAGCCTTGAAATTTATTTGAAAAACTAGGAGATTCAAACGACCGTAAAATTTACAAGCAATACATATTAAACAGCAACGAGAACATAAAAGAGAATACTCGAGCAGAAAATTCAAAAAATTGACCTGATATTGCAGAACAAGCAAACCACATAATGTTTGCCCATGCATAACTTCATCAAAGCATTCATAAGCAGTATGCAAAGGTGATTGACGATAAAACGCCTTCAAAAACTCCATATCAAGACTGACTGTTCTTGGAATTGAAGATGTCTCTCGAACTTCTTCATATTTTCCTAGCGATGAAATATCGATATATCTTCCACTTAGAGTATCCGAAATCGTGCAACCCATTGTTCGATAGCCAAAAACCAAACAGAATCTGAACACTCTCACGTCACACCTCTCTTACGAAATACATGAATTTCTTATTCACATTCTTAATCGCCGTAATGTTGAACATAAAGTTTTGTTCCTCAGTCTTTGAGAATTATTTTTCAAGCAGCTAATAAGGGAAATGTTCATAATTCGAAAATAAACCTTTATTCAAGATTTCAATTTTTAAAAAAAAGTATGAAACGCAAAACAAATACATAATTAAAGTGCCAAATGAACGAACCCGGTCGTTGTGTTGCGCTGATAAAAATCAAGAACGCGTTTGTGCAAATTTGGTGTATATGGTTCTAAAGAATTTTCACACCATACATAAGCGCAAGCATTAAGTAGCAAATCAGCTGTTCCCTGACTCATTACATGATAATATTCCGATGTTGAATCTTTCGTAATTGTTAGAAATGCATTTTCCAACGGTATTCGAAACTTCCGCGATCTAAATTTTGTCTCTTTTACCAAACATAACAAAAGTAAAATAGTGAGACCTAAAATTGTTTTTGTAATTGATTATAAAGCAATGAATCAATACAATAGGTACTGTTATAAAGTGCTTAGAGCTGGTATAAACAAAATAAATACTACACTGACTCATTATCGGATCCTTCCTTCTGTAATCGCTTATAAAAGCCTATTGTTTTTGCATCCGAAGTATTAAACTTTTCTAAAACTTCGTCCCCAATCCTGCAAAAATTCGAAAATGAAGCAAAGAAGTTTATATTTCTGGCATTTCGTTTTTTCTATGTTTCCTGCATGCATTTCAACCTGCTTACTCTTAACTGAAATAATAAAAATACCGATATAATGAAACTAAACTGAATTTTTAAATGAAAGGTTAGTAAAGTAATGATAACTCTAGTGAATTAACCCTAGTAATTGAGTTAATGGACATAAACAATGTCGATCAGAAACTGCAATGGTGTTCGACACATTTCTCGAAATACTGCTGATGTGATTCAAGAATAAAGTATAATTTGGTAGCAAAGAGCAGCCATTCACAACACTGCTGATTCCAAATGGCAGTAAAGATCGTTTATAGCATTCCCTGAATTATTACAACAGAATGAAAAATGTCTACGCTGAGACATTGAAAACAGTGGTTGGTGAAAAATTAATGATAACATGCAACCAACCACGAAGAATCATCGAAATGTACAGGAAAAGATTCAGTTCCATTCATCGTTAAATCCAAAATTTTTGGCATCGGTTTTCGCTCCTCTCCTTCGAAAAAAAACGATGAGGACTTCAAATACATAGAAAAACAGAATAAAAGAACACAGAATTACCCTAAGATAAATAAAGAATAAACGGAAAATTTTAAGAAATTCGTATGATCTACACCTTCCTCCTCAGAGTGGAAGCACAGCACTTTTTCGATTGTTGCATTTGGCCATGAAAGCAGACCCTTTTTGTCCAGGAAAGCACAGGATGTGAGACCACCGCATGTGAAAACGAAATCCGTTGAAATGTGGAAATGACCTAAAAATGTGTGGTACACTAATTAAAATTTCAACTGTATTGATTCATCAGCTTCATTAATTTAAAGCAGCTACCTGTAAAATAGTGATAAACCGCCTTAAAGCCATTAGTAACTGTTCCTTTCCTACTTCTATCAACAAAAATACGAGTTGCAATTGTTTCTGAACTTGATTTGCTGTATTGCAGGTTACGGTCGCCATCCAAAACAAAACCCAAATTCCTTAAAATAATTAGCAAAGCTCTCAACCAATTCAAGTTTAACAATAAAGCACGATAGGATCTTCCTTCACGAAAATCTCTTAATATGTCCAGAAAGAATAATCAATATGTGCAGAAAGAATAACGTTGGAACAATTTTTCAAGATATCATTGTTATCAAACTATTGCGGCGTGTTCTTCAATTATGCAACTGCACATTGGAAGCCATACTTTTTGAAGGGATTCTGTTTAATCCAGTTAATGGTTGGTAGGTCAACTGTTCTTTCCCACTCTACAATTCGCATGAATTCTCGATGCACTCTTTGTGCATTTAATATTCCGATGCTAATTGTTTTAATGGCAGTCCACAAATAGGAATGATTTATGAGACTCTATATACATTGAAAAGAATACCATAACTTCCCAATCAAACAGAAGATCGGAATCATGGGTCCCAATAAAGGAAGAAGAATCAGTGATGCATCCACCAACAAATGGATAATACTTTTACTCGCCACAAAAAAATACCTAAAAACCAATTCTAAAAAGCGGAATTTTTGGATTCTAATAAATCCATATTCAAATAACGAAAATCTTCATTTACAGTCCCGAGATTAGTTTTACCGAACTTGCTCAATGTATCAAATTGTAGGAACTTTCCGAAAACAACATAATGTGAACGTAATCGTGAATATGAACGGTAAAAGACATCGCTCAAGGATAAAATGGAGTGTCATATCGATTTCAGAATTCAATAGATTCGAGTGTTTCTTGCGGTGATTACGAAAAGCTGAGCGAATATGCTCAATAATTGGCGGCTCAACAATTTCCCACAATGTCAATTTTGATGGGAAAACCTAAAAAATTGAGGTGCGAATTTAAAAAAACTAAAAGAAATATCGAATGCTTAGAAGTCCTCAAAACATTATAACATTACAAAAATTCTGCAAAAATAAAAAAAACAAACACCATGAGTTTCAGGACACAATACTTGTAGAGATCGTGGTTTATCTCCCAAATCAATGACTTCACCATGCTGTGACATGCATCGGCACGGTGATGATTGTCCAGCACGAAGTTCTATCATATCACCATCTACCAAAAGCATCCATGGTACATTCACTAACTAAAATAATCCTTCTACATATGGGTTTTTAATTTTAATTGTTAATAACGATTTTTATCTGATTTCTTGGAAAATTTCTTTTGTCAGATATCAAGTGAACAAATCTAATCTTCACGGAACTAATCAGAGTAGCACAATTTACTGATTATGGTTACGAATGTAATCAAAAATCTAACCATCTGTAGAAAAAAAGATGTCAAAATGCTCTATTTTATACAGTCACTGCTAAATGAGTCGCTGAATAAGATCTCAATAAGAGACGTCTAATATGGAATAGCATTTTTCAAATTTCTACCACACATCTACAATGTATGTCTAAGGCAGCAAAATCACTTCCAAGCGATTTGATATAGGAATCAGTTTTCAGCAAAATAAAAATAGTACCTTTCTGCACAGTATTCAGATCATTAAATGAACAATTTAGTACAACAACTAAAATGAATAAAATAAAACGAAAATAAATATTAAAACCAAAATAAAATTACCTTATGATCCCTGTATGTCCACTGCAAGCTGATAGCATCAGATGATGGCGTATAAAGATGTTCATATTCGAAGTCTTCTTCCTTCAGTGATTTCAAAATAGCCAAAATATTTAAGGCTCTTGCAATAATGATAACCCGTTGATTACGATATACTTTTGGTGAATAGCATATGTTTGATATTGTTATAACCAAGAACAGAACTGATGCGAGTTTGTCAAATAGAGTGTAACCTCTAAACGTATTTCATACAATAATTCTTTGTTTAATATTTTCCCAATTTTCAATCAAATCAGTTTTTTTTTTTTGAGGTATACATTAAGGATGAACGGTAAAGAAAATACGTAAAATAGATAGAATTAATGAACCTAAGCAAACTGCAAATCAGTAAAACAAGGCAGCAAACAACTGAAAGTATCGCATAAATGATACAAAAGCCTCCAGTGCTCACTTCATCATGGGTCAAAAACCTGAAAATTTATTGATCCACAAAACTTTTGAGCGCATATGCGCATCATCACTGAACAGAATGCTTTAAAATGTTTTTTAAAAAAAGTATTAAAGGATATCTTTCATACGAACTCATTCAAATATAAGTTCAAATAGAAAACTAGAACATTCTTTATAAACATTTCCACCTCACGTATACGCCAAGCTTGGTTTGAAACTAACTGGTAAATAAAAATTAGATTTGGTTGAAATATGTTTTACTGGTCAAATATGTTTTAAGTGATTATTGTTCCTCAATAACACTTAACGAGCAAAACGTTACCTGAATGTAAAAAGTCCAGCAGCGAGCTCACGCTCTTTCTTAATTTCAGATTCAAGTATTTCACAAAGTTTTTTAAAAGCCTCCGTCGTGCTTAAACCAATCTTCGTATCCATTATTAACTCCGAAAAACCTTAGAAACGTCATAAATCTAATATATTCGCTTTTTTCGTACACATATTGCGATCATAACTAGTAAAATTCATAAATAATGGCAGAACTAATGCATCCAACAAGCATTGTTGTTTAAAAATAAGCAGTGGATTTAGAAATAAGAAAATGATTCAGGATGATGATACTCGTCAGTAATATCACTTTGGTTGTCAAGGAGATTCTCTAGTCGAAAAGTTGAACAAGTCAGCGGCGAAACCCACAATCTCTAGTCTACCCCAATTTCATTTCTTGAACCCTCAATCAGCAAGATAAGGAATTATGTCGAAACATTTTGGCATATTCGGTCAATGCAGATGCTTGTATTTACTATGTAAACCATCAGTTGAAAAACATGATTCGAAAACTTCTTTATGCTCAAAACAAAACAACCATCAAGACACAAGGTCATTCCTCATTATCAACATTTACTGTTGTTAACTTCTTAAATGTTGTAACAGGAACGTGCGTTACCAATGTATACAGTCGATCTGCAGAACTTTCATCATCATTACGCCGTCGTGACAGGCGTACACGTACACGATATGGAACATTCCTGAAAATGTTAACTCATTTCATTAAAGATATTTAAGGCTTTCCGTTGCACTGTACACTTCTGGTCTAAGCCATACTTTTTGAAATCCTAAACTTTTGTGACTGTGTTAAATAAACGAAACTAGTTTGTACAAGTTCTACTTTCTTAATCACAGTTCCTTGCTTCATCTGTGACAGCAGGAATGAAAAAGAACTTGCTTTGCATCGAAATATAAATTAAACTAATAATACAGTCAATACTACCGACAATTAGCACACAGAGCATAATAAAATCATAAATTGCATATCTTGAATGAAACTATCTGCGAACGCAATCACCTCCTATCCCACCTTCCTATTACTTAATCTAACTGCAGTTCACAAACTCTTCATAAATGCTTACTTTACGCCTTTGGACCACAAAAATTCATTCAAACGTATATGAACGCGTACATCTTTTGTACCCATCTGTTCTTCTGCAAATTTCCGTATTGCTTTGATAGCCTGAGGAGCACGCTTTTTGAAACCACTGCAACCGATGGTATTTAAATTTAGCAAATTTGGCTGCGCTTAATACATTCCGCAAAGAAAGCTAACCTAGTGCACTATGTATTGACACTTATCGTGGTAACCCATCTGTGGACCAGAAAATCTAAATTAGCGACAGACTAGTCAGTGTAAAATAGCAAATCGTTTTATTTCAGGCGTCTAAGGGAGATTAAGGATATACAATCAACAAGTAGTGATGGTGGGACTACATTTTTACATTTGAGGAAGGATGCAAAATCGCTCCTCCGGTAATGCAAAATACAAACTTACACGCCATGCAATCGTCGATGCAGATTAACGGTATACTCACGTGTTACCACTTCACTCATTGCACTTCTCGGCTTCCTTTCTTGTTTCGGTCCTTTTTTTGAAGGTGCCATTGTTAGAGGCCTACAAAACAATAGTGAGGCAATGTTTAATTAGCTTAATCGCACGAACGGTCAGTGCATAACCTTACTATTTACGGCAACGACGGTGTTACAATGTATTAAAGGATAGTAGGTTGTGCTTGTAGTGTTAAAAATGCAAAAATCAAGGTACATCAAATTAACACATTGGTAGATCCAAATGTCGACCTACCCGATCCCACCACAAATTACCCCCACTCCATCCCATTAACGTACGTTATACGTCCCACATTAACTACCCTTTCGTCATGCCAAACACAATTAATTTTCTCGCGGCCCGTTAAAAGTTAAAATGAGCTATGCGAATCTATGTTTCATTATTATTAATTTCGGTGTCAAGTGTTTGGATTGGCGGTTGTTTACTCATTGAAGTTTTTCATCATGGAAGGGTTGTTGTTGCGAGATTCATTTATCTGAAAACTGGACTGATCCATTCATCAGAGAATACAATGATTATAGGTGACGATAACATTCACATTTGTTCGAATTATCCAATTTACCTGTTAGTATGCAATGATGCAAGGATGTCTGTTCTTAATGATATTTTGTTATTTTTATGCTGAAAAGATCCTTATTACATTGAAACTCATTCAAATCTTCCAAAAGAGAGAGCGAGATGTCAATAATTATAGGCAATATTCGGTTATTGGTTTCCAATTCAATTAGTCGTAATTATTAAAAATAATTATCAAAATCTTGCAAATCCATCAAAGGCCAAATTATAAATTTGCTGCGTATTAAGAGCAAATAATTAGTAGAGTTAAGGTTAGATGATTCTGAATGAAGATAACGAAAAGCCTACAAGGCCAAGTAAATAATCAAAAAGAGTACAACCACGTCCCAACAAACAATAAATGACAAAACAAAAACAAATATGGTATATCAAATAAAAAAATAATAATAACAATTCGAGCAAAAGTTAGCAAACGAAATTTTTCACTCGTAAAAGATATATAAGAATAATTACTTATATGAATAAAAATCATTCTCAACTCAGTCCTATAATTATGAATTTAAGCTTCTTAAGTTATTAATAGCGTAAGCTAATAGCAATGAATAAATGAAATAATCAGAACACTTTATACTATAATTAAAATTAATCGCAAAAATAGGAATAATAAATATGAGCAGCAATAATAACGTGAATTATAAGATTTATACTAATATTTAATATTTAATTTAATTGAAATTTAATAACAATAAAAGATATAACTAATAATGAAACCTTCGAAATAAAAAAGAAACAAGTAGACAGCTTATAAAAAGACCTCGTAATAAAAATATAAAAATTGAATACAATTAGGGAATAAAGTGAAAATGATCTCCTTACTTTCTCTCTCTCTCTCTTAATTAGTAATTTCAGATATGATGTAAAATGATCATTGTACTCCCTGAAGGATAAATTAATCCAGTCCTGAAGTTATTTTTTCTAACATACTATCGTAATTCTTATTTACTTTCTTTACTAATTAATGAAATTATGAATTTAAAATATATTGTATTAGTTATAATTATGATTCATTCTTAAGATCAGAATATTTTGAAGCTTTAGTTTCATTTCATCATTTTTTTCCAGCTCGATGAATTCAATTTGAAAAATTCATCATCTCTTTCTAGCTGACAATATACCACAAAAGATGTAGATCTTATTAATGTCACATAATAAAAATATTTATATTGATCACATATTGAGCTGAAATGAGGATTTTGAAAGTGATGTGAATTGTAGTGGAAAAGTGAAATTCGTTTCAACTTTATACTCTATAGTTATCAAGTTGAATTTTAAAACTATTAATCTTTTTTTTTATTATCATCACATCTTTTATAGTGAAAATTATAAACTCTCATTTTCATTAAACTTCTGTTGTCTAATCTTTCAAATAGATATCGTTGTTTCAGTTAGTCTAAATTAAAATATTATTCATTTCAAAGTTTAATATGTACACTCTAACAAGAAGATATACTTTTTAAATTATTGTCAAATAATTTGATAAGAAAAAATTAAGCTAACCTTACAGCTTCATTAGTCATCAGAAGAGAATAGAAAAATCTTTGCACATTTTCGGTCAATTCGTTTTTATTATATATTGTATAAGTTACTTTTTTTTTGATGATAGTAGTTTGACCTCTTCTGATCGATTATAACATTAAAAATGAGATTTAAATTAAAGAATGAATTTCATGAATGAATGTTAAAATTTATTTGTAATTTTGATTTGAATATTTTCTTTTTGATTTAGAATAGTTTGTTTACTAATTGCTGCAAATTGTTGACACCATCATGAAAAGCATTATTTTTTATAATTGTTTGTCTTCAACTATTTACTTTGCGTATTATATTTTCTGAATATTTTGGATTTAAAGTGAAGAAAATCAACATCTTTAAATCATATCTGCCTGATCTGTTTTCGCCTAATCCTTTCGTCTGATCTGTTTCTGTTTGTTCAGGCTTAGATAGTAATAATTATCTTTTGAAATCGTTAAAGAAAGAAGAGCTGCTCTGTCGTTCTATCAGATGTATTTTTTTTTTGCCAATTAATTCAATAGTGAACATCCTTATTACCACCGTCAGATAAGTAAACAAAGAAGTGACTGTGTGTGTGTGTGTGTGTGTGTGTGTGTGTACTGAAGTGAAACCGGTCATATGCTGAAAAATGCACTCCAGAAAAATTTTTCGACCTTTAAATACAGAAAAATTCATAGGTGAATTCATAAATAAGAAACTGAAAAAATATATATTGTAGTAGTTAAATTTTCTAGGAATTACCTTTATAAATGTCAGAATTAGAATCTTAACACCTGTTACAAATTACTTCTAAACACTTTTTGAGAGTAAAAGAAACGACGAATATATTACATTAACATGTATTTAATAGTATATGTATGTTTAACTTAAGTTATTAATTTGTTTAATTGCTATTAAATAACTGTCATATATGATTCAGTAACGGATTCAAAATGAATATTTCTAGTAAAAGAAATATGAAACTTTCAGCTATCTGTGAGAAAAGAGTTGCTGTGATGGATTAAGAAAGAATTGATGAGTTCTCGTAACGAACATTTGTGCGCAGAAATACAATTGACCTTGGCGAACTATAAGATATTTTCAACCTTTTAGATAACGATTAATTTACATTTTAAATTTTAGTTCCTTCTGTCGAAAAGATAGGAATAGGAATGGTAAACATTTTTTTAAAGGTTATGTCATTTATCCATCATCACACACCCCATTCTTTTTTTCAATTACAGTCTTATTTCTTCTTCTTCAATCTTCATTTCTCCCTAAAGTCAATCAATAAATAGCATTGAAACCTTTCATCTTCATCATATAGGTGTGAAATATTTTGTAATTTTGGCTGCCTTCTATTTGTTTTCATCTTCGCAATTAGTTAAATCAATAATTTTGATGATTTGTCTTCGTGTTTTTTGTTTTTAAGTCTAATTAAATTTAATTCATACTAGCGTAATATAATCATAATATTTGCTTGATATTTCATGAATAGAGTTCAGCATGGAATGTGCAATTTCCTGTTGATTTCACAAAACCATCTATTGCCAGCAGCTACAGCCAGCAGGTACCATTTTTGCTCTAACAAAATATGACACATAAATTCATTTACAGAACACCAAGCACTTTTTACTATTGCTTATTTTTGACCATTGCTAAATGAGCAAATATATATATATATATATATATATGTGTGTGTGTGTGTCAGCTTACTATTTCAATGTTCTTGTGATCAGTTTATTGTCCACAATACATTTGCTCACTAATTCTAATTACTCATTTAGCAATGGTCAAAAGTAAGCAATAAATGAGCAAAAAATTTTCTAAATTTTTAAATATTAAAAAAATGAAAGTTTCATTTACAACAACAAATATTCTTATGATAGCTTTAATCGATAAATAATTAATATAGACAATAATTCATTTTACATCGATATTTTCCTTAATTTCTGAATTGAAAGAAAAAATAAAATGGTTTGTTTCTCAGTTATTTATTTTAATTTCAACGTTCGATCGATTTTAATTCTTTAAAAACGATTTTAATTCACATTAAAATTAAAACAAATTTAAGCATTCATATCATTTCATCAAATGTTTATTTAAAACAATCACTTAAAATTTCTTTCCTTTCAAATATAACACTTTTCGGCTAAATGAAACAATTGCGCATTGCAAATATTTGAAAATAAGTTTGTTAATGTCATTTCAAATCACATTCTTATTCCATATCTTTTATCATTACTTCTCTTTTCATTATCATTTCTACAAACACTTCCAATTCATCCTTACAATTTTAACTTTCTTACTGTTATAGTATCGTAGCTGAAATAAAGCTTAAAGATAATTGCAAATGCAAATTATGAATACATTGGTCCGATCAAAATTATATTGGGGAAGAAAATTAAGGCAAATCAGGTTTTTTAATTACAACATCATTTGAGGTTTGTTCATAAGTGGTTGAGTTTGTATGGAAATGAGGGAAGAAAGTTTTTTTCCTCACTCATTTTTACATTTCACTTAACCATTCAAATTCAATATTCGATTTAAAGCATCCATTAGATCATATCTTATCATTAATCATAATCTATTATTATACTTCTTCCTTATTGTTCTCTCTTATCTTTCATCCAATCACCAAATTATATAAAACGTGAATAGACTTTTCTGCATTTTGCATGTGTCACGGAATAATGTGTGAGTAATTGCAATTTTCTTCTCTAATATTTTACATTTCACTGACAATTACTGTTGGAAAAATTGAAGTAATAGAAGAAGTGAAATTCATTCGATGACTCAATGAAGAATAAATGTATCAGAAAGGGTGAATTAAACGTCGAGCGGAAATTTTTCTTCGGTGACATTTATCATAAACAAAACTTAGACTAATTGAAATGATCCTTACATTTCAGAAGAAAACTGTAATGAAGATAGAAGGAAAATTATTGTCTAAGCAAAGTTCATGACCCCATTCACTAATACTTCTCTCCCTCTCTCTCTCTCTCTCTTTTCTATCCCAATAAACTAAACCAGTCGCACTGGACAGAATGATTATTATTTGCATACGCGCATACATAATGACACTGAGTGATTGTTTGGCTAGGAGAATGCGCTGTGGAGACATGCATATGATTACGATTGAGGGTGGTAAATGTCATCCTTCTTTAGTAGTTGATAGTTGTTTGAATGGTCAAGAGAGACATAAGAAGAGTTGGAGGACAATTGAGAATACTTTGACCCTCATTCACTTGATGATCATTATTTGATGTGTATTTTCAATCATTTACTGCTTTATACTTTTCTCTCTTCTGGACATTGTTAACATATTAACACTCAAAACAATATCATCCTATCATCCGCTTTCATTTATTTCAAATTTTTTCACTATTTACATTCATAATTCTCTTTGTAGTAATATACCGCCTATATTACAATTACCGCCAACAATTCATTAAGTAGTTTTCTTTTTGAATATAAATATGGATGACAATAAACAAATATATTTAATTCGTGAAATTTTTTAGATAAAGTAGCTTACCTTTTAGGTAAGCGCGTAGACCAATGTTGAAGAGCTGCAATTATCACTTCAGTACGTTTGACGAAGTTGTAAACTCAAAATATTTTAAACAAGTGTAAAAAGTATTCGAGATCTGTAATGGTCAAATATCTATCCTCATATTTTCCTATAAAAATTTGCTTAAAATTTCATTATGTAAATATAAATACTATTATCAATATTATCGGATATTTAAAGTTATTACTAAAATTTGATAACAATTAAAGCACAATGTTATTAAAATCTATTTAAAATAATATCTTCCTCACTTTTGCAAATAAAGTATGTTGCTTTGTTGTCTAAATGGTTTCCTTAATTTTGTTCAAAACCCTTTTCATCTCAACTTTTTACTTCTATATTAAATTCTTCTTATATACTGATACGATATGATCCTAATTTCTTAAATTTTCCATATTCATACCGGAAATATTCCTTTAAGTTAAATTTATTTAACTTGGCGCAGTTAATTTGACATCCCTTTTCATTATCTTCAGAAGTCTCAAAAGCTCAACTTTGCAATATTCTTAGTACAATTCATTCCAATCTCCTCAATTTTGTTACCAACCGTTGCATCTTCAACAAGATGAATGTTGTTTAATCATTTGCTTAATCTCGACAATGGCTTCATTCTTACTGTGACTTTAGCGCCATGTTTTCTTTCATTTCTATGCTCTTTAGAAAATATTTTCTTACGAATAACTACAAACATTGTTTTAAAAAAATCCAGCAATAATGGAAATGTAAGTGTGCTCGAAATTTATTGAATTCATATTAGTTTACTTATTACATGTTAAAAAAACAATTTTAGTTAAAGTCCTTAAATTGAAGAAATGTTAATAAATAACATATAATGAATTTCACAACATTTATTGTCACATATATCTTAGGTTTCATTTAAAATAAAAAAATGAATGTCAACTATTTTTTTTCAGAAATTTTTTAAAAACATTTATAAATAGTACCATAAGAATAAAATTGAGCGCCTTTTTCCTCCCATCATTCTCCGCCATAATATTTCCTTTAATCTTCTCTCTGTCTAATGAATATTTCATCCATTGTTCCATTTATTCATTCATATAAATAAATATATGAGTGAATAATCATATATAAAATTATTAATTATATATGTAAGGCTTTTTACCATATTCGATGTAAGTTTATGACATATCGAAAATACCTTATTAGTATGTTCCATCTTGCGATGATATCTGATAAAATTATATTTCCGTATTATAACCACTTATTCCGTTGAGAAATCTCATATAGTTATGAATAGTGATTGATAACTACTTTAAATTTTTTGAAGTTAATCGTTTTTTAATTTACGACATCTTTTAATCATAATTATAAATTAATTTTCCTTTCGAAATTACCACCTTGCATACATCGGAGAGTAATGGTAACTGAAGAACAATATAAATTTTGATAAGTAAATGTTTGTATATGAAACAATACGAGAAAGTAGCTATTAGTTTTAACTTCTAACTAAAAGAAAAGGTTGTGGTTCAATTCCTTTGAGTCTAATTAGCTTCTTTTATCTTCCGATCTGAACACATTCATTAATTTGTATACTATGATTGCAAGAAATGTTTTGCTGTTTTATTTCAATAGTCTTTTTAATTCTTTTTTGTTAAACTCTATACTTTTGCTATTGAAATTATCTTAACGAATATTAATTCTGAATTTAACAAACCAAATTGGATTTTAGAAAATCAATACTTTTTGATTCAAATTTAATTTAATATTTAACATCAACTTCTATACATTCCTATTCCATTTACTGTTAGAAAATTTTTGTCTACTTCATATTTTGTTATATATTAAATTAAATAAAAGGAGCGGAGGGAATTATTAAATTTATACTTTATCCCTCTCTCTCTCTCTCTCATCGTTGTTATACTTCATTAGTAAGATATTTATTTCATATTTTATTAATTGAAACAAAACTCTTCAATGATTTTGATATCATATTTTACTCAACAAGTAAAAGACTAGTTCTGCAATTTGAGAGTGGAAATGAAATTGACTTTTTAGTTAGCACATAGCTCATGCAAAAGTATTTTAGAAATACGAATTTTAGAATGATTCTTTTCAGGCAATTTTAGTACCAGTTCTTTTCCATCCACATTCCAGTGTTATAATTTATGAATAGAGCAGCTGCATATTCAAATGTCGCATATTGCTTTGTATAAATTGAATTAAGCAATGATTGAAGTTATTTGAAATAAACTGTATGTGTCTAAAATTTCAATTCTTAAATACAGTTTTTAAATATCCAAACATAAATTTCGGTTAGAATTTGTTCAGTTTGCACAAAAATGACTAAAATATCATTGAAATAATTATTCTTTTTTGGTCACTACGTTTATTTACGTATCTTTTAGTCGTAAAATGCATAAACTGCGTGGGAGAGGCATTAATTTCATATTATTATTTATCAAAAATTCTCAGAAATGAGCAGCAGAATACGGACAATTGTGCTGTATCGCGGAAATGTTGATACATCGAAACCTTCAAGTTCAAGTTGTACGAAGCAACAACAACCATCCAGACATCCATTGGGTTTCAGTATCGTAGGTGGCATTGATTCACCGCGTGGTCCCATGGGAATTTTCGTCAAAACTGTCTTTGCCGATGGATTGGCTGCAAAAAGTGGCCTTGTTTGTAAAGGTTACGAAAATTGGTTTTGTCACATTGATGAAAAGTAGGATCGAATGAAAATGGAACAGTATTAAATTTTTCTCTAAATCGTTAAATACTTTCGAAATTGTCAAAAAGTGTTTGCCTTTTTTTTCAAATAAAAAAATCACAATATTTTTGCTGTTCAATTTTTTTCAATTATTTCTGAATTTACATCTCCAATTTACATTTTCTGAATTTACAAATTCTACATTCTTTCTTTCGGAAACTGTAATATATAAATTAATTCAAATAAAACTAATTAATCCTGAACAAATAGTTCTTTTTTAATACATTTAAAAAACAGCCTTTAGGCGATGAAATTTTGAGTGTTAATGGAGTGGAGCTGAATGGGAAGACACATGCAGAAGCGTTACAAATATTCAAGAGAAGTTCAAAAATTGATGTAACTCTTTGTATCCGTCGAAACATTCCCAATTCATCAAAACAGAACAGAATTTTCGATTACACTGAAACAGCCTTCATAAATAAAAAATTGACGTAATGAATTTTACAAATTTTTATCAAAAATTAAATATATAAAGTAAGGAAGGCTATTTGACCATTTGTAATTTCACATTTCGATTGATCTTTGCATTTAAGAAAAGAAAAATTGTGTACTGAATAAAAGTATCACTAATAGCTGTAGAAATTTTGGATCATAAAATCTTTGATTAATTACCCTTCATCGAATTTCAATGCTATGCTCGAAGATTAAAAACTGAGAAGAATTGAAGGGCGTTTTTATCTAGGACAATTGAGAACCAACAACGATTACTATCAATCATCGATTATTGTATATTATTTAAATTTCGAAAATTTGAACTTAAATTTTCAACATTAATAATTTTATTTTTTATACGCTTAATTAAAATTAAATCAATATCACAATTTGTCCGTATATTTTCTTACTCGATTTTTCTTGCTTTTACTAAGAAATATGAATGTTAAAATAACTTTTGTAAAGAATAACGAGAATAATCTGTGATCTTCAAATACAGCTTTATATCATTTCACTCCTAAATTTATGCTTTATATATTCATTTCTTGTCTTTCATAACAACTCAATTAATTATTTGTTTCATTCTTCTAAAACACTGCAATTAATATGCAACAAAAAAGCTCAAACATATAAACTTCACTCTATTTTGATTTCTATTTACTCATAATTTTACTACTACCATATTATTCAAAATATTAAAATTATATTAGTAATTATATTACGTCATTTCTATTCCATCTATTATTTATTAATCTTTCATTTATCACTTTCAATCATTACCTGTCATATTAAGGATATTTATCTTACGCTCTTATATTTAGTTAATAATTATAAGAGAAATAGTTGTAAAGACTTTTCAGGATATCTAATGATAAATGCGAAGATATAAAGAAGTGCATTACACATGCATCGTTAGCAGCAGCATCATCAGGAGCAGCAGGAACATCAAGAAATACTGCATGCTTGAGATGTCGGACGCTGATTCGAAGTCAACAACGGAAAATATATGGTTGTCCCAATGCTGTTAGTGAACGTCCTGTTATTTTTGGATTCTCGAAAAATTTGCATTTCTCTTATCTAATTTTACATGTTAATAGAACCATTGATAAATCAACAAATTTTATTTAAAGAATCGTAATATTAATCTGAAATATATAATTCTGAAATGGAATATTTCAATAGACAACTTTCTCACTCCAAAATATATCTCCCACATAAATTATCTTTCAAAAATTGTCTTTCTTTTAATTTTTACCAGTTATGATATATTACAATACTCGAGAATATCAATAAATCCATCCATCTATTAATCAGAAATTTTGTACAAAATTATACCGATCATTGAAAAAGAAAAAAGCTTCCGAAAATTTAGATTAGCCATTTTGTCCGAGATGGGAGAAGAGTTTTCGGAGAAAGCATTAATTTGCATTTTGGTGTCACGAAGTGCAATGCGGCGCTGCACTTCCAACCACATCATCACATCCGTTCCATCTGCGAAACGTCGCTTATCATTTACTTGAATCTTTCCCTTTCTTTTTTCCATCCAGCTGTCATCCCTTTCTCTTTTTACTCCATTTTTTTAATTGATGAAATTAAGTTCAAGATGTTAAAACACGATCATAGCATAACGGGTACAGATGGATAATAATGCAATCATTGGACTTTAAATGGTAGAAAGACTGAAGAAAGAGAGAATAACTATTATTCGCTGATAAGACAATATGGCCAAATAGCATGAGTATATGGACATTGGTCACTTTTTTATTTACAAAATAATTTGTAAGCCACCTGAAGTGACAGAAAACGAAGAAATGAGAGAGATATGTTGCAAATGAAATGAATTATGCACATATTATTGGAGACTTGATCATAATCAATTAGAAATTTAATTTCCAATAATAATAATGATAATAATAATAATAATAATAAATTTTAGAATATTGCTAATTTGTAATTTTAGAAGGCGCAAATAATGATTTTAGAAAGCGTGGAGAGTTCACATTTGTCCATACCTGCTTTCTCAACATTTACTATTATTACTTTTCCACTAAATTACTTTCATTTCATCTTTCTTTAATTTCTTATTGACGTATTAAATGAAAAGGATCTTTTTGAACATCGGCTAATTAAAAAAGATTAATTTTTAAATTTCATTAAAAATTATATTTCAATATTTCCATCACTACAAATTAAACTAAAAATGCTTCTATAATAGTAATGAAAATTTTGGCTTAACGAAGAGAAATTCAATGCTTTTTATTACGTCTCCGTCAGATAGCACACCACACAATAACCCATCAATTATTCATTCATATGCAAAAAGGCTATTTCATTACAATTCCATTGATCATTTCTCACATCCTATATTTCACACAGTTGCTGGAAAAGAAAAGACAAATTATCCCCGAGAAACATTAACCCTATACATACCATATAGAAGATTCAATCGATTAAATATCTCTTTCCATTGGTTTCTTTCCGTTGTTAAAATTTTATTATAATTTTATGGAATTTTTATTTTTATAATCTTATAAGAAATGAAATGCGAAATATCATTGTGTTACATTGTTTGGATTGTAAAAGTCTTCTTAATTAGGCTTAGAATGATAGAGATCTTTGTCATTTAACCTTTAGAATCTTTTAGGATTGAATTGAAGCAATGCAATTTCAGAATATCTTATGAATTATGTAAACAGCGCTATTCTATATTACTCATATTAATTTTCCCTTTCACATTTTCTCCTTTCCTGCCCATTTCCTTTTTTTATTTCCTATTTTTACCGGTTTCTTTTCTCTTATTTATTTGACAGGAAAATATCTTCCTGAATTGAACCGAATAATTGAAGTAAAAAAGAAAAATGGTTTCAAGTTTCATGGTCAGTTTCGTGGTCGGTCTTTATCGAATATTATGTCTGATTGAACTTGAAATTATATTCCAATATTTTAATGATAAAATTTCACAATATCTGTTGAAATAGAAATTTTTAAAGATAATGTAAGGCATATTACAATTTGAAATGAATTCCATTCATTCGTTAACTGACATTCTGACAACTGTCATTAACTGACCTTTTGACAATTTTTCTCAACAACTGCTTTATCCTTTTTATTTGACGTTGAGAAAGAAATGTATTTGTGAGCGTTCGTTCGTTGGATAATTCTTTTATACATTTAACAATTAACGATGCCTATATGTCATTTTCTTTTTCAAATTAAAAGTTACGAAATGAATAGTGATGTAGAAGGAAATTTCAGATGTGAGGTTTTTAATGCGTTCGCCATATTTGGAAGGTGTTTTAATGCAGAAATTTCAAGCGTTGAGGAATTTCAATTTTGGTTTTTGAGAATAGTAAATAGGTAGGTTGTCCGTAAAAATTTTCATATTGCCTTTGTCCGATATGACCTTCAAAAAATTGTGTATATTCTTCTATTGGTGGCTTTAAAAAGTGATGTCTTCTGTGGAAAGTTTTCGTTTTTATATCAATAAGAATTATTTTTTCAATTTGATAGAATTTTTAGAATTGTTAAGAAAGATGAAAGGAATAATTTAAGTTTTTTAAAAAAGAAAATCATTTTTTCTTTCGATATTGCAAATAAAAAGAAATTACATTTTTTGCTTATAAAAATAGACAATTGAAAGTAAATTTCTCCGTAACCTTTACAGTAATATTCACGTTTCTATCATTGAAATAGACGTAAAACGTGTTCATTTATAATGAGCATACTTTTCGCAGTCAATTACAGTTGGCTTAGTGAGCACCGTTTCAGATTTATGCACTATTACGATTGTCGTTATATCTAAAGCGCATTATGAGACACCACGCACGCTGTGAAATTTGCTATCAAGATGTTATCGAGTTATCTGTGATTATTTTGACTTTTATAATAGCCTGAAGTTGGAATACTGAGATTAACCGGGGTTGTACGTTCATAAGTATGTACACATGCACGTATATGATAGTGAGAAAACTAGCGAGCGCTTTTTAGGAAGCTTTTTGGCAAATTGAATGCATTCTGATATCAAATAGAGAAAACTGCAGGGATATCATACAAAGATGTAAATCTTTTATAAATCATGCGATGATAAAAAACTCGTGGATCACGTAATAATCGAAGAACATTGTGTAGATTGCGCAGCGATTGAAGAACAAATGGATTGCACAAGGATGAATGCTATCTTAACCTCTCTATAAGATAGAGCTTTGATATCACGAAAATCTGATATTCACATCATCTTGTTTACCCGTCCGTTCAGCCTTGAAATATTATCATATGATTAGTTGAATTCCCAATGATTTCAACTAACTAATTATTCTTTAATTAATCTTATTGAAAGGTAATTATATAAGTACTTAATACACTTATAATACAAGATCATTTCTTGTTAACTCATTCTCTTTATTTTAGTACAAAAAGTTTATTTCATTTCATTTAAATGTTAAATAGGTGGTAGCACATCAATTGCATATCATTCTTCTCTGATCATATTTTTGCTCACTGAATTTTTTTTATTGAAATGTTTTAATATTAGATTTCATACTTATTTAATATTATTTTTTAATTAGTATTTTTGATTATCCTTCCTTTTTGATACAATTTTCAAGTGTTTTTTTTCACTTTCCTCTCAAACAATAATTAATTTTATTGTGTAAAAGCTATTCGGTCAATATCTTTGTAATAATTCGTTGATAAAAGAAACAATATTATCACATATATGCAAATTATAGAATGCTTTTGTAAGAGGAAAACGTGCACTTGGCATTAAGCACGAGCTGATGCGCAAACAAGTCATTCTTCGACGATCAGCGCCATCAGAACGTCTCGGTCTCGGGATTGCCATTGAGAGCGATGATAACGATAGCAAGTAAAGATTTTTTTTTCATAAATCCGATTACTCTTGTGTTTTTATCTCTTCTGGACTTTTTTTAAAACAGTTTAACTGTGGTACCATATGAGCTTGAGAATTATACAGTTGAAATCTTTGAGTTCATTCTTAAATGTTTATTATTTCTAACTGGTTCTTATATATTTAAGAATTTCATTGATATGTTAGGAATGCGGAGATTGCAAGTTAACTCTTGCGAACATTATTTTATTGCAAATTTATTTTATTAATAAATTATTGCAATCATTTCAATAGCCAATTATTCTTTCGTGACGTTAAATTCACGCTAAGGGTTTTTAACGCTCATGAAATCATTCTAATCTTTTGAAATGAGATTTGAATAGAAATAATTTGGCAGAAATTTTTTTGTAGAGTGATTTGTGTACGTGTGGAACAGGTGGATCCGTGTTCCATTGCTTCCCGAAGTGGCTTACAGGTTGGTGATCGAGTGTGGAGTGTTGCTGGTACTGATGTTCATCAATGTACTCGAACTCAATGTTTGTCACTTTTACAGCAACCAACAATGTCTATTACCATGATTGTCACTCGACAAAATGTGTTAGTTTTTAAAAATTTTAATTAATTTAAAACTTATAAGTTTAAGATTCTGATAATAGATGAATATTCGGAATAGTAGAGACGAGATCGCTGAAAAAAAAAAATCAATGATTAATTATTGGACTGTTTTTCTTCGTGAAATCTAATTTTCAGAAGTATGAGTTTTGAAGTGTTATAAGTGAAATTTTTGCAAATATTTATGTCACAATTATTGAATTTAATTATTCGTTTCAGCGCATCTCCGCAGAATAAACATAATCGTTGCATGATGACAAATGGATCTCAAATTTCGCTTTTACAGAAAGGTTATTTTTTTTCAGATTTTGCAATGTTCATTGATATATAAACTTCACATCTGATCAGTTACAGCTGTGACATAATGTTGTGACTTTTATTGTCGAGAAAGTTCGGAAAGCAGAATTTATGTGGTAGTGTATTATGAGAGCCGACAAGTTAAACAGATCGGAAGAAATATTTCCGCATTGTAGAAGGACGGATATTGATTTGTGTGATAGCTTTAATTAAATTTTTTCATGATATATTATGGAATTGAGATTGATTTAATCGAATGTATATTCCTGAGAATTTCATCACTTAATCTTCCATGACAGAACAGTACATAGATGGTTGGAAGAAAAACGATGAAAATAAGCATGGTCATTTTGAACTAAGTGTCAGCCTATTCAAAGGGAACATCTCGGATCCTAACAAATGACTAACTGTAATCTTCAACATCGCTTTAGTTTTATTCCCATTTAATTATAATTTTTAGCCTATTCAACTACATTTCAACTATTGTGCACTTCAACTATTCTTAAGAACAGCAGCAGGGAATGAATAAAATAAACTTTTTAATAATTAACTAGCATTAAAATTCTCAACGAGTACTCCGTAAAATTTTCAGCAGTACTAATAAAGAGATAGACTAGACTGGGTTTGAAGTGGACGATCACGAGGAACTTGATTAAGACTTAGACGATTACGAGGAACTTGACAAGATTTAGACGATCACGAGGAACTTGATTAAGACTTAGACGATTACGAGGAACTTGACAAGATTTAGACGATCACGAGGAACTTGATTAAGACTTAAACGATCACAAGGAACTTGATTAAGATAAACGATCATCGAGGACTTGCGCGGTAAAAAAGAAATCATATGGAAAGAATAGGAAAAATAATGGAAAGAAATGTGATGATTGATTTGTTTCAATTATTTTTGGGAGAATTCATAAAATTTTTTTGTTTACATTCATTTTCTTTAATTTAAGGCATTAAAGTTTTGAATTCCATTCTTTTTTTCTTTTCATTTCTCATTAAATTCATTTAAAAATGATTAATTTGATTGATATAATTAATTATTGGAATTAATTTCTGTAAAAATGAATTTTCATTCCATTGTTGATATGATAACACCTTACATTCAACTATCACTGTAAATATCCGGATATTACTACTAATATTTCTTCTCCCATTTCCCTTACTTAACATTCGTTCTGCTTTTTCATTCCCTTTCATTTGTACGCCCTTGACGTTGTAGAAGGAAAAAAAATATGCTTTTCTTCCATTTCTTCATATTTTCAAGCATTTATTCCTCTTTTCTTTTTCCCTCTCTCTCTCTCTCTCTCTCAATATTTCATCTCTCTGAATTGTTCATTTTTCATTAATTAACGGTTTCCCACTACTACTACTTTCTACATTTCAATGTTCTTTTAAATGTTTATTTCGATTGTTTAAAAAATTTCCAGAAGTTCTGAGAGAGTTGCAATGATTTCATTTTTTGAATGTTTTTTTTCTGCAATGGCGATAGAATTGATAAAGAGAACGATGTGAGTGAGTTTAAAGTAGACGGGAAACTTTTTATTTCCTTAATTAACAAACAAAATGTGTAATTAATGAGATGTGGAAGTGATAGGTAAATAATTAATGAGATATGAAAGTAATAAAAGGCAGTGTAAGCTAATTGATAAATAGGTTAAATTGGAGAGAGAAATCTGTCACAATCAGACAACTCTTTTTTAGTGTTAATAAAAGAATTCATATAGTTATTATTATCATATGCATAAAATGAAGAAAATTTATCAAAACAATTTAGAATTACATTATCATTTGAAATTTCCTCAATTACTAAATGAGAGATAATTTTGTTTATTAGAAACAGTGATAAAAAGTAAAGTATTAAATAATTCCTTATCATACCCATAACATTTCATATTATTGCTCACTTCTAATAATCGCTTATTTTCTGTATTTCATCCCTTCTCTTATCAGTGCAACAGGGGACTTTTAAAACTTTTTCGTTAGTTTCAATTCATCTATTGTCTCATTCCTTCCTTCCTTTGTTTTATAACAAGAAAAGATGGAGCTGAAATTTTAAGATACACTTTTGTATGATTGAATTATTATTTTAGGAAGGGAACAAAGATGTCAAGTATGGTATTAATTCCATTAATGAACGATGTTTTTTTTATTCAGGAAATTTTCTTAATCAGTTTTCGAAAATTTGCCGAATTGTTTTGCAAAGGGAATTATTGTTAAGTGCTCCGAATTTTTGGTTTAATTGTAAGAATATTTTGAAATGAATGTGGAAATGAATCTTAGATTGGTGACAAATTGGATAATTCCTATCAAATGATTTATGTTTATGATATAAAAGTTAAGATCAAATCCCGAAGTTATTGATTACCTCGTTATAGCATAAAAAATGCCAAAGGATTTGAGAATAAATGACCCGAAATGTTAGGAAGATAAGAAGCTTTTGATATTTATCGATAGAATCCTAAGATCTAGATCCTGACCAATGATGCTACTACCACTAGACTTCTTTCACTCACATCAATCGAACTGAATCGTCGAAGATTCGATTGTGTTACTGTTGTGATGAGTCAAATGAGGTCATATTAGATGGATGACAAATATTTGAATTATGCTAATAAGTAACTGTTATTATTTGAAATGTTTGATTGTTTGCTTCATTTCTCATTATTCGCTCAACTAATCCTTTCATTATACTTATCTGCTAACACTGCAAAATTTTCGAAAGTGTTGTTGGAGTCAGATTTGATTTAATTAATAAAATCTGAACTTCCTAAAATACTAATTTTTACTCATCTCATCCTTATCCATACTGGATTATAGAATAATTTGAATTGAAACAATATATGGATCATAGAACAGGAATAACTCATTCCAAACAAATTTCAAAGAAGAAAAAAGCGAAATGTTGTAGTGCAGTAGAGAGTTATTCCACTTTTTGCCATTTAAAATTTGTTTTGACCCCTTATAGGCTTTTCTTCCAATCTCTTCCTTTTTTATATTTTGCCTTCAAAACTATTATCCAACTCTAAGCATTAAAATGCAAATTTCATTGTACATCGAATTTTTGCATTAGGAATTTTGATAGGAATTTGTCATGATAATATCAACAATGAAATCATCATCTTCGGCATTTGCATTATCTCTGATCAAGTTTTTATTAATTTGCTAATTTCTTTTTCATATACATTTCTTTCAATTATCCTTATTCCATATCAATTTCAATCATATTCTAATCTCTATTTTTTCTATTGAAAGGTTTTTCTTAAAATTTATCGAATGTGTGTTCTGTTTACAATTCAACGTTTTCCTAAAGTACTTCATCGAATTCTAATCTATAGCAATAATTCTCATTTAAAGAAACTTTTGATAAACAATCAATGTTTGCTACCGAAGGATTATTATTGGTTTGAAATGAAAATTAAAAAGTTTTTCTTTTTGAAATATGATGTGAACAGTGAAAAGATATTAGTTTTACCTTCTAAACTTTAAAATGCACAGGTAAACTCTTATCTTTAACCAATAAGCTTTTCTTTATTTGTACGGAGAAGAAATTTTATCATTCAAAAAGAGTGTTATGACTCATTTCAAACATTTCAAAAATTCTATCTGATTACAATCTTTGATTTTTTTCCTTCTTCCTTTTCTTTTGCCTCTAAGATAGAGCAAGTGAGGAGATGATGTTGATAAAGGTCTTGTAGTAGCGATCATCGCTTTTTCTTGACATTATCATTGTTATTATATGATGGTTAATATTATTATTTATTGTCCATTATTATTATTATTAATTAATTTATTATTTTAATTAATTAATTGTTGTCATTACTGTGATCCGTTAATTACTATTATTAGTTATTTTCTTAATTATTACTGCTATTACTATTAATTAATTATTATTTTAATAATTGTCACTATTATTATTTTAATTTTTATTATTATCATCATAATTATCATTATTTACTATTATAATTATCATTATTTTATTAATAATTATCATTTGAATCATTATTTTATTATCATCATTGTTGCCATCATTATTTCTTCCTTTCTCCACTGTTCCAATGAGTACCACTAAATTGAAAAAAAATATAAATGAATTTTTCATGGCATTGAAGTAATTTTTTCTACCTCTGAACTTGAATACTTTTGTAATTATTTTACACTTTCCCTTTTTCAATTTACAACATTCTTTCCTTCCTCTTTTTCGAAGTGAATTTATCAAAGAAAAATAGCTTGCGACGAAAAGGATTACAATAGAAAATTCAAAAAAGTGAACCAATTTCAATTGTTTATAAAATAAGAAGAAAAGTTGGCAACGTCTCTAATTATATTTTTTTGTTCTAAAATTTATTCTGATAAATGATAACATCAAATTTTGTTATAAAGGTAGCAGTTGAATTTTTGATATTTTCTTTTTCCCTCACATAAGCATGCGAAATACAGGTATCTTTTGTTTTTTCGCTTATCAATTAACTTAATCAGGGATATTTGATAGGAATTTTTGAATTTTAATAGAAATTTTTTCATAATAATGCCAAAATGAAATCACTGATTAAATTGCTATTAATTTTAAAGTCGCTTCTAATTTCAATCCTATTCTAATCTCCACGCCTTTCTTCTTTATCTTTTACCGTATATCAATTCTGCATGGACTTAATCAGGGGAATATTTATTGCCTCTCTGATTTACATCTTTATATGAAATTTTCATTTTGTAGGTTTATTTTAAATGCTGGCGAAACTTTTTGATTTGTTAAAACTAAGCCATCGATTTCTGTTGGAATAGTTCTTAAATTATTTTAAATTTTATCATTGCTTGTTAATGTTGAAAAGTTTTTCATTCCTTAAAAATGACAACGAAATTTTTGATCAATTGATCTCATTATTAAATTTAAATCATTAACTTAATTCATATAATAAAACCTCATTATTATCATAATAATCTTATTAAGCCATACTTATTTCTGTTAATAGTTAATAGTAAACGATTTATAAGAATTGAAATTTCCTAAATGTTAATTTATAGGAAGTTTCTAACAAAATTAAACTTTGAATTTGTTTCAAATATATGAAAGTTATCTCATTTTCTCTGAAGAACTTCTCCTCGGTGATATGTATGAAATGATGACTTATTGACAGATTTTTCGATAACAAAAAATATTTTCATTTCATTTTAGTAAATTGATTGATGAACTATTAAGTAAAGATTGCTTTATTTTCCTAATAAATATTAATGCTTTGATTGATTGAAATTAAAAGATTTGAGCAAAGTTTGAAATGTTAACATAATCCGAGTTCCGTTTAGAATTATCCTTTTATTATAGATATTATGTTTAGATTTCTGAGAAGAGCTATGAAAAGATGCTAAAAAACATAATAAAAACACCTAAAGCCTAATTAGAACGCTTAGAAAGTCTATGAAAGATTAATTCATCGGAGAATTCATTTAAAATTTAAGTTCTACTTTTTTAAATCCTTTAGGATCTGGATTGTTTTGCAGCATTTTTTTGAGTTATAGCATTTTTGAGTTTTTCAATTTACATTGTGACTTATTGCATAATTTGCATTTATACTATAACTACTCGGTTCAGTTGTCATCAATTGAGGAAGTGGCCAAAGAGCGCTTTCAATGACAGACATCTTTAGTTGTTTGAAGGATACAAAAGCAATTTTTATGTCTTTTCGGAGAATTCCATCAGAGAGTCATTAAAGCGTTTTCCATATTTGAGTTAGTTTATTTCATTGATTGGTAAATAGTTTAATTATATTTCTCTCTTTTACTTTCATTTTTTTAGCATGAAAAGTACTTCAGAAATTAATGGAAAAACCGGATGAGGAAATTTCTTCTCTCCAACCGGATCAGAAGAAATAGAAATCCCAGAGGTCACAGAGATCAAACAACATCCCGTTATTCGAAGATTGCAAAATCATTTCATTATTCCACAATCATTATTTTTTTTCCAAGTGAATAAATAAATGAATCACTTTACTAACATTGAACCACCAAAACATCCATCCATCCATCCATCCAGCCAGCCTTTCTTCCCTTTCCTTAGAGAGGAGAGAGAAAGAGAAAGAAATGAAGAAAGAGAGAAAGAGAGGAAAGGAAAAAGAAACATTTCCACTAAATACTGTCTTACATCTCCAGCATTACGCTTACTCATCTTTCTTTTACCAACTATTCTATTCACGTCCGTTTACGTCTAATGCATCCTTTCATCTTCAACCTTATGCTTTTAAGGTATCTGTGGATAGTTTCATTTTCAATTTATACGACGTCATTCTTGTTAGCCAATTTTTAATTAAGCTTTGTTCTTAAGTATAGTAATGTTCTTTAAGGTCAAAAGCTTGAATATTTGTTTTTGTTGAAGCTGAACTCATCAATCTTCTCGAGATCAATTATCAATTAATTTGATTGAATGTCAAAGGTAATTTCAATTGAAAACCGTCCTGCTTCAACAGTATATTATATTACTTATTTGGCCAGAAATAATCAAAAAATAATAATAACCGATCTACTAAAAAGAGAGAAATCGTGTAGCAATTTCTGCACTCTTAAGATTTTAAGAAGTTTATATTTCGTCACATTTCATTAAATTAAATTTGAGTAATAATAAATGAAGAATTGGTTGTGATTGCTGTCAGTTAAATTGAATCAATTTGAAATAATTAATATTTTACAAATAAATTTGTGCCTCATTAATTATAGATTGATTCTTTTTTTATCCATAATATTCTATTTTTATTAATTGATAACCATAACATTTACAAATAGAATAGTTTATAAATTTCAGAAATGAAACTCACTTAATTCTTACCTTTTGAAATAATAAAATTTCTTCATTTATTCTACACCTCTGATATATGAGAATTGAGAACTGTAAAGCAAAGGGGAAATTATTTGCCCTAAAATGTAATCTGTTATAGGAAGATATCCGTGAGAAAGCATTTCAACATTCCACAAGTACTTTTGGAATATCTTACAATCATCAAAATTGCCCAATTTTTTTATTCCTTTTATATTATATTCATCTAGACAATTTCAGGATTGGAAGAACTAGAACTTAAATATTCTCTTATATTTTCCGCATTTTAGAAGAGTAATTTAGATGTTTTAAATAGTTAAACTTAAAAATTAGCGAGGATTAAGTGTTGATTAACTCTTTAAAATAGATTAATGATTAGTAACTCAATAGAATTAAATAATCAATTAATCACATTTTATGGTTCAATCGTTGGCAATAATTATTTGTTTACAGCTGTAATGAATCATCACATCGTTTTTTTTCCCGTTTCTGTTTGCCCTCGCAAATTCAATGAGTTGTATTTTCCCTGAAAATGAAATCCAGTTATCTTTTTTTCTGAATATCGTAATTTTTTGATGATTCTATCCTGAATAGTATAAATAGTTCGAGCTATTCTATTATATAATGGTAATGAAAAACTGAAATGATTTCAATTCGAAACCAATTAAACATTCAAAAAAACTTTTAATCTTTTAAAGGCTACTATATCCGATTTTTTAATTGTTTTTTTGTAAGGGAAAATTTCTTGTAAGCTTTCTCTCTCCGTTTTTCTCTCTCTCTCTCTCTCTCTTTATGTGTGTGTGCGTGTGATTAGTTGTCGAAGATTCTGTGGACTTCTTACGATAAGTCCTTGTATTGTTGAAAGGTTGAAATTTAAGAGTTAGTTATATTTTGCTTTTTGATTAATCTATCATCACTCTAATTAATGTTTATAATTCAAGATCTTACTAGTGTTTATAATTGTTATGAACATATAAAAATATGATGACATGAGGCGATTGGCGATTTTGAAGATTTATTTGTATTATTATGGCGATGATAATTCTGCATTGTCGAATGTGTGAAATAGTAAATTACTATTATGAATTTAGTCTATCCTCCTAATAATATACTTTGTTGTTTTCACTCCAAGTGTTTTTGTTTGGTAGTAATAACTTCCATTGTACTAATTAATATGTATCACTTGTTTTGGGCTTATAAAAAAAATTTTTTCAAAATGGAAAATTTTCAGGTAGTAAAATGGCTTTAAAATTAGATACAACCATATCATCTATGAATGGCAGTAATATTGACAGTAATGGTAACAATACTGGTGGTATAATATTCAAAACAAATAATAATCATTCACCGAGCAGTAACGATTCCGGTTTTCATAGTGATCGATTACAACAGCATCAGCAATCAAAACAATCACAACGAACCATATCCCGAAATCGTGGTAATATCAAGCATAAGCCAACTTATGTCAGCGTATTTGCTTCTGATCCGGATTGTTCCAGTCCATTATTTGATGAATTCAATCGACGTTTCGCCGCCAAGTATCGGTTTGAAATGTTTGTACAGAATTTAGTATGGAAGTCAAAATTGATATGGGATTGCTTTTTGTCTGACTTCAGACAGGCCTATTGATCGTAGTCTTACTAAACCATTCATTTATTGCAGCAAAAGGTATTTAATTAAGCTAAAAACAGCTAAGAAGTAATGAATAGAAGTAATGTTAACGTCGTGTTATATCAACAGTTTTAAAATTTTCTAATTAATTCTAGTTTTCACGAGTTAATTTTTTTCCAGTCGGCCGAACTTCCTTAATGGTACGCTTTATCCACCTACCGGGGATGAAGAGATGCTCTTTGTTCCATCGATAACTGCTCCGTTAATAACACCATCCAGAGAGTCAATATCACCCTCGTTCATAAATACGAACATTTCATCGGATGCCGTTATTCATCCAGAAACTTCAGGACAAACTTATTTCAATAAGCAGCAATCTCTCTTAACACATCCTACAAGTATTTTTCAACAGGAACAGCAATTTCAACCTTCTCATTCAACTACGGATCCAGAAACCTCGGTACATGAGAAATTGCGTGATACAACAACACCTTCCAATATTCCTTCATCCAACGGAATATCCAATTCAAATCAATCAGTGCAAGAAATTGTGGCGCAAAAAAGTTATAAATATCCTCCTCAAAAAAGTGAAATAGAGGAAGATACGACGTGGATTAGTGAACATAAAGAAGAAAAATCGGAAGTATCTATAAGAGAATCGCTGAATAATTTGTATTCAAAATTCCGGGAAAATTCATCAACTGAAGCGGAGATCTTAAACTATCACTTGTATCCACGAATAGCTGCTAAACCAGAGGAATTTTATATTACTTTATCAAAGTCAATAGATCTTCCAACAACAAAGTTACTGTACGATAATTCTTCACAGCCAAATGACGTAATGGAAATGTTGGATACAAATGAGCAGCATGAAAATGGAAAATTATGCGACGATAGCGCCGTCATGAAACAATCATCTGCCAATGAGATGTAAAAATTTTAATTTTATAACAAGTTTTTAGCGAATGCGAATACGCGTTCTTGTATTTTTAAAGAAAAATCGCGCAACATTCAGCAGATTTTTTTATTCATATTTAAATGTCTTCATTTAATTTAAAACAATAATATAACCAAGGCTTGCATAACTGAAAATCTGGTACGATTTGCTGTTCAGCTATTTCGTTAGTTTCTATTTTGCAATGTTCATATGTTCTATTTGAAGTTAACTGTTTAGTTCGGTAAATTTAGAATTTTAATTTATGGAATAGCCCTTTTCTTTCAAATGTAATCGACGAATCGATGATTTTTTCAGATATTACGTGTCTGATCCTGTTACCGAGCTGCTGTCAGGAAGTATATCTTTAGAATCAGAAAATTCTTCACCTCAGCAATCATTTATAAGACCTCAAGAAACACCAATATCGAAACTCCTTGATTCAAAAATTGTTCCTAGAAATGATCAAAAAAGCGCTGACCTGGAAGAATCTCCACTTCAGATTCTGTCTCGTAACCCGGAATTTGAAATGACTTCGCTAAGGCCGAAAAATCGACTGGTGAACGTCGAACAATGTATTAGTTACCGTGAAAACTTGAATTCACTCGAAAATCCTACGAAATCTGAAGATACTTCAAAAGCAGAAACATACTCGGACATCGGAAAAAGTCGCTTTGTTTCATTTGTACCTGCTACAAAATTCAACCGGATCATCTTTCAAAGGCCGGACATGCTGGGAAATCTCAATAACAGCGGTTTATTTCCCACAATTTTTGCAGGGAAAATAGCTAACGATATAACTTCCTAAAATATTTCTCAAATCTCCGATGATTCTCATTTGTCTTCATGTGAAGAAATCCTGGAAAACTCATTTATGGTTTCGTATAGTCATCTTGCAGAAAATTTTGAGGAATGACATTTTGAATCGAATTTTAATTTTCGAAAGTCAAATCTGGGTTCCTTAAAATTTAATTCTTCATCAGAAATGACTCCTCCAAATGAAAACAAACCTAATTTTTCGTCATATGAAACACTGAATGATGCTTCGAGAATTTCATATTGGTTGATGAAACCGACTGGGGGTATAATCTACTCCTGTATCAGCAGAAACTAAGATTCTCTTTATGTTAGACATATCATCCATAAAGAACAGCACTTCATGTTTCAGAAAAGTCGACTTCAGCTGTGTTTGAGAAATCTGACCCAATCGTTCCTACCAATTCCATTCATCCAACACGGGAAAATTCTGCTACATCAATTCCGAGGAAACCGGAGCATTCTCATGTAATTGACCGGGTAGTTTCCATTAACGAATTACAAACGACGATATCGTCAAATGAAAAATTCGAGAATCCCATAGCACCAGTTGTTCCACGACGCGTCAGAGATGATGAAAAATCTGTTCCGTTTAATAAGCTTATTGAAAAGGCAATTTTTGTTTTCATTTTATTTTTGAAAATAAAAACTTCTGAAATCAGTGGATTGAATATATGAAATTCTCTCGCTGATTTTACTCTAATTTCTAATTGAAATGATTTATTGGTCTTGAAACTGTTACATTGCTAATTAATTTGGCTATGGTTTTTCCATGCAGATGTTATTTTTTAACTAAATTTTGCTTTATTAAAAATGAATTTTTATAGTTTACAAAAGCAGATAATGGTGCAATTCCAACACCGAAAGCATTCCAAAGTAACTCTAGCAAGTCCACTACGATGCGAGGTAGTGGTAGTACTGTTCCGAAAGCGATAACATCAAATCTGCTCACTTCAAAGAAAATTCCATATAGTGGTAGCAAAATGATCAGTGAGAGATTCACTGAAAGAAATTCAACCAGTATTGAAACTTCAAGAAATAAATTTTCAACTGTTAACAATGCGTCCATTCCACAATCCGAAAATTTATTTGCAAAAGTAAGGGCATTATTTGAAAAGGTAAATTCATTTCATTTAAGAAATTGACAATATATTGGGATATTTTTCCCTCCATATTTTACTGAAACGAAATGAGAAAATGAGTGGTACTAAGAAGAGCTTAGAGTAAGTTAAAGGAAGATATTGTTAAGCTAATAAAGTTCGTAAAATAAAAACTTTAAAATTGTTTTAAATTGAAATGGTAAAGTAAATGCGAATAAAGCGCTTAAAATATTTGTGCCTGTTATAGAATTCCATTATAATGACTCAGTTTTTCTCATCAAATCTAATCATTTCAACATTATATCATTTATAAGGTACATATTTTACATTATCAACTGTAGTAGTTATTTTCTTAAGCATTTCACTAACAATTCTCTCTCTCTCTTTCTTGAAATTTATATTATGAGAAGTTCATAACATAAGTATAATTTTTTACAGAATGCCGAACCTCTTCCAGTGATCTCAGGATCACATAATGCTGAGAAGAAATATATCTCTACTGTGGAAGAAAATATCAAAGTGGAGAAATTTTCCAAAATTACTCAACAATATGAAAAAGCTGAAAAAAAATCTCCAATTACGACAAAAGAGAATTCGGAAGTATGTTCATCCATGATGGAAAAAGTATCGAGTACAAAAATGTATCCATGTATACCGGAAACAGAATCTTCTGTAGGAGTTATGAAAGGTTCAAAAATGATTTTTATTCATTTATTTAATTTTGTCATCTCTGATTATGATCGATCAGTGTGATATTTTCTTCCAGAATTACATGACAGTGGTTATTTTTTGATGGCAAACAAGATTTTTTATAATTTTCTAAAAGATTGATTATCTAAAGGACTCGATTTCTCACGTTTCGATCATATAACAGACGATAAGGTGATTGGAAGACCACTTGAAGCAGATGAAACGGAACAAGCGGCACTTCAAATAGCCAAAGAGGTAACATCAAGCAATGAATTGCATAAGCAAGGACAGCCATCTGAAGTGGAGGTAATATTTAAAACACTTCGAATTATTTTTTTAAGTCTTTATCGATTATTTCGCATCTTCATAAATTTATTAATTAATTTATTAATAATACTTTATTAATAGCAGTATGATTTTTATTTATTTCCCTGACATTTATCATCATCTATTTATCAATATGATCTTTTATGGTCATTTATATTCTATAGATTTAATACTGTTCTATGCTTAATGCAATTTTAAATATCTATTTGAACTTTAAAACTGTAATTTGGAAATGTGTTGTATTTTACTTTTTATAGAAATTGAATGATTTTAAATGCAATTTATATTTGCAATTTTCTGTCGAAATCAACAATATTTTCTGAGACATACTTAGTATCGTTCAAGTATTTCAGTTAATGGAGTGCAAAAGTTTGTTGGGTGAGAAATTTACTGATTATGATATTTTCAAAGTAATATTGAAAAGATCGGCAAATAATCCGGAAGGTTCAGTTGGTGTGATTCTGAGTTCAGCAGCTTCTGGTGATCAATATATTAGCGTGAGTATTTGAGTTAAATTGATTGACATGATTAAATAATCAAGTGATTGTGTGGTGTGCAATTGAGCAATGATTTTATAAATATTTTAGGTGCAAAGGGTGATATCGGGTAGTATTGCGGATCGAAGCGATCTCATCGAAAAAGGCGATCGTGTTTTTTTCGTGCAAGGTCACTCGACGAAACAGGTCAGATAATTTCTCTTTGTTGTTTATCTTTCATATTATCACAGATTTTCCTAAATAAAGCTAAAGCTGACTTTTAATATTAACTTGGTAAAGCATTTTTAGTTGATTTTTTTCACATATTCCAGTTATCATTTTACTGTTTATTGCAGATGTCGGCTACAGATGCACGAACCTTAATCAAACAGAGAACTGAACATGTTGTTTTCATACTTGGACGATTAAAGATAAAATCAAATGACATGCCAACTGAGCCTACTAAATTTGTCTCCACCGGTAAAATCATTTTACATTATGATCCATAAATTTTCATTTAGTTTTCTTAAGAAACAAACAATATTTTTGCGAATGAGTAATAATAAAAGAATTAAAAATGTGCTATAAAATGATTTGCCAATTTTTTAAAACTTTTAAGCTATTGCTGATCCTGATTTGTTCAATTACTCAACGGATTCCGAAGAAGTGATACTGACAAAAGGCAATCTTGGTGTCGGTTTAGCGCTTGATGGTGGCCGTGGGTCAGTGTTTGGTGACCGACCAATTATTATTAAAAGGGTTTTTGAAGGTGATTTATTAATCATTGTAGAAATAGCAATATGCTTGAGAATGTATGATTTGGTTAGAAAACGAACTGCGACGAAATTTATAAATATCAATTCTGCTTAGGAATAAGTTTTTTAATTTTTGATAGTATCGTTCACTAAAACTGTATATTTGACGTTAACGTTGTTTATGATGATCTAATTTATTTTTAACTAGTTTCTAGGTGGTTCTGCAGCACGTAGCGGTCGTATAAAAGCTGGTGATCAGGTGATCACAATTGATGGAATCGATATAAAGGGTATGAGTTATTTAGAAGCAACAAAAACGCTTCGATCACGTCCAGAAGGACCGTTAAAGCTGGTTATACTTCGTCGTTTGTAATACAGTGGTGTACAAGTACTTTTGCTGGTTCATTCTGCTCAAATTTGGTTGATGCAATAAAATTCCATTGAAGGAAAAACCTAAACAATACTTTCTTGAGTGCCAATTGATGTTGCATTAAGTTGGCTCATATCAATAGTTTTGAATATGTAGATTGAATGAATAGATACTGTTAATTCGACTAGGAATGCAAATTCTTGAACTTTCGAGTTTATCTTTTTTATTGCAATAATAAGATGCAAAGGTCTTCTTCATTTGTTAAAGTTGTAAGTGCAGGATTCATATATTCCAAACCAATTTTTATTTCAGCGATAGGTGAACACATGTAAAAATAAATGTTATTCAGCAGAGTTAACATTGCAGCTTATTTTGTTTTTGAAGACAGATGAAACCTTCAACATTACATGGTGGTCATTATTAGAAATGGATGCTCCAATGGAAGCTAGACAATTATATAACCTAACTCTTGATCCTTGATGATAGAAATGAAGTGAGTCTCATTCAACCCAAAGCTTATTTATCTATAATGGTGTGCAACGGTCCTTTTATGAGAATAACTTGACTCAAATTCCTTGAACCTCTCTGTGATTTTTTCTGTCGAGAAAATAGTTCACAAGTGAAAATATTTTTATTCACCGGTACGGGTCTCACACCCAAATGATTTTTCGAATTTTTCACAGCAAATCTGACACCAAGAAAAAGAGACAAAAGAAATAAAACCCTCATAGTGGTCAGTAAAGTCAATGTATAAATATGTAAATGTTAGTTAGGCTCATTCAGTGATGGTGACATCTTTTTGACTGAGGATTTTATCCTAACAATTTATGAAGTATCTAAGTTCAAATGGCAATAGAAAGTTTCATAAATGACAGTCATTATTTCTAGCAACCTGAATTAAAAAAGAAAGAATGTGTATGAAGATGCCGGCTATATAAATTTGATAAATCCAAAAGATTTGAAAAGTAATTCGTTACTGTGCAGATGTCGCGAACAGGATAGGAACAGTGTAACATGTCTGAAGTTCCCTGAATAATTTGCAATGTTTGATTTCCCTATCATTATTCGCTGCTCTATATTGAATCTTTTATCAAAAATACACTCTCTAAAACTCGAAATCTGAACGAAAATTACTTTTACTCAGCTTCACAAAGACGGTAAAAAATTTCACCTTGTGAAAATATTTACAGAGGTTAAACAACAGTATTCAAGAAAAATACTATGGGGTTGAGGTGATGACAAAAGTTCCATGGTTTTGAAGAGATCCATGAGAATATTCATGCGAATGATTGTCAAAAAGCCGAAGCCCACCGATCAATGCAAATCCTATCAACATAAAAATAAGTTTTAAAAGATTCGGATGCTCGTTATCTCGTTCGTGTAACAAAACCTGCAAAACTCCTTTTTCAGAATCAATTACGCTTTCGGTGCAGTGATCTCGGTATTGCCGAGATTATAACTATCTTTAATAAGTCGAATAAAAACATGAATGTTTACCTCAAAAAATGTGACGTAAATGAATGTGCCAACAGCAACTCCTTGAAAAATAAGTATAGTCAAAGCCTTCACTTCTGTGTCCATTTGGGAGTTTTGAACAAATGTACCAATAAAACCACCAACAGGTGACATGATCGAAAAAAGGCCCATACTCAGGCATACCCAACCTAAAGCATGTGCGTGAGTGCGGCCCAATTGCAGACCAACCGAAAATGCCACAATGATTTTGTGTACCATCAACGATATAAATAATGTCGCAATTCGAGCATTATCAGTCTGCAATAGTTTGGAGATATAACGCCATATACAAAATAACAATTTGTAAAAAAATTATGATAAACATTTCCATAATGCTAGGAAAGCAAAAGAAATAATTTCAAAGTAAAGACGGAAAAAATGAAAAAAATTCCATTTTACCATCCGATTTCAGCTGATCTAGCCCAGCCTTTCTGTCCTGTCCCTTTTTTCTTTTACTAGGCTATTAACTTCGTACTTTCTGACATTTTCATTAATCAAAATGATAGAACTACTAAACCTGAACACCGAAAGCGAGACCTTCAATAATTGAATGAAATGATATTGCCAGGACGAATGTGATACTACGTACACCATGGCTGTGAGCATGAGGACGACTTTTCATCAAAATTGGTGGATCTTCTTTAACATTATCACAGTTTCGTTCACACGCTTCTGGTTCTGCCAATGTTAAAGCTCTAGAGCAAAAACAAGAATTTCATAATTAAATATGGCTTATTTCCGAACTAACAAGTCATCTTTGCAGCTAATTTTTTTTTCATTTTTCTTCTAATACTATCCATAAAGAAATTTAAAAGATAACGAACAATTATTTCTTTAGTGACAAAATTTCATTCTTTAAATCTTCTCTGATGTGTAAAATGTCTCAACCTATACCAAAAACAACAAAAAATTATGAAAATACAAAAAACCTAAAAGAGATAGGCATTTGATCTCAAACATATAATAGAGATAGAAATAAAGTATTTGTCTATTGTTAAAATATTAACAACTACTGCCCTGTAAACAATAAAAAACTTCATGCAACTCTAGAAAAGAACATAAAAATAAAAGCAAATTAGTCGAAGAGTTATAAAATAGTGAACAAATGTTAAAATAGCAAAATATGGAAGATAAGCTGCAAATGAGTACTTTCGTTTGCCTGGTGATTCCTGACCACAAGATTTCCGCAAAACAGTACCATATTCACCGCACGTATATTTTTGAAGTAAAGGCGTTGAGTCTTTTCCACTGAATTTATATATAAAAAAATTAAGATGAAAAGCTGAAAATTCGTGCTTTTGTCCAAAAAATGTTGGAAGATCCATTTACAAAAAAAAAATCATGCTTGTTTTTTAACATATCATGCAAAAATTCGACTCATCGAAGAGATGCACAGAGAGACAAAACAGGTCCTTAATTAATGAGTTCGTTGCATGCAAATCTTAAAAACATACCAGAAATAAAACTCATAAAAAATGTTTAAAAAAATTATTAAAGCTTCACACTTACTCTACAGGATGTCCATAATCCGGTCCTTTGTTAACACGCTGACCACCTGCTGGTGCTCGATTCGATGAATTTGTTGCACATAGCAATCCTTTGCTAGATGAATCTTCGTCTGTAACGTAAACAAACTTATTTCTACTTTAGAATACAAAACTGACTCACAATTATCGGGAAGAATCTTCAGATTGCAAGAACTTCTGAAGCAATTAATATTTGATCGATGCTTAAAACCTACCTTTCGGACCACATGATAAGCAAGTTTTCGAAGGAGCACCGACGTTAACACTTTCATGGCAACAGTGATCGGCATCATGACTTCTGAAGCTTCGATATTTTCAAACGAAATAACGGAAAAATTACAAATGGACCAGCTCCTTGTCACAATCCATTAGCCATATCGATAATCATCCAATGATATTCCAAAGTACCGAAAAGCCTTTTTATATCCACAACAGATGGAAATCGCAAGTGAAATCATATCAAAAAAGATGCAATGGAACAAATAATCTGCAAATTTCCCAACCATCCGTTACGAGCCTTGCTTCTATATTTGCTACCCGTCTGCGATCTACAAACTATTCTACTATTTGGTAAATCACTCAGCACCTCATATTCCACCAAAATTCATTTCCTCTCATCTACCACGTTCTCATCCTTGGAAGAATGAATCGCCCCTTATAAATAATGTACAGCGTTGTCCGAAGTCCGCCAAAAATGCACTTTTGCTCATCACTTTCCTATACAATGCCAATCCCATCTTCATTTACACTTAAAAATTCTCATAAATTAAAACAATTCTTTCCAAGTAATGCACAAGTCATTCGCGCAGCACAGAACCGCATGCATTATGCTTTATTTCCAGAAACTGACTTTTCTCGACTTTTAAGCTCTACATCAGTGGTGAAAAACTTTAACTTGGACTTCAAGTATGTTTCTTATTTCAATAAAATACTCGAATTTATTTCACATCTAATTAGGATTTAAAAATACTTCTTCATACAAATAATTCTATTTAAAAATACTGTACATGCAAATACCTCTTTGAATTACGTAGTATACTGCATTCATTATCTGTAAATGTAGTTTTCCGGAGAATAGCAAACATATTTCATATACTTTGATTCTTGTAGTCAATTACACTTGTTCTCGCAATAAAAAGAAAGTCTTGTTCTGTGAAATAGATGATACCCGCAGAATCATCGGTAAAAGCAAACATTCAAAATCATTACTTCAGTTTTAGCGTCTTTACCGTGCGATGTCTCATCTAACCAGTAAAACAGTTTCATACTGCCTATTATTCAAACCGTATGGGAATCCTTCCTATTACTAATACTAACTCACCGTTCATAGAATCCTTCAGCAATCTGATCACCTGCCGGACCATGCAAATGGCTAGCACCAGGTATAAGAAATAAAATGACTTCTTCAACAAAAAATAGAAGGAAAAATCCTACGCACGACAGTAATTCAGCTAGAGGATACGATACGGAAAATCCATATTCTTGTTTCATCTAAACAAATGACGATGATTAGTTAACACTTAATTTCGAGCTAATGTTCACATCACATTTGAAGTTGTTGTCAAATAGTGCTAATTTATAGAAGAAAATGTATGAATTTAAAAATGAGCGTCCAGAAAGAGAGTTTGCTGGCGAACCCAAAATTTTCAGGAAAAATTGCGCTCTGAGAAGTGAAATAATTTCGAACTTACAGTTACTAAATCGCGCAACCCTGCTTTTAAATAACTGGAAATAATCCGATTTTATTTTTCATTAATGAGCAATGCAATCTGAGACGAAATAACCTCATGAAGATGTTCAGTAAGTTCCGGGAAAAGATGCAAAAAACATGTGGCGAAGAAAACACCACCAGAAAAACAAGTAAGTAAACAAAGCACCAAGGAAACGTTTCGCTGTTTCGTAGATGTAGATGCTGAGGCTGCATGCTTGCGGAGAATTTTAAGCACCTGAAATCTTCTGAAATTTCCTAAAGCTGAGAATTTGGAATTTTCGTTCAAAACTTTGTCTGAGTAACAGTAACAAAGTGCCTAATCTTATAGCTTTACGAATCCATTTTCCTCAGGATAAACTCTTTGATTCAAAAATTTTTGGGATCTCAAAGCCACATTTTTCATCAAACAATTGTCAAAAATCACTACTTACTCCTTTCTGTAAGCAACTTCCTACAATATTTACTTATGAAGAATAAAGTAATAGGGTGACATTTGACATCAGTTTTATGCCGTGCAATCATACAAATCTAAGTAAATTATATAAACAAAGTAACATACTTTTACTGGTACCATCCCCGCACCAAAAGTAACAGCAAACATCACAATCAGAAGAATAAATTTCAGCCAAGTTGAATTCATCGTTTTTTCCACCTATCCTTTGAATACAGTCATCAAATCAGTAAACTGCAAAATTTCTCTCTCGTTGCGATAAATTCTCCATTGTTTTGTTTTTAATTTAAAAACCAGATTGGGCTTGATTTAAATTACAATATAATTCATGGTATGGTATTGTAAGAATAAAGTGCGAACGAGCCGGTAAGCGAACAGACATGAAGTTCGATAAAATAATTAGCACGATAAATTAAAGAAATAGAGTGATATACTTAAAGAGAAATGCATTGATCACGATATAACAGCAACATTTGCAGTGGCAATAATAGTGATATAGCAAAACGTTTTATAGCATAAGACAGAAGAGCAATAGTAACTGACTTTTTTACTAGAAAAATGAGAGCGAAATTTCGCACAAGAAAAAATAAGAATTTCTTCTAAAATCCCAATTTGAATCTCAGAGTAATTAATATCTTCCATTTAATAGGGATAATTATTAGTAACATTTAGTGTAGTAGAATAATAAATAAAAAATGAAAAAAACCACTTCACTAACTCTAAGTCCTTGACTAAGAACCAAAAAGGCTACTTCCAAATATTCTAAAATAACGATACTGATTACTTCCAATCTCTAAACCAGCACTAGGATTAAAGCAATAGAGTATTAAATTGCGACTTTCCTATTTACGATCAAGACCTTCCAATTATATACAATAACAACGAGGCGTCGTTTCAAATTCACCGATAATTCGAAGCTATTTCTGCTTAATCATTTTTATTCTACTGCATCCTCACCCATTATACTCTTTCTTGTTTTAAGTTTTTCAATGATTTAATATTTCATTTAATAAAAGCAATGTCATAAGATACTTCGAATGGCTGTTAGCTTCCCTTTAGTCATATTGCTGTTACAGGACAACATTATAAAAATATTTATTTCGATGAATAAAAATCGAAGAACAAAAATCTTATCTATATAGGCGAAATGTAGCAAAAGTTCGCCGATTAAAACGAAATCTATGAACTGTTAAAAAATTATTCATATGAATAGTGACTTCTATTCAGTAATAGTGATAAAAGAATGAATAGGAATATGTTTTGGCATATGTCTTCGTGGCTCTAGGTAAGCAAGTTCGATTAATGTGAATGCTCCAGCAACGTCACCACCAGCCTTCTGAATCAGTGATATAGCTGCTTTTAAGCTACCACCTGTTGCTAAAAGATCGTCCATTAATAATACTTTTGAACCCTGCTTGATTGCATCTTCCTGCATCTCGATAATATCCTATAAATCAAAATATTGCGATCTCGCACGAACTAAAGAAACGAATTAAAGCTTAATTGCAGCCTTCTTCAGGGCACATAGCACAACCTCCGGAAAAATGCAGGATCAAATAATTGAATTTTCTCCATTTTACCATGATTCTGATTGAAATTTAATTATATAAATTTCAAACTACTACTATGAACCTTACTAAGTTTATTTATTACGATCAAATATAATCATATTTGAAATAGTTATATACGAAACTTAAACTAACTTCGCCATATTCTTTCTGATAGATTTCTTTGTATGTTTTTCCTGGTAGCTTGTCTTTTTTTCTAATCGGAACAAAAGGCACTTCCAAAATCATAGCGATTTGAGGACCAAACAAGAAACCTGCATTTCGCATTCAAGAAATTTAAAACTTTGTTTAAAAAAACATTGGGTGACAAAGGCTTGAACCTCGCGTGGCCGTTTATTTGTTCGCACCTCGATTAATATTTTGTAAACAACTCTTTGAAAAAATGTAGTTTTACCTGAATGAATTAACATCAATGGATAGCCAAACTGATGAGATTGAAATGTTTTTCGGAATTGAAAATGAACACACACATTTTCATTGTTCTATTCGTTTTAATCTTAAAACTTTTTCCACCATCCGAAACAAATATCAGATACACTCACCACGAGCTTCTAAGGCAACAACTGCATCAACCTGCATTTCAACACGGACATACTCAGCTATTGCTGCACATAAGTTTTTGAGCAACAACGGATAGCGCATTAATACCATCACATCTCTGCAAACAATCCCCTTTGCTCAATGAAACAGAAAAAAATCATCTGTAAAATCGCACATTTCTTGAAGCCTGTCACAACCTTTTATCTATATCAATTGTTATAATTATATGCCTCTATGTGATTTATTTTTCACAATTTACTAGGCCCTGTGCAGTTTAGTCTTTCAATGCCTAATCTTCCATAAGATGTTCTATTCGTTTTGATCTTAAAACTCTTTCCATCCTCTGAAACATATATCAGAAGCACTGGAATTGGAAACGGATGATCATCTTAAATTACACTACCATTATGAAACAACTGCCATACGGTAAAACTTTTCCGCAATGAATTTTTACAAAGTAGAACATCTCACATAAATTTGATCCCTAGCTGTGGAAAATCCGGAAAAACTCGTAGCTTCGATCGAACTTCCTCCTTTAGACATTCCAGCTTACATTTACTTTCTGACGATAGTGTTCCCGCTTGATTACTCATAAGGCACAAATGTTCTTCTCGAAAACCTAAAAATTCATGAATTCTCATTGTTATAAAGGTGAGACGTAGAGAAAGCAGCAGTTCATTGATGAAAGAAAAATATGAGATCAAATGCTATTGAGCTAATGTATCTCTTAATAAGTAGTTGCTCCACCGAACTTCACACTGTTGGATTTCTGAATTATATCCCTCACCTCTTCTACCCCTGTTCAACTCTCTTCGATCTTGCGTACCACGGCAATTAATTGCAAGCCTGTTGCATAACAAAGATGATATTTCACGGCTGATTTGATTTCTTACTTGCCGAAGTGACATACATAATACAATGGGTCATGGCGGTATGGGATGGAGGTTAAGGGTGTATCGATTTGGTTACATTTGTACATTTTTGGTTAAGTATATGTGCATGTTTGGCTTAATATGCAGAGAACGACCTTTATTAGCTCAGTAATTAACGCGTGTAGATCTGTCAATCCTATCTATGCTACATTGTTTATTGCAGATAAAGGATGTTGGTGCTGTTCGAGACGGCTGCAGGATATGCTTTGTTCAAGGTTACAGTTTAAATTGAATAGAGTAGGATTATCTTGTATGTATGACATTTTGAGTTAGTGAAATGGAATTGAGATTTCGAAATTGCTGTTTGGAATAGCAACTTTGAATAGATATAGATGAAAAGTAAAACATTTCAGGTGTTAGATGAAAAAAAATTGGAAAATGTGGATAATATTTGGGATGAGTGTTCAACACCAGAAAAAGCGCAGAGAATGTGAGTTTCAAAATTAATGTTAATGGAACGGATATGGTTAGATGTGGATGAAAATGAGGAGTTAGGTTCATTTATGATTTGGCATACTGAGCACAACTGTTCTGTTCATTTTTCATCTCTTTTTCGTTCATTCCCATAACTGCAGGAATAACAGAGTTGTAAATTTTAATGTTGTAAATTTTAAATACTGGTGTAATGGTGTAATGGTGGAATAATCATTAGTGGCTTTTAGTAGATCCATAAAGTTTAATAAACTTTTTATTAATTTTAGGTTCCAGTTGGTTTCTTTCAAAAAGTTCAAAGATACAACGGAAGCAGTAGAAAATGTTACTCGTTTGGCGGAAGGAAAGTTGACTAAAGCGCTGAAAAAAGCTCTGAAGGGGAAATTACAAAAGGGTGAACAACTTGCTGTTGGTGAAGTGAAATTGGGAAATATGATCAAAGTGAGCACTATTTAATCAATTCTACCCAATATTTTCAACAAAAATAAGATCCAGCTAATTACTCTCGGAGCAGTTTTTTTACATTTTAGACTAGGATGTACGTAACTTATGCACAGTTAATAGTTACTTTAACCTTGTCATTCTAATAATACTCTCTTGCCCTGCTGTGGCTATGATTGAAGGCGTTTTGATGACCCAATACTTTGAAGATAAGCAATCCACACCATATAGTGGTCATCTGTAAAGCACAATGTCAGTGAGATTGAGCTTTGCAGATGTTTTGAGGAAAAAATGTGTAAGTAATCTTTTAGATACGCAATAGAGACACTTATTTATAGGAAAAATTCGACGTATCATGTGTTTATAATACAGCGACTCAGGAACTTATGCGTAGTATTCGAGCAAACTTGGACAGTTTGCTAAATGAGCACAAACAAGAGCTACGCTCTATGAATCTCGCCGTGGCTCATTCGTTGGGTCGATATAAAGTGAAGATTTTTTCATATATGCTATAATGCTTTCATTGATAGACTTGGGGAGATATATGAACTCCTCTCAGTTTGTAAGTGTAGGATTGGATGTTTTATGCCATCAAGGATTCTAAAAAGAAGTGCTTTATATTGTGATCTAGGGAAGCTGACTGTTCGAATATTTTTTTGGCTTTTCTGCTCGAAATTGAAGATTTTTAGGTTAAATTTAATCCTGAAAAAATTGACACGATGATTGTGCAAGCAGTATCTTTACTCGACGATCTCGACAAAGAAATTAACAATTATGTGATGAGGTTTGATATATCATTTGAGAAAGTATTACAGCATTAATTTTGCTTAACTCTACCTAATCTCAATGTAACTATTTTAGATGTCGAGAGTGGTACGGCTGGCATTTTCCAGAACTGAGTAAACTAATTCAAGATCACCATGCTTATACACAGGTGCGTAAATAGAAAAAAAAAAGTATAAATATTTTTTAATTCGAGATATAGTGGGATATGTGTAATTTTATTTTGGTTCAGACTGTAAAAGTTATGGGAATGAGGTCAAATGCTGCAAATTGTGACTTGTCAAGTATTTTGCCATCAGAGCTGGAAGCGCGTGTTAAACAGGAAGCAGAAATTAGTATGGGAACTGACATATCCGATTCAGATGTATTGCATATAAGTGGATTATGTGAGCAGGTAGGTTTCTGATTCATTCCGAACTGATGAAATTGGTCATTATGAAGCAAATAAGTAATCGCCCAAACATCTTTTTGAATTATCTATGAAGAGGAGTTGACGTTTGTAATTATTACTTTTTTAGATTATTGAATTGACAAAATACCGTTCTGAGCTGGCGGATTACTTGAAGAATCGAATGATGGTGCTTGCACCTAATCTTACTATTTTACTTGGTGAATTGGTTGGTGCTAGATTAATTTCCCATGCTGGCTCACTGGTGAACCTTGCGAAATATCCAGCATCTACGGTACAGATATTGGGTGCAGAAAAGGCACTTTTTCGAGCCCTGAAAACGAAACGAGATACTCCTAAATACGGCCTCATTTACCATGCTCAACTTATTGGTCAAGCTAGTACAAAAATCAAGGGAAAGGTAACAGTGGTTATATAATTTATAAATGAAATGTTTTACTGCGCCACTGACTATTTCTTCATTCCATATTAATTATTAGGTAGCTCGTAAATTAGCGGCAAAGGTTTCGCTAGCGACTCGAATAGACGCGCTTGCGGATGAATCATTGGGAACTGAGCCTGGAGAAAAAAGTCGAGCTTATATCGAAACATTCATTCGGATAGAGCACGAACGAGGACCAAAGAGAATAACAGGAAGACCTGCTCAACATGACACTTATACATATAAGAGGTGACTTCATTATCTTTTGTTATTATAAGAGATGCTTTTACTCCTCCCCAGAAGGATAATAAAGTGGTGTTTTTATGACGTTTATATGAATAATGCTTTTATGCAATATGATATGAATAGAAATTTTTGAGAGATTTTCTTAGAGAAATCTCCTAATCCTATGTTCATAATTTTTTGGAATTCTTGTTCATTCAGTTTTGCAGCGGTTATCAGTTCATATCGTGAATTCAAATTTCATTACTTTTCAGTACTACAGCACGATACGATCCCAGTGCAGATTCAACAGTAACAAGTTCTAAGAAACGAAAATTTTCTGAAAGCAGTGACATTGGTAGTGGTAGAAGTCCTGTTAGATTGAGTGGGGCTGGAAGTAGGCAAATTAGTAAAGAAGGCCCACCGCAAAAAAAACAGAAGAAAAAAAAGGTATGATATGTTGCAATATTTAATTTTCCCAAAACAATGTGTTCGTTTCAAATCAAATCCAAACTTGAACTTGGCTCGATAATTTCTAGCAAGGGTGATTTATTGTTTCTCAGCTGTTTGCTTGCGGTACACTAGCATTTTTAGTTCGTTTATGAAGTGATACGGTTTAATCTAAAATTAAATTTGGAGTTTTGGCTTTATTTCTGTCCAAATAATTGTTGATTTTTTTTGGTAATCAATTAACATGCCAAATATTCAAGTCGAGGATTAATCTTCTAAATCAGATTCTTGATGCAAATGAACAAATCATCGGTTTAGTGTCACCGATAAAATACGAGGACATAAGCTTAAGAAATGCTGTGAAGTCGAAACTGCCAGTGGCATCATCATTATTAAAATATATGCTCATATTTTTTTGCAGGTCAAGGAAGAAGTTGACGAATAAAAGTCATTAGAGCATCAGCCTACCACTTATCGAGAACAATCACACCTTGATTACTGTGTGTGGAACAAATTTCTGTAGTTAATAAGTTTTATAGCCTCAGAAAATATAGCCCTTTTATTATGCATTGGTTAGGGAAGGTTTATAGTAATGAAATTCGTTAAGTTGGGCTGGCAGTTTGAATTTTTCTGACTTAATTGTCGTTTATTGAGGCTACATCTTGCTGTTTGTTGTCCGTTGTTGTTTGTTGTAAGTTGAAAGTTGGATAAAATTGGGTTTTTTTGTCATATACTTTTCGCGTTTTGCATTCACACGAATAATTCACCTTCACATAGTGCTCAGTTTTTCGGATCCATTTGCTATTTAATTTGTCATATTCGAAAGCATATTATCGTTTTGCAACCTAGAAAATGAACTAAAATCAATAGAAGATATGAAGTTTTACTTCTGTAGCTTTTTGTTTGGGAAACATGTTTCGTATTTACCTCGAAAACAGATTAAAAATTAAGAAGTCGCTCTTACTGTAAAGCTTGTAAGAATTGACAAGTACGTACACGTTACCAGGATGTTTGCCGAAGATCTCGTACGTAGATTTCACAAAACAATCTTGGATGTTGAAGCTCCTTATGATTGGTGTTAATATTCAGATTTTGTCATGGAACATTTGTTCCAGTCTACTATTTCTCCTTTAATACTTTAAGATATGTAAGGACAATTTAAAGAAATATCAATTTCAGATGAAAGGGAATGATTTGTTATTTTTTATTTGCCGCTGGTTTCTTTATTTTGTCATTCACCGAAAAAACTGAATATGCACTTTGTTTCGGTACACTCAGACTTGATTTACCGGTTCGCTACTTACACATACAGTTACGGTACAGTGAAACGAATGTTACGCAGTATATAGCCCCTTTGAGAGTATCCGTTCAAGGGTCTTGTCGTCATCGGTTAATTTTTCACTGAAACAAGTTCCTTAAAATTGTTACTCATAATATTGTTTTTATTATAAACAGCATTATATTTATTATTTATGCTATGGAGAATTGCAGATTGCAATTAATTGACTATCATGATGGTTCATATGTGTTACGATTACGACTATGGTCTTCTTGTCCTCAGATGATTGTAAATATTCATACTCCGAATGATGTCCCATTGTGTGATTCCCCAATTGTGATCAAAAAAGGTTTGATAATCACTAATTTAAGTAAACTGCTATGCAAAGACAGAGGTATCTTACGTTTTATTTGGATCTTTTACGAAATGATGTTGAATATGCAACCTCTAAACATACTGCAGTTCTCAAATAGCTTTGACATTATTTAGCTGATGGAAGTTTGCTTTATTCGGAATATTGCGATTGTCCAAAAAAGATCATTTCGCAATGGATGGAAGAAGCTGGCTGTAAATCGCAGCATTCACAGCTTGACAATGATTTGAATCAGTGGTCTACAATTGATTTTGGAGAAGTATTAACGATAGTAAAAAAGAAATGGGCAAGTCCACAGCATCGCTACAGCAGTGCATTATGCCATTATCAAATTATTGAAAACAATGTAAACGTCTCTAAGTAATTGAAATTCTACATGCTTTTCACGGAATGTTGCGGGCTTTCATATATATATTATTTAATTCTCTACATGACTGAAGTTATCCCTCTTAATTTTGGCTAGATCCTTCATTTTGTTTCATCGGGACAACCCTCCCTATATTAAAAGCTTTATTCAGATGATTGTTATTCATTTATAATTTCTTGGCTACTAGCCCCAATAAAAAAGATCATTCATTGCTTGTTATTATTTGGTATTTTTTTAGAGGAAAGCAGAAAATTTTGATTTATTTATATTTTAAAATTAGTTATTCATCTTCAGCTATATAGGCGATGTTATGGAGAATATACGGGTTTTCGGATATTTGTTGATGCGGCATTCACATCATTGATGAGAAAAATGTATTTGCCAAATACCGAATTTATATTCAACCTTGGCGATTGGCCACTGGTAAAGGCAGGAAGTGACCTGGTTCCAATGATTAGTTGGTGTGGTTCTAGAGGTCAATACTGATGTATTTAGTTAAAATAAATCAAATAATAGAGAATTTGAGAAAATTAATGTGGAAAAGATCTGAGGAACAGGAATATGTCGATCAATATGAGTTGAAGATCATACCATCCCATCCTTACCTCTACGCTTAATTGAATTTGCAAAAAACTATTGTAATTCTTTGAAAATCAATGGACGAAATATAATTTAAGATACAGTGGATATTGTAATGCCAACGTATGAGTTGATGAAGTCAGTAATTGATTCGATGGAGTCGGTTACACTCGATATGCATTCCGTAAAGGGTGAAAAATATTACAGATGGCAACAGAAAGAAGATAAAGCTGTGTTTCGAGGTCGAGATTCCAATACAGTATGCTATTTTCTATTTTCATATGTAATATCCAGTAACTGCTCTGAAATTTATAACATCGATGTTGAAAAAATAATGGAAAATTCAGATATTCTACCCACATAGTGCACGTCATTATTAATGAATGAAGCATTATCAACTTATTTTCGAGTAAATCAAAAAGTTTTTATTGCAGCTGCGACTTAAAATAGCGAACTTATCAAGATTACATCCTAACCTTTTGGATGCAGGAATCACGCGATACTTCTTTTTTGACCAATCCCAACATACGCCGACGGTTGAAACAATACCATTGTCGGATTTTTTTAAGGTTTATTCTATACTTTATTTATATATTCGCACACATAATGAATTATGTGAAAAAAGGGCGTGGAATTCCAGTACAAATTTATACTAAGCATTGATGGAACAGTCGCGGCATATCGTTTTCCTTTCCTGCTGGCTGGAGATAGCGTTGTTTTCAAGTCGTTCTCTGATTATTACGAACATTTTTACATCGATCTAAAGGAAGGACTACATTATTTCCACTTTAATGATTCCACTCTTATTGAACAAATCAAATGGGCAAGGACAGAAGATCATAACAAGGTTACTTATAATGCAATATTCCTTATCTGAAATGAACATACCGTTCAGTTATTAGGGAAAAGGCCTAACTTTTTATGCCTAAAAAATTCGTCTGAGGACGTGAAATAGATTACTCTATGTACTATACCATAATTGCATACACATAACAACTACTATTATTGGAAGACAACTGCTAACTTGTTTTGCATCGCATCGAACTTAACTACTTCAAATCTCTTCGTAGTGTACTCAAATTTAAATCTGCGGTATCGTGCCTTTCCACTCGACAAGGAACGTATCCCTTCTATACCTTTACAAATACGCATGTCATGTTTCAGACATTAAACGCAATGAATCAATTTGTGCTGCAGCATCTTCAACCTCTCGATATTTATTGCTATTATGCCGATTTTGTGCAGGTTCTTCCCTTATAAATTTTATATTGAATTTCTTAAGCTAATTTATTTCTTTCAGAGAATTTTCAGCACCATAAATATAAATTCGGGTGATACAACTTCTGTAGCGCACAGTAATAGGAACAAGAACGGTAATGATGAAAGCATAAGTGAAATAGATAATTGAAGAACCACAAACACCGAAATTCAACATTTTTTTTTCAGTGAACTGTTTTAAAAAATCGTCTCGGCATTAAAAAATCCATATTATTTCAAATTTACTTCCAAATAAAAGTTAGAGGTCTCCAAAACAATTTTTTATCAGCAATATTTACAGCAAATACTTTTCTTTAATAATTTTATTACAACATATATTGTTTCAGAAGTATACCAGAAAGTTGAAAAAAATTCCAGTGAAACCCGAGAATGAAATGGAACTTATTCCGAAAATACCCTCGGAAAAACGATTTGCTGATCAGTCATGCGAATGTTCAAATCAAACCAACTATGAAGAAGGCATGAATAATAAGCAAGAACTGTAAGAAGACAAAATACTTGCTATAAAAAATATCAGAAGACAGTTCATTTCTCGGTGAAAAATGAACGAAGTAGAAGTACCTGCAAATGAACATAATTTTATTCAATTTTCTTCACTGTTTTTAACACAGTGGACTATTTTACTCTGTTCAATTCATATCACTTTATAAATGTCAAACTAACTCTAAATTACAATCCCCAGCCTATATTTTGCTACTTTCATCTAAACAAAGTATTAACTGGAATTATGCACGATTTCCAGTTTTTTCGGCTTTTCAAACGTGCTTTTTCTTTAACACATTTATATTCTTATTTTGGATTTAAAAGATCCTACATTATTAAGGACTATGCAGTTTTCTCTGAATACTAATATTTTGAAATTTTATTATTTTGTGTCTTAATAGCAGCTTTTTAACTTTAATAACAGCGTAAATCACCAGCAAAGTCTTACCACTTAACGAAAAAGGCTTACAAATCAAGAAATGTAAGATTTATCGTTATATAGAGACTTCGACCGAAAAAGTTAGTTAATGATGTTACCTGTGCTATTCCCAAAGTAATTATAATAGCCGTTTGTCCCAAGGACCACAGTAAAACGCGCTCGTTGAGGTCCTCCGCACGCTTACGTCCAGTAGCTTCTCTTAATCGGTGATGTGTTTGATAATCATCAATTAACCTCAGCCGATCACCAATAGCTGATGCAGATGTTTCAAGTTGTGTCATGGCTACTATTCGTGAAGTTGCTTTATCGAGACCTAAATGTAAAGTATCATTTGAATGACACTGTTCAAGTTTTCTTTTTTTTTTCAAAAAAAAAAATACACACCCAGTTTTCTTAATATCATAGAGGGCAATTACAGAATCTTTTCTGTTACATAGAAGTTTCTGGCTATTGAAAATAGAATCCCATATTTTTATTTTTCCAATCTCTTCAAATCAAGATGATATGAAAACCACTATCTGCAAAAATATACTGCCCAAGCTTCTAAGCTAAGTGAATGGAAGCTATACTTGCTAAAAGCTGACCCTCGTTTCCCTTTTGCCAATCCATATAGACTATCTTGTGTGAAAAAGTTGAAAATTCATTTGAGAAGCATGCCTAAAAGGAACATGAGCTGAAAGAAAATCAATCAAAGTTCCTCACGCTTTTTCATTCGTTCCACGTAGAGATTTAAATGATTTTCAGTAACTTCAGATAGCAACGCATTTTCCATAAAAAAGACTTGATTTTACATGTTCAAAATAGTTCAATGAATCCTAAAACTTCATAAGATGAAACAAACCTTATATGTCCCTTCTGCTTCTGTTTTCCATGAGAAACTATCGTATTGTTTTTTGGCACCTTGATACAAGATTTTACCTTCTTTATCTTGAAGAGTCATATCTACATCATACTGGCCACCTGTTACTACCTGAAATATAGCAAGACACAAAAATACGCAGCATACAGACATAACAATAGCTGACTGTGAAATGCAAAAAATCACTCCCATGCATAGGTAGTCCCAGAAATCTAGTCCAGAACGTTAAAGAGGTCAGTAGTCCCAAAATGAATTAGAATTTCAGCAAAACAGAATACAAAAGCTGAAAGGTCAAATAGCAGATCAACATAATATAATATAAAATAATGAATATTTAAATCATGGAAAGGATTTCGCTAGTAATTAAGGAAAAGAACACGGCTCTTTCTTAATGACAATGGGACAAGCCATTTGCTCGTCTCGATAAATAGTAGGACAACGTAATCGACCTTATACAGACAACTATGATATAATAATACCTGATATTCAATAACGCAATCAATGCCAGCTTTGATGTCTTCAAAAAAGCACTGATTTGCATTGTCGGATAATTCAAATGTCAATTCGATAGCTCTAGCAAAAGCTATAATATACAGAACCACAATTTTTGACAGCATCATCTCAGTTAATTCCAAGCTACACACATTAAACCTTCTGGAAATCTGGAAAGATGCATTTGAGTTATATGAGTAAGGTATGCATTCATAACAATAATACTCATAAAATGTCAGCAATCGATGCAGCAATTTATATCAGTAGAAATTTGTATTATTTAACGCTCATATTTAGAGCATTAAACGTTTCATTTAATTTAATGTTGAAATCTCTGGAACCCAAACAATTAATTCCTGTACTTCACCAAACAATGTGATGTTCGAAAGAGACACCGTGCAAATCTTAGTCCCAACATGATTGCTTATGATTATCCTTAAAAAAAACTCTGGTTTGCATGAGAATGGTCCTACTTAGAATTGGGATCGCAATACATATAATTTATGAAGGCGTTTATATTGAAGTCTCTGGGATCATAAATCCTGATAGATGGATGCAAGTCCAGCATTGCGAAAGTTTCCAAATATTAAGAAAAGTTTGTGAATCAGAAAGCAACGAACAACCTAATAACAAACGAGCAATTCGCGATTTCTGGTATGGTATAGAGAATAAAATCAATTATGACGTTCAAATTGGCAAATTTCGGAATTCTGAAAATACGGAGTCATCTTAAGCCTAAAACGAGAAATAAAATGTATTCTTTCGGCAATGTATACAATACGTTACTATTAATTTTAGAAACTATCTCCGTTCACCAATCCACATGAAAGACCACTAGCAATTAATGTTTTATTCAACATATAAAAATTCAGAACAACCAAAAACACAAAATAGACTGCTGTTTAGCACGATCTTTAAAGAATAAAATGCAATTAAAATCTTTCTAGATGAATAAGCGAGTACCATTTTTAAGATATATGAAATTAAGGCCCATTGCTGAGAAAATTTCAAAATCCCCTTTTAAATTTTTAGAATAAAATTCCGTAAATTCAGAAGAAAGTAGAGAACATTTCTGACATGAGAATAAAAGTAATACGTACATATGACTGAGTAAATCAATGAGTTTTTAACTCCTGTTTCTGCTTCACTCGAGCTGTTCCACTACTGAGATCGAAGAATATAAAGGCTAGAATTTTATTTCAAATCAAGCAAAATTTCAGGGGAATGCATACGATTAATTGAACTGCTGACAGTGGTATCACATATCATATGTTCAAATTCAGTATTAATTCACAAAAAAATCCTGCCTCTTTAATTTTGAGAAAAATAATAAACAGCTTTCTCTGTTTAATAACTAGGAAGTACGCTATCACAAAAGTAAGAGACACATGATAATAAATCATGACTTTGATAAAATTACAGATTTCGGTTAAAAAATCGATGGAGATAAAGCTGATAAATTTTTGTGTTTGATTTAACAGAAGTACAACATGCGATCATTCAATAAATCACGTTTTTTTTTTTTTATCGAGAAGGAGCAGATAACTGCGATACGATAATGAAAAAAAAATTACCAGAATAAAGTGACAAATTTTCAAATAAACCTTATGTCACATATGCAAGAGATTTTCGTTTGTGATTTGCTTTGCTAAAAATTCAATTTTACGTTGCAAGAGGTTGTTTATTTAGACTAATCACGGTATCGGCATACGGTGGGGGTTGTGACACAGCAATATACTCATGAGGAATATCGTAATGAAATGCCATCTGAGTTGTGGAAAGTTGCTCCCCAATATGTCGCACAACCTAAAACATACTTATTTTGACGACTTTGAAGTCTTTTTACTGAAACCAAAAATAAATTCGATTACATGACCTTTAGCTAAATTATATTATCAAAAGTGAATTAATGAGAACACGGCAAGCATTAGTTTCAATTGCCATGAAATAATTCGAAAATTTTGAGTTCCAACCATCATTAAGTTGAAAAAAAATTTTTTTCCTTTCAAGTCAGGACTAAAAAGTACATGTATATAAGAACAAGGTGAATTCAATATAGGTGCTCCTGAAATAACATGATGATGAAACTAGTTCATTAGTTCCTTTAAAATGACGACTTTCTGCAACACTACTTACTCATACCAAAAGCTAAAGAAATAACCTTTTTGTCCCCCAGAAAACCATAGCATCGCCACACAGTCGCAACACACCATAATTGAAACAGTGTTCCAATCAGATGGGAAAAGAACTGACTGCAAACAAATAATATATAAGAAATTTTCTTTGGAGACAACAAAAAGAAAAATCGAAGGCAGGGGGAGGAGGAAGAGAAAAAGCGGGTAAATGAGTTACATATATATATATATATATATATAGGGAGAGAGAAAAAAGATTACAGAGATAAAAAAAGGACTAACTTGTTATCGTACATTAGATGTGCCAGCGACGATGGATGCATGAAACCGAATAAATCATTTCCGATCTAAAATATTTAGAACTGTTTAGGATTAGTTTAGAAAAGGTCATATAAAGGATTGAAAATATAAAGAATGATTAATAAATTTCAGAACAAATAAGACCACTAAATATCTACCTGAGCAAAGCCAAGAAGCACTGCGATCAGTGCGAATACAATAAATGGGAGCAAAAACGAGCGGCGTTCTGTCCGAATTCCATGAACCAATAAAAGAACAAAAAGCAACTGTAATGTGACCGCAAATAGAAGTGATGCTGAAATGTGACTTAATCTGAATGGGACATAACTGTTTCAGCATATTTACCTAATGGAACTGCCAACATTTGAGTTCTATCGAGCAAATATTGCAAGAATTAGTGTTGAAATAATGAACAATGTTGGAACTATATCAGCCTTTTTTAACGTATTACATCTGGTTATAATCACTGTGCCCATTAATTTCAGCGTTTAGCAAGTGTGATCAAAAATGAAAGCAGTCCTGGATAAAATTGCAAAATCAAAGAAAGATTCTTTGTACAGTTCTCATAATAATTATGACCTGTACGTAATAAAAATATTGAATAAGTTGAAAACAATGCTTACAAATATATCGTTCACCCAACTGATTGATCCAGTGATCTGGTGTTAGTCGTCCGTTAATGGCCTAGATAAATGATTGTTTACAAATCATTAGAACGTATGCTACTCATTTATAATGTCTTATATTAATTTCCAGAAACTTTCAGACTAAAGCCCATTGGTTACCAATCTTAAACCACTAGTGCACTCTGCATAAAGTCATACGATAATGATATAATGCAAATGACCTGTACGTAATAAAAAGTGAAGAAAAGCGCAAAAACGAATGTGATCAGCATTTGAGCATAGGCAATGAAGAGTGATGCTCGGACAACATGAAATGTACGACAGCAGCATTTGTATTTATCTGCATCTGCATTCCAGAAGTCATCCAGATTAACGTCACCCATACGTTGATCATCATCATGCGTACTTGTTCGGGTTAATTTCGTCATCACGTAACTGCAAGAATTGAAATATATTACATGAATTTTGCTGTTATTCTCAGAAAGGCCTAATGACGCGCAAAGCTGAATTGAATGCAAAACAACATCTTACAGCCTAATATCGATAAAAAATCTAAAATCAACTGGAATAAATGAAATACATCAACAATAACTCTTAAAAAAATGATTTCATAAAGAAAGGAATCTTCCTTCCTTATTTCTTATCACCTTCCCAACACATACACACACACATAATCAGACAATCGGTATGATACATAATTTGGTTGCAATTTAATTTTGAAAAATATAGTCAATATTCGAGAGAAGAAAGGAGAGAGAGAGAGAATAATGTTCAGCAATCATAATGAATACAATTTTTTATAGAATGAAAAAGTGTGATAGCACAAAATAATTTTTGCCTATGTAGAAAATAAAAAGTATCTAAATTCGAAAATGATGCTTTCTTTTGAAATAGACGAGAACGCTCTCGGAGAATAGACTAAAAAAATTTCATTTCCAATTTCTAAACATACACTAAATGGCATTAAAGCGAACGAATTAAATATCAAATAGCAAACAATAATGCAAGATAAGAGTGAAATAAATTTCCTTATGAATCATTAACTTTCCATGTCCAAGTCTGTCTGTCTTCTCAAAGAGATTATTCAGTTGAATTCATTGCAATCCTTTTTATAAATCAGCAACGCCTATGACACGAAACATCCATCAAGTGATAAGTTTACCTTAGATGATCAGTTTGTGATGCAAAATCAGCTTGTAACCATAGCAACAATTTTGCGTTAATAATTAAACTCTTTCAAAAGCAAACTCTCTCTCTCTCTCTCTCTCTTTTTCTCTCGGTGTATATGAAGTAAGCATGGAAATGCTATTTAAGAGATAGAGAGAAAGTTAAGTAAAATTCTTCAATCTTTTTCAGGTGTACACATTTGATATTAAACGGAGCAGAAATTGCTACTAAAAGTGTACGGATGAAATATAGTAATGGTGACGGTGGAAAAACCGAAACTGAAATGAAAGAGATATGGAAAGGTGAGGCACACACAAATACACACACACGCATATATATACACATACACACACACACACATTATACTAAGCATTGATGGAACAGTCGCGGCATATCGTTTTCCTTTCCTGCTGGCTGGAGACAGCGTTGTTTTCAAGTCGTTCTCTGATTATTACGCTGTCTCTTACATGGATCTAAAGGAAGGACTACATTATTTCCACTTTAATAATTCCACTCTTATTGAACAAATCAAATGGGCAAGGACAGAAGATCATAACAAGGTTGCTTATAATGCAACATTCCTTATCTGAAATGAACATACCGTTCAGTTATTAGGGAAAAGGCCTAACTTTTTATGCCTAAAAAATTCATCTGAGGACGTGAAATAGGTTACTCTATGTACTATACCATAATTGCATACACATAACAACTACTATTATTGGAGGACAACTGCTAACTTGTTTTGCATCGCATCGAACTTAACTACTTCAAATCTCTTCGTAGTGTACTCAAATTTAAATCTGCGGTATCGTGCCTTTCCACTCGACAAGGAACGTATCCCTTCTATACCTTTACAAATACGCATGTCATGTTTCAGACATTAAACGCAATGAATCAATTTGTGCTGCAGCATCTTCAACCTCTCGATATTTACTGCTATTATGCCGATTTTGTGCAGGTTCTTCCCTTATAAATTTTATATTGAATTTCTTAAGCTAATTTATTTCTTTCAGAGAATTTTCAGCACCATAAANTATCGTGCCTTTCCACTCGACAAGGAACGTATCCCTTCTATACCTTTACAAATACGCATGTCATGTTTCAGACATTAAACGCAATGAATCAATTTGTGCTGCAGCATCTTCAACCTCTCGATATTTACTGCTATTATGCCGATTTTGTGCAGGTTCTTCCCTTATAAATTTTATATTGAATTTCTTAAGCTAATTTATTTCTTTCAGAGAATTTTCAGCACCATAAATATAACTGTAGTATTAAATTTGCTGAAATTTACGAGTAAATAAATTCACTACCAGTTATATTTTAATTCCCAACTTTTGAATCATGAAGGAATCTGACAATTGCACTTTCTTACCGATGAAAGTTTACTGATAAATATTTAAAATTCTGAGCAACATAATTGAAAGTTGAAAGCTTCAATTCTTAAAAACAAAATTAGTTAGAACTGCAAGCGACTTAAACATCAAAAATACGAAAAAAGTCAATGGAGGATTTAAGCCAATACGGTATTCTTATCATCCTTTTGGAAAGTTGACAGTATTCCGGAACAAACATGCAGAGAGAGCATCATGAAGCAATGAATCATGTCTCTATTAAAAATATAAATATACACAGATATAAACACACATACATACTACATATATCGATGACTCTCATACACATACACCTATATCGATGATTCATCGATCTCAACATCACAAACAATGGCGATGGGATGTTGGAACGGAATGAGGTAAGAATGGGCAGAGAGAGAAGAAATCATTCCTGACAGGGCCAATAATATTTTTCTAACACTTAGGGTCTTAAGTGCCATAAAATGAAGCGAGATAATAAATCATTCGGCTAAACATTAATAAAAACAATCGCCTTGGAAGTTTGCATGAAAAAGCATCAGAAGATATTGAATTGTGGGAATATATGAGGCGCATCTTGGCAACTACTTATTGTCTTCTAAGCTTCTTTATGTAAGATCAGATACTATTATATGAGCTAACTGTAGTTTCTGATGAACAGCAATTTATCTATCCTAAGTCAGAAATTGCAATAAACAACTATTAAGTTATGCGAATAAGTGTAGTTGCATCACGACCTCTTTATCTTACTTCTCATCTGCTTTTTTTCAATGTTCATCCCATCTTTTCTGTCAGATCTGAAAGGATATGCAACCGGTTTTGTCTTGGTAACAAAATAACAATTGAGTTGTATAATGCAATATTTCGTTTGTTCAGTAAATAAAAAGAGAAATGATTTAAAAAGTAAAAGGAAAAGGAGTAAATAATAAAAGATACGTTTCATCCTTCACGTAAAAATAAAACTTTTTGTTGACATTGTTTTTTTTTAAATTTGATCTGAGGATTTATTCCCATTAATCATTAACAGTAACAACAACAACAAATTGATAAGAAACATCAGTTAAAGCGTGTCGTCATAGTTTGCTCAGTCGTTGTACATCGTGTAAAAGTACCACTGTGTACTTTTACATGTAATGATAAATCGCCAAGGCTGAAATTTTATGAAATTTTACATGACAGATTGGAGAGATTTTAAAAATATCACTTTATAAGAATGGATGATTTGTCATCGATTTCCGCTTACTTTCTTTTATTTTTCCACTGAATCAAAAATTTGATTGAAAGAAACTTCTTTAGTCTGTAAATTTTTAAATCTTCTCTCTTATCACAATTTCTCTATATTTGCTTCTCGAATCCTGTAGAGTACACTTTCCATACTAATCTATTGCTAATCTATTGCTATCGATAATAGACTAATTCTATAATGGGCATTAACAAACAATGATGGAAATGATTTACACACTTCAAGAATTGCAAATCGCAAATTTGACACGTGAAATTTCTCTTCGTAAAATGTTTCCTGCGATGGGTTTCAAGGCGTTCACTGGATGAAAAAGATAACACGCAAAGGTCACAGCGGAATGCTTTTATTGAATGAACATGTGAATGACCCTGGAGAGCGCTTTCGGAACCAAAGATCTTAACAAGAAATTACAAAAACTTCAAATAACATTTTTAAGTTTTTTTACCAATTTCGTCTTATTTTTTCAGAGCAGTGTGTAAGATAGTATACTCCCTTTTATAAATAAAAGATCAATTACGCAAAAATGTCCGCATTAAATTTTCAAAACATCATTGGGATTGAAAATATCTTATCAATCTTATTCTCTGCTAAGTTTAGAATAAGGTTAATTGTGAAGAAAAAAATGATAAAAATGATAGTAACAACAAAAAATGGATTGAAAGTGAACAATAACTATAGAAAAAGTATTACAACAATTAACCTGAGGACAGTATGAACACTGATAAGTTTGTTGTTGGTTCAAGATTGGTGAAATGCGCTCTCGAAATGAGCTGAAAAATAGTGGGAACTATGTTTTTACAATTATCTCGAACTCAGGTGACACTGCAAATTTTATTTAGATAATTTCAAGATTAAAACTATCGGAATTTAATTGAAATAAAGTCAACTTAAGAAGGGTTTCGTGTGCAACAATTGGACAGTTGTGATGCTGTAGCTGAGATTTGAAATGAAAGGCCTGTTGACACTTATGGCATTGATAGATTGCTTCCACACTCGAATGTATCGAATCAATATGAGCCAATAAACTGGCAACATTCGGGAAATGTTTATCACAGTATGGACAATTTCCGTTACTCGAATGCTCAATCACATGTAATTCGAGTGATTCGCCAGAGAAATGCTGCAATAATCTTCTCAAATATCCATCCCTGTCGGAGAGTAGCAAACTGGCATGGAAATATGCTAATTCAAATAATCTGCAGAGACCAAGATTTCTCTCGATAAGTTAAATTACAAAACATTTGTAAACTGATTATATTAGTGAACCTGTTGGCATATATTACATTGCTGATCCGATCCCGAGATATCATCACCAAACTGCAAATGATACTTTGCATGAGTATCGATTTGTGTATCATTGCGAAGTGTTTGACGACAAATGATACAGGCTACGGTACTTTCATCTTGCATATGCTCACGAATATGATCCTTGAAATGTGTAACAGTATGAATTTGTGTCTGACAATCTGCGCAACGATTCGATCGAGGTACCTGAAGAAAATACTTTCTGTTCTGGAAAATTTCAACGAATTGACAATATGGAAAGCTGAAATTCGAAGGTAACAAAAGTTCGAAATTAGATATTTACTACCATTTACTCATTTAAAAATAAATTACTTAATTATTTATTCCAAAATTGCATACAACAATGGTGTATAAATAATAAATAGTTTGAATTATATAAAAAGTTCCACTGATTAATTGTGTTTTTGCAATGAATTATAAAATTCATACGATTTTTTAGATAAAAATGATAAATAAAAATCAACGAGCAAACATAAATATGAATTAATAAATTAAATATTGAAACTGAAAAACTTAAGAACAAAACTGTTTGAGGACAAATCCTGAATACCTTGCAATGTGCGATGAGTCGATGAAAGTCCAGCTCATCTTCACCTTTAAATTTTATATCACATATCAAACATTTCACCAGACGATTTTCGGACTGTAATTAAAAGATCTGAACTTATTAGCTAACTTATTTAGTTGATTTTGCAGTTCGGCACTAATAGTATAATATTATTGTGTAATTCAATAGAGATAGAACCTTTATCATTTGTTAATATGAGTGCTTATCCATTAGCTGAAATTGAAATATTGAAAATACAATTTTTGAAAATTACAATGTCAACTGCCAAAGTTTTTCCAAATGTTAATAACCTTCTAATAACATCGTCAGAATTTCTTGACCAAATTGATCTTTGATAGTGAGTATCCAAGATATAAATTTAAAATTCATCAATGTTTGGCTAAACATTATCGATTGTATGAAAAAAGAATAATGACCAAGAGATGACCTGTTGCTTGCAGAAACTATCATCCGATGAATCACGTTGTAAACTGTTAACCGTTAAAGTAACAGCAGGTGGATCATGAATTAGCTGTACATGAATAGCTAAAAGATCGCGGGTTTCAAATGGAATGCTACAAGCTGCGCAATGATATCGGAAAACTTCCTCAATATGCATTACGGAATGTTCCTGAATTGAAGAGAATGATCATTTAAAATGATGACATTTAGTTCGAATATCTAATATTTGTGAATATCATCACTAATTGCTTATTCCTTCGTATTTTCTTCTTAAATCTCCTATTACTCTACATTGATTGTATTCATAAAAAAGACATTTCGAAATTGTTGAACCTGAAAACGATTTTGATTGCTGAATATTTGATGACATATAGCGCAACGATATAATATCTCCAAGTGTGCATCGGAGTGATGTTGCCGAATTTGTTGAAAATTGTAAAATGGTATAGCCGGACATTTTTTACATTGTATACGGACACTATTTTCCATAAAATGTTCCACAATATGTGATATTCGAGCCTAAGAGAAATTATTGGATAGATGAAAATAACCAAATTGCTAATATTTTCCAATCGTTAAATAGATGTTAAAAATTTTTCTTTTCAGTGTCAAAAATTGAAGCAAAAAAAGAAAATTTTTTAGCAATAAATTCATCATTTTTTTAAGAAGAAAAAATTGAATTACAATTGAATCGATGAAGGTCGCACTACAAAAACTGCACTTCAGTTCACGATCTTTACTAATTAAGTGTGTTCGCATATGATAACCAAATTCAGCAAAACTATGCAATGTCATATCACATTGTTGACATACAAGTGATGGACTTCCGTTATTATTTTGACAAATCTGACATAATTTTATATAATTTAGATTTAATCTTATATGAATTCTGTGTGAAGATGAATGAAGAGGCCATTTATTTAAATTTTAATATTTTATACCTTTTTTAATTCTAATGGATTCTAATGCTTCACACTTCTTGCATCATCATTTCCTCTACTTGGCATATTAGCCTTAAGTATGACCTTAATCGACCTCGAAAAATATTTCACTTTCCTAATATGTCTACGTCTGATGAATGAAAGTGAATACATCATTATTCAACGAGATCGCATCACTTTCTTCACTTTTCACTTTAAAAACTTGCTGTTGTTGTTGCCGCTGCTGAAATAATATATAACCGTATATAGAACATACCCAATCATTTGCAAACTATTCTATGTTTTTTCCGGAAATCAAATTTTCCCGAAATATCTGAACAAATTCTTCAGATAATAATTCCTAAAGACAAAAATGGATTTTATCAAATTTATTGATGATAAACTTGCATTTGAAAATATAAAAAGGAAATGTAAAAATTATGAGAATCGAAGAAGGAATTAGAATTGACTCACCAGTGAATGTATGCATTAAGTAATAATTTGATGGATTAGGAAGGAAGTATTGATCCTGATATTTTTGCGCTCATTTCTTATACTATTTGAAAATATGCATACATACCTGATGAGTTTGCAATGTATGATTCTGCAGTGTCTTGATATCATTAAATTTAGTCTCACAGAAGCAGCAGATTATTCCCATATTTATATCCTTGGTTGAAAAATCAGATTCTGGATAAGAATCGACCTCTTTGTCATCGATTCCTGATTCGCTACCACTTTTTTGTTTTCTTAAAAAATTGAAATATAACAGCGCACTTTTTTCGTTTAGTGCTAAACGATATTATATGATACTAAGGTTACTTTAGCTTTATCACTAATGTAATTATCTATTTAGATTATTAATTCTTGTAGGAAGCATTTAAATACTTTCATATGACTAAATTTAATGAATTCTGAACATAGAAATTATTTCCGATCGAGTTAGTTTTATAAATGTTCATCCTTCAAATTTAAATTTGCCATTGGAAAACCTTTTACTACTAAATGAATTGTTATTCTATCATCTCTTAGCTTAAAACAAAGATATGAAAATGCATCTGTTTCAAATAAATTTATAATAATTTCCCAATTTACCGATATTTGTTATTTATGGAATTATTAGTAAAATAAAGTATAGCGATTCGATAAATAAACCTTTTCTTTTCCTGCTCTTCTTGCTCCTTATTTAAATCATCATAATCATTGCTAATTGCTTCATCGCCTGGAATATTTTGAAATGATTATATTCATAAAATACTGCTATTGAATAACTAACAGACTAAGAGACTAAAAGAATGGGTAACTTAATGACACTGGTTATCCAATCAGTATATTCAACTTTCGGCTTTGTAGGTCACATTTTCAGTAAAATTAATCTTGAAATGATCATTACTGGAATAATACAGAATGAGTGATATCTATTGATCGGAGATGTCACACATTCTCTGGAAAATCTAAATAGGACGAAAGCTAGCAAAAGTTTAAGATTTACAGGAAACTAATCGTGTCTTTTTTACAGGTATATTAAGTGGATCATTTTGGTTGTTGGTAGCTTCCATCAACGTATGTCACTATCATACTAGGGAGTGACAAACATTGACCGAAAGCTCCAACAACTAAAATGATCTACCTAATATACCTGTTAAAATTGTATGAAGTCTAAGATTTGTGGGAATGCATTACGAATGGAAAATGCTCACTAAAACTAGCGCTCATACCATATCAAAATCCAAATTTATTTCTTTTTTGTGAAAATTTTTGAATGAGATTAAAAATTTATTAAAATTCTTAGAAACTGAGAATAAATGAGATTTTTGGAGGAACAAATTTGTACCTTTGAATGCTTTTGGCTTAAATTGCTTCCTCTTCGTTGACATCGTTTATTTGTGATTTTTCACTTCCAAAAATAATGGATAAAGCTTCTTACATTCATAGATACCAGCATATAGATTACCGCACCGTGCGGAAAGTGTTTACTAAAAAGATGATAAGGATGTTAGAGGATTGAGAAAATTGAGGCAGGAAGGAAATGTAAAGGTGGGTTAACTAGAATGGATGAAATTTTCAATGAAAGGAAAAGACGGGGGAAAGGAAGGAAGAAGGGACGGGGAGATGATGATTTAAACTGGGCAATATATGAACTAGCTTGTGACATAGGAGCAATAATTCCCTGGTGAATCCTGGTTATGGGCTGATGCGGTCTGGAAAGCAAGTCTTCAACAAGTCCCTAAGGTAATCTCCACTAACCCGGACGCTTTCATACTTCATCCACCATTTTCCTCTCTTCTCCTCTTGCTTAATTAGCTTATTTGAATTTTTCAAATAGTTGCAAACATGAAAATGAATGCGCTTCTTCTACATATCAAATGAATTTCTGAAATTCTTCCTAACCTTATAGAATTCACTGCTAACCACTATTACAGTAATGAAGTTTTTATCAACTAACAATCAATCCATCGTTCTTTCTTGCTACAGTAAAGAATGGAACGCATCAAGTTTGAAGTGTGATAAGTTTGTGATGACTAATTAACGCAACTTATCGAACTTGGTAAAATAAGCTTTGAATCCAATCAGTATTAGGTATTTGCCATTTGAAGTACAGTACTTGGCATACAAAAATTGTCTATGCGGCTCCCCGCACATATCCACATTCAAAATGGTTTAAAAGTAGGACTCAACGAAGTGAGAGGTCAGATCTGAAGTTCCATTATTTTTATGGTATTTATTTGATATTTATTTATCTGATATAAGATTAGAAGTGCTGTTCAGTGTATTTCGCGCGGTTTTCTATGAATGTGGCAGAAAGTTGTGAAATTTCTTGAAATGAAATCTGTTTTTTCAAAATTTTTTTCGATAACTTACATTCTGCTCAGCTTATTTCTGACTGCTTAATTTTGTTTGATGTTGATCTTTATTCATAGTCTACAGTTTACGAACTATTCTAAACGGGATTCATCTGTAACTGCAAAAAAACCTGATATATGATGCAAAATTATTTGCGAACTTCTAAGGAAGACGTATGATGTATTATGAATGGTATGATCTATAGTTTTTATTAAAAGGCTTAGTAATAGATCCAAAAAATTATTGCATTTAAAAGTCAAAACTATACAAATGCACATTGAAGTGCTTCATGATATTTCAATAAAATGGGTTCATACATCAATCCTGTTAATTTCTTCTTAGGTATCACCAAAAAATCTTGAATAAGATTTTTGAAGTTCCACATGCTAATTTAACAAAGCACATGTAAACAATTTAAGCGGATGGCTGTAAGGAGTCTTGCCATCCATATGAGATTTCAAAGAAGAATTTGATGCATCGCATTAAAGTTAGCACTGTAAGAAATTTACATTAAATCCATGACAAGGTTAATAAATAGAAAAACGACGAAAGCTATAGGCAACGCATGCAAAAAAGGGAGAGCAACAAGAACGATGTCTAATATGCCAGAGACATTAACACAGTGAGCCTGTAAATTTGAGATAACTTTAAATATATGAATAAGAGTGCAGGAATGCTTGTTTTTTGCTAAATCTGATTATTTTGTATATTTGTATTCTATACACTTTTGCGTTTAGTGTAAGTCGATCAGAAAAAACTTCATATAGAATACATGAAAGTATCATCTTCCTTTCGTTTGCTATTAGAGCTTACAGGCTGAAACACTCGCCACTTCGTATACAAACATATAGCAAAACCCATGCCAAATAACTGGAAATACATAATATTTTTGGAAATTAATCAAACATGAAAAGAAAGCCAATTACCGTAGCCCTCTTTCCCTTGTCCTCAACAAGAAATATTCTTAATCTTCAACATTTCTTATTAAGCAGTGATTAGATAGAAATACTACATAAAGGAAAAAAGTTCTGCCCAATCTCATTTTGATATTCGACTTATTGAAAATAATTTTCAGCGTATTTAGCATTAAAATTTAGTGACGAAATCAAAAGAAAAATACCTGCATAACTGTAAGTGCAAATGCAGTACCACATATGATTAGCAATTGTTCTTTCATCATTTTTATCAAATAATTCAAACACCCCTGGAAATTTCATTAAGGTCTTTGAGCGAGGAAAAATTTTAGCGAAGAAAAACGTCAACTGAAAAGTGCAATAGGCACAAGTCAAGTTAATTTTTTAGAAAGCCCTTCTAGCATGATTGAACTGCTAATCTGCCGAACTTAATGGATAAAGGATATGAGTAACTGAAATGTGCAACAACTCACATTATAATAAATATTAGAGGGATGATCTCGACGTCCACAATTCGGTTTCTCTGAGCGGCAGCAGAAATCCGGTACAGCCAAATCAAAAGAACGCTGCTTGAGCTCAGCTGGGCTATTTATTTTCTGCCACCAAACAGAATCACGCCAGTCTTCGAACGATTGAGAACCACAACAGTGGCCCTGCAAAAGAAGTGATAAACAAGCGATATTATTTTAAAAGTAACATCAAACTGGCAAATTTACTCCAATAATTCATTTCATCCAAAGTCCAATAAAATTTGTGGCGCTACCTCCACCACTGCCATATATAAAGTTATAAATTATTTTCAAGACATTTAGCATAAACGCATGCTATAAAAAATAGTGTGCTAATTCTATCACATTCATAATAATAAAATAGAACGCTATCCATTCAATGAACAGTGATTTTCACATATTTAACATATGTTGCTGTACTTGCTGATGTAAATATTGAAGTGCTTGAGAGATATCATCACGCTCAGAATGATCGCGAATAACTGATATAAGCAAGGTTGTTCCAAGATCATTTTCAAGGTGCTCAATATAACTATATGTCATAATACATAGCGCAAACTCCATCAACATTGTAAGCAATATCAGAATAGAATACTGAAAAAAATAACTCAACTATATATGATTATAAGGTTGATAATAGATTTTTCCTAATCGCTTTATTTAAAAATAAAGATGTACAGGCAGACAAAAACTGAGAGTGAAATGAAGACCATAAATGATTCTTATAGCTGATTGTACCGTGATAAGAAAAAATATGAAAATGGTGTCTTAAGCAACATATGAATTGTATGAAATCATACCAACCAATAACAACAGCATTTGTTTTCTTTTTGAAATAGCCCAACAACCTGACGAAGCTACAACAAATACAGACAAACCGACAACGAAGCATAGAATGATGCTCTGCAGATACCTCTTGCTGTACAGTAATGAACCAATCATTGTATATTTCACGGTATAAGTCCATATTGCTAGCCCGATAAGTGCCATAGCACTGATCTGCAGTGAAGTATCAATATTACAAGCCTAAATTAAATGTCAGTTTCGTTTGAAATTCAAAATGTTTAGACCGCCTCTCACCGAAATTTAAACAATTGTCGAACTTTCAATATGCCACTCCAAAATAATGAAACATAAATATGCATGTGATGAAATACAAGAAACTAACATAAAAGAGAAAATTGAAGAAATAAATGATCATTTGAAGCAGTCGTGTATCACAGCAACTTTTCTCATTATATATCGCTCGTCGTAAGCGATTTCTTCTAGACATTATAATTCAATTTATGACTGAAAAATATTAAGTAATGAAAGGAAAAGCAAGTGAATACACTTGTTCATATTGACAATAATCTGAAGCCTTCCAGATTGTCGTAAGTATCTGTTTTCCTTTAATTTTTCTACTTATTCCTCACTCGCTGTTGATGCTGTTCTAACATGTTACATCCTCAACTCACCCCAAGCAGAAATTGGACAGTATCTCAAATTTCCTGTTATTTCTATTATTCTCATTTATTTTGAATTGACTAGGAGAAAAAAGACGATAGTGTAAACAGTCTCCTGTTCTCCCACTATATGATGGACGAAATGATCAACAAGCGCAAATCTCTCCGCTATCAGAAATTTGAGATAACATCTCAAATGTTAAGAACATGCAGACACACAGAGACAGTACAACTATAGCCCTTCATGTCACAGATGTCCCATATCTTCGAGAATGTCATCAGAAAGACTTCTCCTACGGCTACTTAATAAAGGATAATATAATTTGAGGTGTTAAGCTATCTACTGCTCATGCCAGTGCTTCAGAACACTTCTTCGCATCTAAAACTTCAATCGGTTAACTCAGCTGAAAGGCAACCAATTTTAAAAAGCCTTCATTTTCCCGAAATATACACTTTTTGAATCAATAAATGACTAAAAGGAATTCATATTCTCTCATGCCTAGATACTACTAAATAAACCTGCACAATACAACATGACAAATTATGCAAAACAAATTAAAAATTGAGAACTACTTGAATGATCCAGTAACCGTACTCCACTTCGCACCACAATCTCTGATTACAGCAGCTGCTACTGTTTCAACTCGTCAACACAATGTGAAAAATACCTTCGCTACAAATACGAATTTTACATATATAAATGAGAATGCATCATAAATATATGCACTTTTCATAATCAATAAGGATATTTATATAGATATATATCCTTATTTCGACAGCAATTTTTAAACCATTTCCAATGATTATGCAAAATTAGCTGGTTTCAGAGTGAATCTTCTTCTAATACGTGCACGAGCGAAAATACGATTTTTACTATGATGTAAAATATAGGAGTAATTAGTAAACTATAGAATCAATTTTTTTTTCATTTCAAATAGCTATATGCAAACATTTGTAAAAGATGATTCCTTGCTAAATTCCTTATAAACGATAGAATCAAATATTAACATTAATCCCTTTGCCATTAAAAAATCGTTCAAACTGGGTGAAGTTTTTTCCAAAAAATGTGGAAAGTAAAACCTGTATTTCAATCTGAAACCAAAATTTTCCAATATTTATTGTTCACAAAAGCGAATCTATAGGATTAATATCATTTACAAGACCAAAAAGAAATGTCAGCATCAATGACTTTTTGTAGCTAAATTTCAATTCTTCCTTTAAAGTGCCGGTTTTAAAAAAAGAACAGAAGAAGGATACTGGACTCCACTTAGCAATTACATCCCAAACTAGTTGTAAAAAACCCGAAAAAACACAAATCATATTATTAACAAAACGTCACGGGTGAAAAATAATGACAACAATCTCTGATTTTACTGTCGGAAGAACTCCATTTCGATTTCATTCACCAAAAAAAACACTGCTTTCCAGCCATCTTTTAATGCCTTCAATAACTACGCAGAGATCAAGTAAGCCTTACTATCTCCTCAGTACATTGATGAATGCTTCTTTGGGAATTTGCACCTGACCCAGCTGTTTCATTCGTTCCTTTCCTTTTTTTTGATCTGATAACTTTTTGCAATAACGTTCCCAACCACCACCTGGAATTACACTCACGAAAATGCTTTTTACGTGAAAGAATTGAAATACCATTGCATAGAAATGAAAAAAATCATACAGAAATAGAGCAAATTGTTTGTAAATAAACTGACTTAAAATCATAAGCAATAAAAGACTGAAATCATGAAAATATTACAATAATTGAAATAAATAGCCAAATAGTTCACAAATAAATGAAGAAAAAAAAGAAAATATAATGGCTTATAAAACATGACAAACCGAATGAAATTTTAGAAAAAACGAAATTTTTGCAGAAAGTGGAATAAAGCAAAAAATTTTTTCTTGTCTAGTAAAAACAGAAGAGCGACCACTACGCTAAAATCCAAGAGCTATCAAACCTCCAAAATTGCCTTTTAGTTGACCCGTAAAATCTTTCTTGATTGGTGCAATAACCGTTTGTACAAGCGCTTTTTTTGCTTGTCCGAGAGTGGCCTTAATTCGTACTTCATATTGTTGACGAGGTATCTCCTGCAACATAAAATTTCTCAATTAATTTTTTTTTGATGACCTGTTGAGAAATGCGAAGAAATTGGAGGTAAAAAATCATTAAAAATTATACAAAAACCAACCTCTCTCAATTTCTTTACAATTTCTTTAGCTCTAGCTTTAACTTGGTTTGAAGGCATTATCTCCGAGAATTCATAAATAGGAAGATCATTGATATGAATCATAAGCAGTTCAACTTTCGCTGGTTTGAAACCATCCCACTGGTAATTATATGTCACATAACCACTAAAATAAACAAGGGATAGGATATTCCTATCATTCAAAATAAAAGAACTCAAAAAAAAACCGAAAACGAGAGCCAAACGGATAATAATGCTGAGTTGATATTTCGATCTTTGTAAAATTTTGCACTTATTTTCTGTAAAAGATATGGCAGTAATATGACGGGTTTCTGTAAAAAATATCAACCTGGCAAATAGAATAGGTAGAAATAGAATCAAAATTAATAAACCTCGTGATCCTTTTCAATCTCTCGAAAAAGTCTGTGCAAACTTCAGCAAAAGGTAATCGCCATTGCTGCATAGCATAATCTGTATCCAGTCCACTATTCTCAACTGAATGAACGAGATAACGAAAATTTTATATTTCTATTTTTGTAAAGCTTGAACTTATTTTCTAGCTTTCTTTTTGTAATATAAGTAATAAACCGGCAGCACCAAAAATAAACGATACCTTGTTCTCCACGAGCATCAACACATAATCTTGCTACGTGTTCACAGTGTGTATTGCAAAATAAAAGTGTTAATTTTACCATGGGTTCCAAGAAATAATCAATGTCATTGGGACAATCCGGAAACTTACTAGCATCCAAAAGACGAATCATAGATTGACCATTGTATCTACAAAGAAAAGAAAATAAAAAGATGACACAAGAAAAGTAATGTTTGTCTGGAAACGAAAAAGAATTTTAGATTTTGCCAGCAAATATCAAAAAAATGATCACATCGACTTAAAAAAGGCTCAACTGTAACGAATAAGCTAAGATTCAATGAAACACCTTTTTTTTATAACAGTGGGATTATCCTTAATGACAGCGCGATATTCGACACTAGGTGCAGTTACAGTAACATTAGCATTATATTCCTGCTCCAATCTCGCACAAAAAACCTATAAAATCGCTATTTTATTTTGAAAATTACATATTTTGGCGAGACAAAGGAACTGGAGAGTAAGTGAGAAAAATTTACCGCTGCAGCCTTGCTTTTTAAAAGCGAAAAATTACCTCCATATGCAGAATTCCTGAGAAACCAATTTTGAAGCCATTGCCCAACGCGATACTACTATCATGTTGGATCTGCACCGATGAATCGTTTAAAGCCAATTTGTTAAGTGCAATACGCAACGCGTTATATTCAGAAACGTCTGTCGGATAAATACTAGCATAAATGCACGGCGCACTGGGCTACAATTTCATCAGTATTTCACATTTGCTTTTCTGAAGATTTTAGCAGAACTGAATTTGCGCTGTCCTTCTAGTATACAGGAAATCATTATCCAGCAATATGAATATGATTAAAAATAAATAGACATGCTAATTTGTCCACTAACCACATCTCAAATTCGAACCGTTAATAGAGGCATGGACTGTATTGTATTGCGTGCACTGTTTACATCATATAATGTTTCTCCAACAACAGCATCTTGTACTGATTTCATCGTAGTTAACAAGAAGCCAACTTGGCCAGCATGTAAACACTACAACAACTTTTTTAAACAAAAAATGGAGAAGTAGTGGCAACAAATCATTTAAAACCATTAAAAAACGAACTAACTAACCTCAACTTCATGCATGTTTGGATTCATGATGCCCACCATCAACACTTCGTATTCACAGTCAGTGTGATAAGTTCGTATTCTCTGCCCCTTCGAAATCCTACCATCATGCACAGCAACGCAAACTATTGGACCACGATGAGTCTCATACCAGGAATCAAAGACATGTGCACGAAGAGGTAAGTGTAATTCACCTTTGGGAGATGGTAACCTGAAGAAAAGTAAGAATGAAAAAGAAAATTATGAACTACTTCCAAACAAGAGTTTAAATTACGAGAAAAGTATGTTCAGAAATTATGAAAAAAATTTATCCTTAGTGTAATAGTGAACATTATGAATGTACTAACTTTTCAACAATGGCATCCAATACATCCCCAATACCAGTACCATTCTTAGCAGAAATGCGAAATATTTCTGATGACGAAAAATCAAACAAATTTTCCATTTGTGATACTACCTACAAATATATGAAGATAAAAAAGCACTTTATAGATAAGCGATGAAAATAGCTGAAAGTTTAAATATGGATAAAAGTATTCTGAATTATAATAAAAACTTCTCCTACTTCATCTTAATTCTATGAAACTTCTTGAAAAAATATAAAAACTAGTAGGATTGAAGAAAGAAAAAAAAAATTTGAAACTTGAACGAACTCGTGGGACGTTAGCGCTGCTGAGATCAATTTTATTGATAACTGGGATAATTGTTAAACCAGCCTCAAATGCTAACCAAAAATTAGCCACCGTTTGCGCCTCTACACCCTGTAAGTCAGTAGCATTGCATATCTGGCCAAAAAAAATTTTACAAATCAGATTGGAAAGTCTTCAAATCAAAGTCAACTCTATAACCTGATTAGCGGCGACAAGAAGCACAATTCCATTAGTAGCGGCAAGAGACCGAGAAACTTCGAAACTGAAGTCAGCATGACCAGGAGTATCGATTAAATTTAACATGTAATTCTGTGAAATACTTATCATATCGTTCCAATTATTCATTGTATGAAATAATAACTTTTTCAAACCCTAGCTCACATTTATTTTCTAACTTATCCTTTTAAAAATCCCGCTATTTGGAACAATGAAGTTGAGTTGATAATATAAATTAAGACTTCGAAAAAAATGAACTGAATCTATCCACACACCATTTAGCACATTACTTTTTCACTACTCCTTATCTGATCACTATTTGCTCTAAATTATTTAATCAGTAAATTATTCACAAAATTGCTATGCATTTCCACATGCTCGCAAAACTATGTAACCATGCATTTGATCAATGTACCTTATAAAACATAGTACATGATTGCGCTTTCACCGTTATACCACGTTCCCGTTCCACCTGCAAGAATTTGCTATACAGTAATAAAGCCTACTGATGGAAACAAATACAGATATCCATTAGTAGGAAGACAAAAGGAATGAGCAGTAAAAGAAACCTGCAATTTATCAAGCATTTGACTGGCATGACCACTTTTATCAACGACACCTGTCAATTCGAGAAATCGATCTGCCAGGGTACTTTTGCCATGATCAACGTGCGCCAAAATGCCAAAATTACGTATTTTCTCTGCAAGAATTAAGAAAGACTCAATTTTTTACAAATAAAATATTATATAAAGAAGTCAACACAAACTGCTGATAAAATATTGTCAACATATCTACATGAGAATGGGATTGTTCATTCATTCGATCAACTGCGTTTCATATTAATGAGATGTGCATCTACATCATGCTATCATACAAAAAGTAGAGAGCAAAAAAGAATGCAGTAGTACCTGGCGGATAGGCTGTTAAATCAATAGCTTTTTTTCTATTCGGATTTCTCAACTTCTCAGTCAAGGATGACGAAGAATATCTCCTCCCTATGATAAACATAGCACGACTGTAATTTGCAATCATTAGTGTAGCAGCTCGCGTATGCACCGTTGCTAATATGACCATCTTTCATTTGACAACCTGAGATTCTTGACCATTTATTTGCTATAATAAATCAATGAAAATAAATAAGACCAAATTGGCAAAGTAATACGAAGATATATCGTTTTTATATTACCTCTAACCTTTTAAATACACAACGATTGTTACATTAACAACATATCCTGTTTCTCTCCTTGTCGCCCTCTCTCATGAATTATTAGAAGGTATTCAACGTCCTCTTAACTATAGCAGTTATTCTTTTCTTTGTTTTCCACCAAATGTGTTACATGATAACAATTAGGATTATCTGCGTGGTCAAAATGAAAAGACTTTTGCCTTTCGATAGTATATCATAACACACGTCGACCTTTCAAGTTTCCCTATTGCTAAGATTTTTGCATGTGAATACTACGAAACATGTGAACCACACAACATAACCATATACAACACACCTAACCACTGTCACTCTTCTAGCAGCTCACGCCAATGTCCATAACTACTACAACACAGCACCTTAGATTGGGTCATTACGAAACTTACAGACTCACGTGTGTGTATTGCTCTTATCCTAGTATTGCTTAACGTTGTGTATGTGGAGGTTACACGACTTGCACGTGTTGTGGGTTCTTTACGTTATACATAACATAGCTCGTGTAAGCATGAATGCTACCTTTAGTAGTATGTATACCTTTACTTACGATATTCTTTAATTTCTTTCCTTCATTTCGTTCCACCCATTCCTCGACGAATAATAAAGATAAAGGCGAATTTTGGCGCGAAAATTTCGAAAAAATTTCATTGCTCTTTAAATTTGCAATGACATTTTGTATGTAATTTTGCAGAAATGTACTCCTTTGATTGTAAAAAGTTCTTAGTGTCATGGAGCCCCTTTTTGAACTGTCAATATAATGCGGGCGGCATATATTGGAGATAATCTTTTTCTCTACTTTCATTAATTAATAACATCGTTCGAAGTTGACCTCTGAACGATGTTGCTAATTAATAAAAATAGAGGGACTGTAATTGATAGTGCCATGATCAACTTTTATCTTTCAATGTGATGCAATTTTTTTCTTTATTCACTTAGAAATGAAATAAGCGGTATCATGGTAAGTTTCTTTTTCTCCAGTTTTCACGCTTCATATGTAGCTGCAAACGTTCAGAAGTACAAATCAGAAAAAAGAATTCCAATTTAAATTTCAAAATTAATTTCTAAAAATTCGTTTTATCAATAATGGCATAAAGTAAAAGACAATTTGCTCATTATTAACTATAAAAGAATTAATTTTTCTCTAGCAAAACCAATAAGGAAGAAGCGTAATCGAAAACTTTTCGAAACTATTTCTTAAATGAAAAATGAGATGCTAAAGAAGAAAATGACTTCTTCATTCTATAACCACTCTTGCAACGTGACGTAAAATGTGATATCTTGTTTTTAAAATAGATAAGAGGAAACCTTCAAGTGTCTGAACGACTTCGAGTAGAACGTGATTTAGGTGTTTGTGATGGTCCAGCTAACAGTTTCGAATAATTGCGACCACTATGTGAATTGTCCGACTTTAAAAGAAAGGGTTAAAGACTGTTATTAAATTTAACAAATGAGAACGAGTTAATCACTTACTGATCGACAGTTTTTGAGCTATTAAGCTATTCAATGAGACAAGGAAGTTTTATTGTGTTTTGAATGATTAAATTGAAAATTACTTGCAGAAATTACTAACATAATTGCCAAATACATCTTCGGTTTCCGGACTCGGTGATACATTTGTTAATAATTTTTTTGCAAAAGGCGTAAGATGAATGGTTTCTGGAAAGCGATATTTAGGCGGCAAATTACCGATAATTATTGCTACCTAAAAAGAATAATCATTGATTTATATCATTTTTTTGCGAATTTATTTTTTCGATCATATTTTTTAATTATTAAGCAATTATTTAATATGTTTTATTGGATATTATCAACAAAGTTATCACCTGTTTTATGTTTACTTCCAAATGATGATTTCGAACATTTGCAACAATTGTTTCAATAATAATTTCGAGATTCTTTGCCATTTCATACACTACTGTTCTGTAAATGAAATTAAAAATGAATGATAAAGAAGTACCAAGTCTTTTTTTGGAAGATGATATTATTATTAAAACACTTTTTTCACGCTGAACCAGATAATAATATTAACTTAATTTGGGGTTATGTAATTAGTATTCACGATAACAATTATTTTTGCCAAAATACATAAATTATGATTTTGGTTTGACTCTGAATATTTGAATTTGATTCCTATCGTTTGCCCTTCAACAAGACAAAGTACAAGAAGCTGACCTGAAATGATTGATCTGTCCCTCAAGTGTTTTTATGCATTCTGTAGTAATAATTCCTTTATTGGGTAGTTTGTTGATAATCGCGATGTCCCTCATACCAATGTGTGGTCGAATATATTTGCTATATTCTGGCTGCAAGATATAAAATATGAAAATCATCGCCGCTTCCGATCTGAGGCAAATAAATGTACATGAATTCAAACAAAAGAAATTTGCTAATAAAACTCATTCTGAAGCTAATTTATAAATAAAGACATATAAAACTTCGGTAACTTTCAGTTATTAAATTGGAGAGAATATGGAATATTCAAGATGATAGTGTAATTATCCAACTAATAATACATTATTTACTTTAGTTTTTCGAATTTCTTGTGGTGGTACTTGTTGAATAGCAAATAATTCTGTGATTATATATGCCATTTCAAAATTTGTAAGAGCATTAATTAATAAATTTTTTAATAATCCCTTATGTATATTCATGTTGGCTTTATTATTTTCGAACCATCTATAAAGATCAGTTGGAGCTGTATTAGAATTATTCAAGCTTAACTTTTTAAATTTTATATTTTTAATGAAAATGCAACAAAGTTTCAATCAAAAAGATTACGTCAGATAGAACAAAAGAAGAAATTCATTTATAACAGAAAAACAATTTGTTTGTCCGCATCGTATTTTAAAGAAATTTAATTTCAACATTTCTTTCAATTTCATAAAAACTAGCTTATCCAAGCTTGCTTGTATATCCAATAGTTCATGTGTTGCTTTTAGAATTGTCTTCAACCGATACAATGCACAACAATCAGCTAATGAAACTGTTTTTTCACGAGTTACTGGTCGATAATCTTGTGTCGTATCCCCATCATCCCGTTGTAGTGCTTTTAGCGCTCCTCAAAATTTATCACTTATGAATCCTTTAAGTGATTATGAAGATAAAAAAAGTTTGCTAGATTAATATTGCTGATCATCAGACACTGCTCAGTTCAATCAATAATTACTTTATTTGATTAACGCCTAATATGCAATCATATTTAAATTTTTATAGAAACACTTGCTAATATGGAGAAATACTATACTTGAATAATCTATAAGTTTATATTTTGGTAGTATATTTTTTGAAAATTTTGAGATTTAAACAATCCAAGGATGAATTAGCAAATAAAGCTGCTAATTGTCAGCACAAAAAGTCACCGAAAAATCGAAAAGCTACAATATAAATATAATTTATATACTTTGTAGTTTTTCGGTGACTTTATCGATGCTTGTCATACGGCTGTCACCATCGTCATCAATTATATTTGTAGGAATCGCTTCGTGAGCTGAACTACTGCTTGAAGATTCCATCGATTTACTTACAGATTCTACAATAAATACGAAACATTTTTGAATGAAATATTGTTGAATGGTTGCTGATTGAATAAATATGCCCTTTTTAGTGACTAGAAATAACTTGAAAAAAGTTAAAGAAGTATGAAGAAATAAGAAAAAAGCGCATAGTCATTCCTTAGCGAAAGTGATTGAAGAAAAGTTGAATAGGAAAGACATTTTTAAATTTGAGTTGAATATGTGAAGTGGAAATTGCTTACCAATTGTCGACTTTTTCCCACTACATAGCTCATCTAGTGGTTTAAGATATATTATACGTATCTCTTCGATGTATTTCCTTGTCATCCATTCCTGAAATCTCACTTTTCACCTAAATGAATAAACTAAGTAATGCAAGGATCGATGTAAATCATCGCATTTATTTCTACGTTATGCAAATATATTTGTCTTTCCGCATTGCATGGAGAATTTGTAGCTATCACAATTAATCATCACAACGTGAATCAAAATCCTTAATTTCTTCTTTACCATAATTGCCATAACTACAAATTAATTACCGCCATACCTCATTTCCTTATTACAGTGTTTGTATGTTAGGAGAACCTACAACCTCCCAAAAAGTCATAATATTGTTTCTGCTTCACTTCTAAGCAGTTAACTATCAATAAAGTAAAACCTAATAAAAATATAAGATTTAGCGGTTTTAATCTGAAACATGAAGCTGAAAATGAGTATCCTAAACATTTATATTAGCAGAGAAAAATTCATTCTATAAATACAGGATGATAAAGAAAGTGGAAAGAGAAAAATGCAATAATCGCACCTGGCAGCGTAGGAAAAAGATGGCAGCTTCCACTTTCTCAGTGTCATCATTAACATGTAAATTTAGAGTAGACTTCACTTGGGCTTTCGTAGATTTTGTTCTTGGACGGCTTCCTTTACTAGAATGCAGCATCTACAATGAATATTTGTAATATAGACTCTGGTCCGATATACACATTATGTATCGTTCATCTCCCCCAGAAACCTAAAGGTATGGGTATGATACGTAAGACAGTTAACAGTGCAATTAACAGCATGGTATACGTATATAGTGACGAGCATGTCTATTTGAAACGCACTGGAAAAATTAAGAAGCTGAAATAAACGGTAAAGTGCTTGAATTTGCAACATAAATATATGAAATGAATAGATTATAACTTCTTACACTCATATTATGCAAATTTATGAAAGTTATGGAAAATATCCAGAAATATAGAAATTCAAATATCTGCATCTTATATAAATCCAGCAGTTCCGAGTGCGACATTGCAATTATCATCAAACGTCCATTAATAGATCAGTTGTGATCAATCTTTCGCTCCAATCGTTCCTTAAACAATCACTCGAAGATATCTTTGCAAGAAAAAATTATCTTTTGTTAAAAAATTGTGTACAAGTGATTATTTCATATTGCAATTTTCATCAAGCAGTCGCTCGTTAATAAATCGCTTGTAGTCAATTCAAACGGTTGATAATTTTCTTTGCAAGACATTTATCTATCCCACTGTTACGAACGGGTACCTAAGATATGTAGATATTAAATGAGACATGTATGACAAAGTATTATTCATAGATACGAAATTATGGAATGAACAAATGGAAGGTTACTCTTTTGAAAAGAAAGTTCTGAACAACACACTGCCGGATTTGTAGTAATAATAATCTAATAAATGGACATAATTAATTATGATGAGTATCTTTTAGGTTTCTCTTCATGCAATTACTTTACAGTACCACTCATTGCAATCACAGTTTGCTTTATTGTATCACTAATCCTTGTGGGAACTAAAGTTTCAAAATTGCTCCTTTGATTGTAATATAATGGTCGGTCTGATGATTTTTGTTGTTTTATATTGTTTGGTGTCTAGTCATGATTAGATTGGGTTAGCATTAGGTATAGAGTCAAGGTTAAGTTAGGGCAGGGAGTTGCTAATCCAACCTAAATTAGGCTAGTTGGGTGCAGTCATTTTTGTTTTTCCTGGTGATCAGGTTCAATTCGTAAATATTTCATCCGTTGCACCTCTCCGACTGTTATGGTATCCCAATTTCACCCTATCTTAATTGCAGTGTTTTTTCTAAAGGAATTAATTAGGGACCAGAGTTTCTACTGTGTGCAAAATTCATATGGGAGAAAGTTATTTTGTGGTTTCTGTGTTTCTGAAACATTTTTTCTTTATATTCCATCGTGTGATATGACTATATAGCTATTTCTCGATTTATGATGGCTTAGAAGTAGCATGTAGATAAGAATTTGCAGAAGCAAACTGTCATTAAAATGATGCAATATATAAGGCTGTAAGTGATTTCTGAATTTTTTTCCAGAATTGTCAAAACCGGTATTTTTGATTTGTTTGTGTATCCATTTGTTTTTCATTGTACAATCATTTGTCTGATCGTAGTGTTAACAGTGAAAAAAAGGACGACAATCATTTCGTGGTGGAGTATAGCATCGGTTACTATGCAAAGTTTGCGTTAGTTTTATTTGCTTTTCAAAGTGTAGATTATATTGAAAATTTTATATGGTTGTTGTTATGTCAAACTTTTTTTAGGTAAGCTGGTCAATAAGCCTCGTGTGGATGATTGGAATCCATTAGCCAAGTTTTATTATGCAGATGAGGCACTGAACGCAGTAGCCAGCGAACTAGACTCATTTGATGGACGTCGTGATCCAGAGCGTTGTAGTCAATTAGTCAACAAACTTAGGCAAGCACAGGATCGTCTGTTGCATATAATTTGTCAGTTTATCGTTCTTTTCGTCTTCAAACGCCCTAGCAAGTGAACAAGGTCAGGGGCATTATATTTAGCATCCTTAATTTATTCGTTGAACACCCCCTCTCTAAAGAAGGTATTTCTATTCTGGAACTATCAAAGACTACTAGTTTAGCTGTAAAGTTTAGAGATTATTCTCGAGTGATATTCATTTTAGTCATGTTATAGCGGAAATGATACAGCAAGTGTTTCCACGTGAATCAGATCGTGCCTGTCGTGATTACCGCGTGAAATTCCCAGAAGAAATCATACATGACAATTTACCTGGGCAACTTTGGTTCGGCGCTGAGGTAAACTTCTTGTTCTTAGTTATTTTGTCTTTAGACAGTAATTAGTTAGATTTGTTGATTGGCCTATGAGTCGTTTTAATGCTTTCAGTGTATTATATCTTATTATTGTAATGTAGTCACTTGATAAATATACCATCAGTTGAAATAATCAGACTGCTATTGAGAGTGATATTAATAGATGTCTTATTGCAGTGCCTTACAGCAGGATCCAACATAATTGATCATGAAGTTGAATCAGAAGCCATAAGACCAATGGCTCGTGCACTAACTAAACATTTAGACACTTTGCGCGATTTGCTGAAAGATCAGTCTCTTAGAGACCCAACACATTACAGCGATAAAGTGAAGAAAAGTTTAAAGCATTTCGATCAACTTTTTGCAGAATTTGAGCTGAAGTTAGTGAACGAAGTTAGTTTAGACGACAAAACATGAAAATACATAATTATATTATGGAAGATGGGATATAGATAATATATTGTAAAAGTGTATCAAGAAGAAAATTTCCAACATGATGTAGATAATATACATGTGTCTTCATGTTTTATCGCCAAAATGTCTTGCATTTCAAAAAATTGAATTCATATAAAGTTCGTCTTTTGAATCGGTTTTTTTTTCGTTTGAAATTTTTAAATAATGTGTTCAACTTGTCAAATTTTTAAAATGTCGATTGATCAACAATTGTCAGATAATTTGTGTTAAGTAATGTTTCAGTTACGTAACTGCAATGGTTCCGGTGAAGAGTGTGAAAGAGTACGATTGCCAGTTGGATATTGCCGTTTTGTTTTCAGAAACATTAGATAGGTTTGTTATCGACTTTCTTCTGTTCAAAGCCTCATTTACAGACGCTTGGAAATGGCGTGTGCATTCAATTTTCATTTTATATAATTTGATTTTATATTTATTCGCACATATCGTTAGACTTTTTAAAATTTAAAGTCATGATGCAAATGAAATGAACACCACAATATATTCCGTTTTCTTTTAAAATCTTGCATCCTACCACTTATTGTCTTAATTATATTGCTTGTAGGGCTCTTAGGTTAGGTTATCTAACGCAAGATCAAATCGATGATTGTGATCCTGTTGTGATGATTGCTGTTCCACGTTTAGCTATTGTTTGGTGAGTTTTGTTTTCTAATTTCCATTTTCTTTTTTGATTGAACTTGTGATTGATGTTTTAATAGTAACTAACTAACTACGAATTCTTTACAGACGATTTAGTGTTATAATGCCAAATTCACCAACGAGAATTGCATAATAAATTGTTTTGCAGTGGTCTTCTATATTTTCCGGAAGGGGCACTTAATGTAGATGCGAATTCTGAAACATTGTCCGATATGTTTCGCTCATTTCATAGTCTATTGGTGAAAATTCGTGACCTACTGCGTATTCTGAACTTGCATGAATTACATCGTGTCGAGAAAGCTCTGTGCACCGGCGAAACACAAGTTAATTTTGGTGCGTACAAACACTATGTCTATCCTTTATTTTGTCCGAATGGCACTTGAAGTAAAAAAAATTGTTTTTCTGGACAAGGTTAATTCGGCATGAGAGACGCAAACTATCTACATTTACTAGCATTTATCATTGTCGATAAACTATAAGGACTTGTTTTTAATTTGTTTAGACCATTAATGCTTTTTTCACTTTCGTTTAGTTATTCCAGATGAAGACAGTGTCGACGAAGCACTAACCATAGCAAATTTTCACTTGAAAACTATTGGAAAAGGAGCTGAAAGGATTCTGGAAGCGGAAAAATTACAGTAAGAATTTGATTGCTAGTTATAACTATTAGGAAACGATGACAAGAATTTCGCTAAAATGCACTTTAAGGATTGATCTAGAATGGAAATAAAAGAGCAATGTAAAACGCTGCAGCGAATTAGGATGATGTTTCCTGCTTCCAGGATTTGTGCAGCAACATTGTCTTAGCCGCAGCGCATTTTAGTGTAGCTCAGTATATTTATGAATGGGATGGGATTCTTAATAAATATTTTTGAATTTGATGCTTTCGGCACCTTGCTTCTTTGATAATTCATTTGTTCACGACAAAGAATAAATATACAGATTACTTATAGTTGGTTATTGTTTTTCAGTTATTAATAGGAATGAATTAACGATGGCTGAAGTAACTGAATCCTAAAAAAACTGAATTTGTTCCTTGTGTTCAAATTTGATAAAAACCACTGAAATTAGTTCTTTATTATGTGAAGCAGGCACCATATTTTCATTTTAATCTTCATTCCGATTCTTATTTCTACTCTTCCATTCTTTTTTCCAGTGTGATTTTATTTTTTTCTCATTTTTATTGGTGATCTTTTTCATCAGTTCATTTTGACGGTTTTTTGTGATTTCATATCATTTTTGTTCATTGCGGTCCAGATCCATATCATGATAGCTACTTTGACGACAAGCCAACTTCTATTTTACGCAATATTAGCTCAATAAATCTTCAATTACTTTTAATAATGTCGTTGTTATTTTCATAATATCTTAATTTCAAATAGAAAATTTGACTTTATATTATTCGCCTTTTTTGTAGGCCAAACGGCTCTTCGAGCTCAAATTCCTCAGATGATGGTGATTGCGGTGCAGCTAGTGCTTCCAGTGCCGCGTATCACGCGAATACTCTTGCACGTAGGATGCTATCTCCAGTTTGTTTTAAAGACAATAATGAAAGTAGCAGTGCTGAAAGTTCTCGGAATTTGGATCTTATGATGTAAGTTGAAATGTTCCGATCTAAGGTATTATTTGCTATAAAATCACAGAATGCTATCTTTTAAAAGCAGTAATAAGTAGTACTGACTTGAGTGATTTGAGTAATTATTGGATTAAGAGATAGTATATAAACTGACTCTCCAACAATTTATTTTACAGTATGACTCGTCCTCCAGACCCTTGTCGTTTACGTGCCAGATTCCGTTCTTCTTCCGATCTGATACATCGCTTATTTGTCTGCATATGTGGCGTTGCTGATCAATTGCAGACAAATTATCCCACTGACCTGCGACGTGTGCTAAAGATGATTTTGCAGCCGAACGATGTTGTGCCAGTTTTTGAGGCTTGTTATTTTTGCTTTTATTTTAATTAAACTCTCCAGACAATTTTTTTATTCATTATCATAAATATCTGAATTTAAAATGGATGTATATAAATATTCTAAAGTATTTCAGATATCTGGAAAAACAGCGCCAAATCCAGAAAACGAAGAGGAAATGGGTTTAGAAGTACAGGAAACACTTCCTTTACCTTCTCTTGTCGGTTAGTTTTTGTTCTTTGTTTCATTTATTAGTCTACAAATGTAACATTCGAGAAAAAAATGAAATCAAACGTGATCTTTTAATTTTCTCTAGGTGTTCGTTGGGTACCAGATAATGATTGTGAACAGTGCACAGCCTGTGGTGCGCAATTTACATTAGTCCGACGTCGTCATCATTGCCGCAATTGCGGCAGAATCTTTTGCTCACGTTGTTCTGCCAATTCTTTACCGCTTCCCGAATTGGGTTACGACAGAAAAGTAAGTAATGGTTCCTTCACATTTATATGGAACATTAATTTTCATTTTCTTTTGTCGTTTGTTTATCACTTCCAGTTTATTTTGACTTCTAGATTGTACATTTTTGTCTGCTCGTACCTTGCGATGGATTCCTAATTTGAGTTGCTGTTTTTAATTTTTTGACATTTGTCAATTATTTATTATTATATTATTGGTATTGGTGTGAAAATGGGAATAGGAATAGGAATCTTTTGATGTACAGGAAAGGGCCAGCTTTTAATCATTTTTTATTGGATTTTTCTTGTAACATTATTTCTATTTAGTTTAAAGGTTTCTGTAATTATACTCAGAGTCTATTTTAGGATTTGTTCCACTTCAAAACTGATTTTACAAAAAATATTTATATGTGTACCGTAATTTCCACATTTCAGGTTCGTGTATGTAACTTGTGCTTTCTATACAAAATTAATCCATTTTCGCCTTGTACAAGTCAATCAAACTCATCACAAAATCATTCAAATAATGCATTTAATAACGCTTTTACTTCTTCAAGTGGTAAGTTTTTCATTTACTGTATTGATTGATAGTGGAGCTGTAAGACCGAAAAATTGCATTGTCAGAATTCTGTAATTATTAAAGTGATATCACTTTCGTTTTCACTGATCTACTGTGGTATAATTATCGTCTTTATTAGTTTGCAAGTGTGATAAAATTAATGTAAATCTTTGCTTTCCCTTTTTTTTAATTTTGATATCCATTGTTTTAGAAAAATTATCTAACTGAAATTGAGTTGCAGACTGGACATTTTTAATTTGGTTGTTTACCTACAATGTTTTATTTGCTTATTGTAGTGGTGAATCAAGATGATCATGAAAGAAATGAAGACGAGTCGCAAAGTAACGAATCACCCACAGCGACAACAGCAACTACTGCATAAATTCATTCGAGTTCTCCGGTACAGATCTTTATCCTTAACTTTGCTGTAATTATTAATTTTCTCAGCTGGATGGAATTCTCGAATTTTTTAAAACGATAATGGAAACAAGCATTGTTGAGAACAAAATAAATCAGTTGCTACAAAAAGTGTAACAAGTACGGGTTGATTCGAATTGAAATTTGATTATCCGTTAGTAGCTATTACAAATTTTATACTGTCGGTGTTATGATGTTATTCTCGCATTTGATTTGTCATCGAATGGACAAATTTTCCAGTTGTTTTTTTCAGTTGATTCATTTAACCGCTATGCTTTCTGTGCTGAGTACAGTTTCCTGTAGATTATGCTTATGTATTTGACTACAGACGTAAGCGCCTTTAAAATTGTCCCTATTTTTCTTTTTACGCATAATTTCACTTTAACTTTGCAAGTAAACATGAATACCAATATATTAACATTAGTTTTCCATCTTCTTTATCTTTACCGATATTACATTATTTTTTTGTCATAATGATGTTTTCATCACATATCCGATGGCATTTTTTGCTCCTTAAGTTTATTGCTGAAACGGCATATTTTTGTTTAATGCCATCAGCATGACAATATTTAGTACATATTGAAGGATGTGAACTTTTACTTCTTATTTCACTCTCTTTTGATTGAATGCAAATGTAATGGCGTTTCGGAAGTATCTTTCCTGTTTTCTTCTCCCTAATTTGCCTTGTACAGCAATTTTGTTATTTCCGGGTCCTCTTCATAAACTTATGAAAGTTAAGACATTCATACAAATCATTAATTATTTTACTGTGAGATAATGCTAGTTTGTTGGAGTGGTTCTGACTAAAAAGTTTGAGTGTCGCAGTTTTTGCGAACGCATTCTCGATAGTGATTCACTTATCTGTCGATATTTTAAGGTACACAATTTTGCAGTTATTTCAAAACTTTTGAAGACTATAACCTGACATGATGCTTACTTCATTTAGAAAATGGGATTATATTGAAGGAACTTCCACGATCTTACCTTCTATTCCTTCGAAGATGCTCTCACACCCTCACCAAGGTGCTTTCCATGCACCTTTAGTGAGTTCTCCATTTCCCTAGGCTTTACGTTCATGTTTATCGTGACTTATTTAGTTCAAAAAGAGCAAGTATTTCAAGTAGCTCAGTATTCAAAGAATGATTAGTATTCGGGAAAACGTAATGGTATTTATATCGGAAAACACTGACATGCTATTCTATAGTTTGATGGGTTTTTGCGTAATAATCCGACTAGTTCTTAATGCGAGAATGGAGAAGCAGAAAATAACATTTGATAAGCCTAGTTCTGTGCTTCAACACCATACTAAATATTAACTGAAGATTATTAGTCACCGCGCTACATTTCACATCCACATTTTAAAATCTTCCTGCCGTCGAAATGTCTGTTTTAGAAATGAAACTCAGTAATCAAAATAGGAATGAGGTTATACTTTCCACTTGAATCCAGTCAAATGGCCAGAAGTCATGTCGTTACCATATAACGAGATAAAATATTATTTTAGCAAACCATCAAACTAAGTTTTCTAATCCATTTTTCGCACCATGAACCCTATATTTACTTCATATTAAGGACATAAGTTTTTTAGTGCTTCATCGGAGTTGTTTAAGCGTAATTACATTTCATCTGAAATCCATTTCATCTCATTTCCATACAAAAAAAATCCATTTCATCTCAAAAAATCCATTTCATCTCATTTCCATACAACTACCAATTTTACTGTAACAGTATATGGCTCAACAATTCCATACAATGGTGCTCTAAGTAGCAGGAATTGTGGACTTATGAACCTCAAAAAATGATGTTTATAGTTGTAATATGTTGGGCACCTTTATTGTATTCGAAAGAAAACATCCAAACAGCATTCTGATGTCAAAATAATCGTTCCCATCATATATCTTTACGATGTTGTTTCTTACAGTCTTGTCATATTTATTATTCGCATTTATGTACAGATTACAGTATATTTGAGAAAAAGTAACTTAGTACGTTTTCAAGAAGAAAACTTGAAATATTTTGCATCTAATTCCTTAAATTGTAAAATGCAGCAAACATTCAATAAAAAAGTGAAATGTAAAAATTGATGTAAAAATTGATAAACCAAAAATTCTACAGTTGTTGCTATATCGTTTGATGGGAGTCGTGTAGTACGTAAAATAATGTAGAAAGCAATCAAAAATATTATATGGTACTAAGGGAGATAATTTTTGCTTTATGTTGTACTGTAGTTTGGATTCATTAAGATGGTTTGTTAAATTTCTGGTTTATCAAAACTGATACACACTTAAACATTATGGTTGTTTCATTTATTTAAAAAACAAAAAAAAATTTGATCCAATGTGGTAGAGAAGTGAGATAATCAAACTGACAATTATAAAATAAAAATATGGCAGGCAGCTGATGCTATTTAACCACCTAAATAATAAAATGAAAAAACTTCTTTAACCGATAGAATGTTAGAAGTACTCTTCAGGATTGCGCCGATTCCAACATCTCAGCTACATTTCATTATCATGAAAATAGGACGAACACGATGGAGATTATGATATAATGATTGTATCGATAATCACTGTAATAACAGTAAATGTAATACATACCAGGAATTTTATTTTTTAATTATCTAAAATCTTTTTTAACTTTTTTAAAGTACCATTCAAATCGTCCAACAAATGGAAAAAAGAAATGTTTAGATATTTGATATTGTGACCATCCAACGGCTAAAAAATTAATTAAAGAATGAAAATTTTTCACGAAATTAAAGTACGAAAATCAATTGTTATGCAAAAAAAAATTACAATCGAAATATCGCATAAATTATGCAAATTAATTTTACAATTAATAAATTCAATTAGTATAAATGAAATTAAAATTGAATTAAGCATTGTGAAGGGTAAGAAAGAAATTATTGAGCTATCGATATGTTATTTGAATTTGAGAATAAAAGAAAAAAGAATTAAGATGAGGAAAATCAAACGATCAATTCGAGAAAATCTTATGTTGTGAAAAAATTTTTTATGAGTCTCAAAATTTTATGAAAGAAAATATAAATTTGTTTAGCAATTCAAAATTTAACACTTATCGACACTTATCGCACGAATTAAAACCAATTCATTCGTAAATTATACATTCCAAAAATCAGAAAGCTAATCGAAGAATTCAATATAATTTTGATTTACAGAAAATAAAATGTGAAAAGAAATTTAAATTCAATTAATTAAAAAAAGGAAACCATTTATGTTCGATGTAGCCAAACTTCTGGTATCCATTGCATTTCATTTCTCAATTTACTCAAAATCTCCATCAATCTAGAATTACATCTCAAAAACCTCAAATGTTTCCATAGATGTAAAATGTCAGAATATTTTCATTCACAACAGAATTATTATTTCTTACTTCTCATATTCCTTAATTCACATATCAATTCAGATAAATCTCAAATATTCAAATTGTTTCACCATAAAATACATAAAATAGTTAAAAATTGTATATATTCAGTAACCTTTAAACTCAAAATAGTATCTCAATCTTAAGCTGTTGTAAAAAAAAAACTACTGAATAGCACAATAGTGCTATTTGCATAATTAAAATAAAGCAAAACCTGTTGAAAGTGTCATCCAAATTCCTGTTCACCAAAACAATATGAAACATTTTAGCATAATTACTTTTCATCAATTCCTTATTTTCCCGAATATAACCTTCCATTTCCTCTTCAGTGTAAGGTCGTAAACGAAGTTTATTTATTTGTCGAAAAATGCCAATTTCTGGAGGAGCAATTAACACAACAAGTGGCATAAATTCTGCATTGTATAAACGTCGTAAAGCTTTCGGCTCACAATCTAACAAACAAACTCGTCCGCTTCGAATGCAACTTCGTATTGTTTCCAGACTGCAATGTGATATAAGTAAGCGATAGAATCAAACAAAAGTAACAAAATGAAAACTGCAGCTTTAATCCGGTCGGTTTTTTCTGTTGATATCTGTAAAAAAGCTATACTTCACAATGGAACAATAAAATATTAGTAGTGATGAAATAAAAAAAACCAGCCGAAAAGAGAAACCTAGTGCCGTAAAGTTGTTCATGCATTTCACCCCATTCGATCATATCACCGGCTCGAATTCTCTCTAACATTTCCTTCTTCGTTCGAAAATAATATTCGCGACCTTCTAGCTCATTTGGTCTTGGAGCTCGCGAAGTATCTGAAGGATTTTCATTTATCGTTAATGTTAATGATAGTAAAAATCATTAGTAAAAAAGTTACACTTCTTCTATTGTTACGATCATGCGAATTGTCTGCGATAAAAACACCAATGCTAATTTTTTACTCAATTTCACACTAAAGTTAAACGACGTAAACAATACTCTCACTTCATTTAGTCTCAAAAAGTTTCTGTAGTAATAGAATATAAGAAGGTCCGCGAGCCCTTCAAAGTTGCCCAATTTCGAATATCTAAGAGAAGGTCAGTGAGCGTAAAGAAATAATCAAAGAATCTTCAAAGAAATTATTGAACTAATAAGTTAGCTTACAAGGAATGGCTGCTGCGAAATATTGCGGTAAATGATTCAAAAGCATCGTTTTGAGAGTTCTGCGCCCAACACCTGGAACACCCAATAGTACCACAACTCGACGACCATACGGAGAAAGCAGCGAGACCTTTTCATCAAGTATACTTACCGGATATAATCCTGTTTGATTTAGATCATCCACTTTTCGTCCCTGCAAAAATTTTTAAATATCTTTAAAAATTTATTTTTGTCCCATTAGCTTCAAAATTATACTTTATGATTGGTCTAATCTTTTGTCCACTATATATATTATACTCTTTACATATTCCATATGAGTACCAAATCTATTGTTTCCGCTTGAAAAACAAGTGAAAATAGAAAAATTTGAATAAATCTTGAATTCACTTCAGCAAAACAATATTTTGCATGTGATTTAGATGTAGTAATTAATAGTAATGAATCATCGAAATAATAATTAAGAAAATAAATTATATCAAATTATATCAAAGATAAATTATATCAAAATTATATCAAAGAAATTATATCAAAGAAAGAAAAATTATATCAAAGAAAATAAATTATATTATATCAAAGAAATTATTTCTTTTGTCAATTATATCAAAGAATTATATCAAAGAAAATAAATTATATCAAAGAAATATCAAAATGTACGATGACCTGAATCCAATTGGAATCTTTGCTGAATGCTTGGACAATGTCACCCTTTTTCAAATTCAGAACATTGAAATTAATTGGTGCATGAATATCATGTGAACTATCATAATCCAATGCTGCACGATAATACACCTTAATTTTAAATCAAGAATACTTCCAGTACGACGGTATGATTTATATGAAATTATAAAGCAAATTATCACTCTCAAAGCATATTCATCCATCATAAAGTCAAAATAGAAATGAGATAATTCAAATAGTTAAACTATTATTGAATCTTAGAAAAAAAATGTATCAATAAGAAAAATGCTCATATTCTTGAAGTGAAAAAATATCATACTTCTATAATTCTTCCTAAAATAAGTAAGACGAGAACGCTTGAAATTAATCTGGTTAGTTGGATCTAGCAATTAAGCAATTTTAAGTTTCCAGACTTGGTCAAACAATTCATTCTATTTCTAATGCCCTATATGAGGATACAAATAAACTTACTGATGGCCCTTGATGTAAAGGTGCTGTCATTATTTTCAATGTTATGTTATCATTTAATTCTGTTAACCTATTGATTTCATTGACAGGTATTCCATTGATTTCAATGATCGCATCGCCTACACGAATATCCTATCAAATCATAACAAGTATTGCAAGATATGATATCCAAAATGTGATTAATTTTTCTAGAATTGATATCAAATAATAATAAATTAGAAAAACGAGAAACCTCGAGGCTGACTTTTGTCAAAAGTTATTAAAACTTTCCAATTTTGATCTACATTCTTGATATTAATTTCAGTTTAACTTCATCTTAATGTTAATCGATTTAATATAGCTCTCAGTCTAGCTTACAGCTATTATTATTTAAAGTGATAATTGCAGAACTTCTATTATTTCATTCAGTACTCCATATTATATTATTTTTCATGAAAAGATTGCTGGTATCATTGAGCTAATTAATTCATTTTAATTCAAACAATTGTATGAATGTGATTATAAGAAAAAGGATACTTTGACGATGGAATCAAGCTTCACTCGGGTAATAATGATCAAATTGGCAACTCGATCGTAGTCAATATCATTGAATGGATTATGATTTAGTTGTATAACTCGTGTGGTTGCTGTGGGTGACAGTTTAGATGGCAAAAGAGATGATATTTCACCATCTTTATAAGTTAATTTGGACACTTCAGGATGAGATACTGTTGTTTCATTAACCATTGTCATTGATTGATTTGGATCACCAACGATCGGTAAAATATGAAATGTTTTGGTTGTAACTACTCGCTCCGTTATCACCGTACGCTTCTTTGTACCCGTTTCCGGATCTTCTGTCATTATTTCACTAGAAACTACCTATAATTTGAAAAAAATTAAGCAATTAAAATTTATATCATAAACTTCTAAAAATTTAATTTCAACAAGATTTTCAAAATTTAATTGTCAATTCTATTAGCTCTTCTAAGCAAATATGCAGAAAAATGACAAGAATAAATTAGTGACAGTTCGTTAGGTTGGAATAAGAAATAAATGGGAGAAATATGTAATAGAGAATGGCATTAGAATGAGCAAAGTTCGAAGTAATGTTGTAAAATTTGTTTTTGTCACAAAACTTTTCTCATATTTTAATTTAAGAATGTGCGCTGAAAACGTTGCAATAAAACAGTCAACTAAATGGAAATATTCTGGCCATGTTAGGACACATCCCATCATTTCATTTCAATGTTTCTCATGAAGAGAAAATATCACACTTCAAGTATTCAAGTTGATTCATAAAATTGATGCCTTTGATGAAAATCTTCCTCTCTCTCTCTCTCTTAAAAAAAATTATGCCCTAAACATTACTGAGATCGATTAACCGCACAATTTTTCTGAAATGAAATAAGCCTGAGCTCTACAAAGGATACAACGGATACATAACGGATACAACAGATGATAGAGAAGGACCTAAGTGAGGAAACATTGATTTTCGATAGCTCAGTAATTGAGATAATAAAAAATATTGCCGTAAAATGACTAAATGATTGATTTATTCAATAAATTGCAAAAATATCCAATTCTCCAAAAAAAGTGAACTTCAAAATTTGCAAATGGTTTTGGCCCAAAAATTCCACCGCTTCTATTATCCAAAAATACGGTAGAATTTTTTGGATAATAGAAATGAATTTTTTTGGAATTTTTGGGCCAAAACCATTTGTAAATTTCCTTGTCTTCAGTGATGGATATATTGTTCGTATTAGTTCCTTATCTAAACCATTTACTTCATCTATATTATGAATGGAAACTTAAATATTAAAAGAATTATGTTTTTCAAGGAATTCATGTAGGTTTTTCCATTCACTCTATTTGATGACAAATTCAAATGACTTCTCTACTGCTGGATTGTGTTTTAGTCTCTCACATTAATAATTTATGGTCCTCCAAAAATAATTGAACAATTTTTTCTGAAATGTCCGTTTCACTTTCTCGGTACATATATGTGTTTTACTTTCTTGGAAGTATTTTTTAACTTTAAACAAATCCTGCATTGATTCAACAAGGTTAACCGATCCAATAAGATTATTTCTTAGCGATCATGCAGACTAGACCGGAACAAGCTGATGATTGGAACTAAGAGACTTATTGAACAGAATGTATAATCAGTTTGATCATATATATATGTGAAATATTAACTCATAATTCATAAGTTATAATAAGAAATGTTAAATACAAAACGCTCACGGAAATCTTACGCTAAAATAAGGTTGAGAAATTTGCAGATTGGAAAAATAAATTGGAATATATTTAGAATCGGAAAAGGAACAGAAAAAAGACATTCATTTTTTGTATTTATTGTTTACCTGTTGAAGACAGACGTAATTAATAAAATAAAATAAAAAAGGAATCAAATAACATTTGTAATTAGTTTGTTATTATCTAAGCAGAACGTCTCCAAAGATAAATTTAATTTCGAGTCAGCAAAATGGGTATCGCAAACAGAATCGATTGTACCGTTTTATGCATTCCGCATGATTATTCTGAAGTGATATGAATTCTATGGTACTATTGTTATCTATGGATGTATGTATATATGTGTGTGTTCTTATTTCAGAAGCTTCAATGCAATAGGTTGTTTCAGAAGATTAAAAAAAATAAAATTTTGCTGAAGATAACGTATCAAATGTAACACACACACACACACACACACACACGTACACACACACACAAACACACACACACACACACACACACACACACATACATACAGAAATATACACAGCAAAGGTTTATCGTGAAGGGTAGGATGCATTTAGGGTGTAATAGAAATAGAAATAAATTGAAATGAAGCTTTATTTTGTGATGGAAACAATAATAACAACAAAAAACAATAAATATTATTTCATTTCAATTAGCCAATTAATTAATT